CCTACCGGGACGAAGATCGGGGTCGCTCGTCCCGACATGGGGCAAACAACGGGCAGAGGAACGGTAGTGCAGATACCACAAACTCGATTGCTGCCCCGCCCCAGCAAGTGAGAAGCATGCTGGACGTTTGAACTCTTTTAACGACTGCTTTACGGAACGGCCAAATTGAATAATTATTAATGAGTAAGTTGAAGGATGACTAGACGCGAGTAATGACCAACTTGATGTGGAAAAGGGAAAACTCCAAACCAGGCCCGACGACAGCTACCTATTACTCGTACATGACTGTTCGCTTCAGGTTGGGGGTGGTCCTTTGATGATTATATACATGTACGACGCCGTAAATTTAGATTTTGAATGAAGCCTGGAACCATGACATGATTCATGCTGCATGAGCGGTGACTTGAGGTGTATTCCTATCATGTATACACCACCATGAAATGATGCCGGCCCTTCTTGATACTAACCCTTGGTACCTAGGTAAGGCTCGATCTTTTGATAGCTCCTCGCACACGTGAACTCTTGAGATGCCGGCTCGCCACCCCCTTCTTTCTGCATCTGCATCCCACTATTATTCAATACACACACATGTCCATTCTTGGCGGCTTCCATTCTTCGGTTTTGCTTTTTTCTTCCTCATCTTTGCTCGTGTTACACTTGTTTTGCCGGGGGCCTGCAAAAGCAAGCACACAGCCCTTTTGGCAAATGTGCAACCCGTATTATCCGCCGTGGTCACATGCACTACAAAAAACGAGCGGCTTTACTAGGTAGGGACAATGATGTCAGCTCCGAAGACTCCCGTCGACGAAGATGGAGAATTCGGGGGGGTGGTGGGTGGGGTGGGTAAGAAAAAGGAACTTTGATGGATTTGGATGGGATGGCAATCTACCGGGAACTGCATGCCAAACAACACTCCTTTGGGTACCTTATATTAGCTCGGAGCCTCGTCGTCAAATCGACGTCTCGGGTTTTCCAAGTAGAGTTTTCGAAGGGACGGTCGGCTGATGAACCATGTCTGCTCGTATCGATTAAGCCGGCTTTTTCGATCATGTATTCATGAGTTGCCGTTTGATCATTGGCCATCTTGTACCTTTTTACCCTTTTGATGTTTTTTGGATGCTGACGATGCGAATTTTTTTTCTCTTGTATTGGATATGTTTTTGTACCACCGTAAGCGGACGCCCAAGTTCTCTGACAGGGCTGGGATTTGAGAGAGGCGAGCGAGTGACACAGAGTTGACCAGAAGGACGGACTTATGACATGGATATGATGGGATGGTTTGTGTTTCCCTTTTGAAAGGGGGACGGTTGGTTCCCATGTGCTAACCGATTGCAAAAGATTACTTGAAACCTTGAAACCTTGAAACCTCTTGGTAGCACAGCTTTTTTGGCAAGTTGGGGTCTATCTATCTACCGAAGGTATGACTATGATGCAAGCAGCGGTTCCGGATATTCGGTCGATACAATGGCGCGACCTGCTTGGACAATGCCACTTCGTGTAACACATACGAGTACTCTGTGCATGTGTGTATTCGTACGATACATTCACCTACCTATTCTATTCTACGCTTGATGCGGAGTCAGAACTGGTGCTCGCTCGTACCTGTAAGACGAGAGATTGTGTGTGGGGGGTATGTAGATGCCCGTCCCGAGGCCTTCTGAGACGAGAGCCTCTGATGATGCACATCAAATCGTTTATGAGTGATAACCAGGCAAGGGTGTTTCTTGGTGTGTGCGTGCGTATTAGAGAAAAAAGCTCGCTTGCTCGGCACGCTCCATGCCTGCTATCCACATGCTCGTATCGTATGGATGGAGATGTATATATTTATATCGCATCGCACTACTCCGTACCATGTCTATAATACTCCATCTTGTCATGGGATTTACATATACCTACCTATACGGAGTACACGCATCGTCAACGTGGGCACGCAATTATCAGCTCAACGCACAAATGGTTATACGACATCAATATTCCTTCCCTTAGTACCTATCCGGGTTAAAACGGGCAGAAAATCCTCCACAAACATTCCTCCACCAATACAAGCCATTCAAAAAAAAAAAAAAAAAAAAAAAAACATTGCTTCTCCCTTGCCCGCGTGCACGCGCATTGGCACTTTGAAACGGGAAACTCGACGCACCGCTCGAATGTCGTCCAAAACCGATACATCACTTGCATGGGGGGGCGCTGCGAGGATTTGTGGGCACCCCCCAAGCCATGGTTAGGCGCCCACGACTAGCTAAAGAGTGAGGTGCTGCTAGTTCCATGTTTAGCGTAGGCATCAGAGCCATGTGGAGAGCATCCTCGAGTTTTTGAAGGTACGATGTTTGTTTAGCTGTTTTCCCAAGGGCAGACAAGGTTTGCACTACCAGCGGCCACCTTTTTTTTTTATGTATTTATTGTATTTGTTTCTTTTTCTTCTTGCAAATGACTTCTCGGGTGCATAAGACAGAGGGGCTCCAGGTACAAGTCATGCTGCTTGCTTGCTGAAGGGGCTGGGAGGGGTTCCGCTTCTTGCTCCGTATCAGTGCGTGCTTGTCGGGCTCTTGGGCGGTAATGGACCACACGGGCAGCCAAATCATATCGCGGTTGGGTTTCAAGGTTTGCACGAGCAAGTTAGTAGGTAGGTACCTGCCTAGTACCTTTTGCTGTTATCACAAGCCTGCACGAGGTAGCATCGAGGTTACTCGTACCTGTAATTCTTTGCAAGCATTGGATTCAATTAATCTGTGCTCTACGAGTACGGCAGCGGACAGGGACATGGTACATATAAAGAACCTATCTACAAAAGGCAGTACCTGTACTTAGTAAGGGAGAGACCTGCCAGATCCAGGAATGCACAATTCCGTGCTGCTGCAACAGGCGAGGCACGGCACAGTACCTACAGTACGGCACATGCATGCACTCCTCTGGCTGGTCGTTCGTTTGTCCATTCATGAGTACCATGACTTCTTCAGCAGATAAGGTACCTGTGAGACGATGGGAGTTCTGCATGTATGTACGAGCATGTACGAGCGCAGTACCGTCAGACAGAACCAAAAAAGAATGGGAAACATTGGCCTCGAGGGCAAAAAAGCGCCCTTTTGAGGGCCCTGGGAAGCGGGCGTCGCTAGCCATGCCGCTGGGGGGCCCCACGCCATCTTTCAGCAGGAGGCTTGCCCACTGGATTGCCGTCAATGTACCTGGGCCGCGCACGCTAAGGTGTGCGCAGATGACCTGTACCTTACGTCGGCCCCTCTCGACTACGTCAGTCGCTGCCGCTAGCTCGCCCAAGTACCCTTGCCCGGCCGCTCTGGTGTCGAGGTACTTAGCTTGACGGTTAACTTTCCAACCAGACATCTTTTTTTAGGCGCCTGCGTGGCCCTTCTCGCCATGGCCCGCGGAACACGCAGCAGCCAAACTTTGTGTGGCATGCCAGCTCCAGCCGTACTATCGACAGTTGACTTTTCTCGCTGCCCTTTCGCCCTTCGCCTTTGGCATCCAGTGCCCATTTTCCCACTTCCCCGCCTGGAGCTTATTGAGACGGCAAAAGTATGCACAAAAGTATCGCGTCCGCCATCTCCGGCGGATCCCCCGGTCGAAAAAGCGAGTGTGAGCTGTGACGCTGCGCTGCCTCTCGTCATCCTACCTGGCCTGGCTGGTGTGTTTCAAGCTTCTCGTACAAGTCAAGTACCTACTCATAGAGTAGCGAGCCATACGCTCGTATCGTACGTATCAGAAATCGCAGGGCGCGGAGCTCGCATTTGCGACTACGACGACGGTACCTTGTCCCCAGAGAGTGGGCGAGTAGCAGGGCGCTGCCACGAGTCACATGAATGCACATTCTCTGCTGTCCGCCGGTAGCGCGCTGCGATCTGTCTGCAGTTTGCGCCTCAGACAAGGATTCCGTCCTTCCCGAAGAGGAGAGACGAAGCCAAGCCCCAACTGCGCAGCAAAAAAGCTGTCTGGGCATGGACATACTTGTACGAGTCTAGGTTCTGATGTGGCAGCTTAGAGCAAAGGTATGGTGCCTTGGCCCATTGCCAGGTATCTCCAAGTACAGGCTACCTGCTGAGCATCAGCCGCTGCGTGGCAGAGGCTGCCAGATTGCCTTTGCCTTTGTTCTCGACTGTCCTCGATGAAATCCATCCCGAGCATCCGCAGGCCAAGCCGTCGTCAGTTGGGTACCTGGCGGGTTTGCAGAGCCTCGTCTTGCGCCAAAATGGCCTTGCGTATTGCCTTCCACGCAGGTACCGTATACCGGGTGCATACGGGCTCGGACGCAAAAAAAGCGAACAAGAACACCAGCCCTTCCGAAGCTTGGTCGATGAATGTGTGCCATCGCTACGAGCTTGGTTGGCGCCCTGCCCTGCCCTGCCCTGCCAATCCGGATCCGGAGTCCACCGAGGGTCGCGCCGTCTGGTCTGGGGGAGAAAAAGGCGAGCAAGCCAGAGACAAGCCATCGCCACACGGTGCCCCTGCTTGTGCTTCGATTTCGCCGTCGGCAAGCAAGCTCAGGGCGTTGTGAGGTGTCTTTACTTTGGACCGTCCAGGAATCCATCCGTGCGGTAACAAGGCGTGCAAGTCGTCGTACGAGTATGTGAGCGAGCTGGAGCACGAGCACAGTATCATACCTATAGCATTACTCGTGGGTATGCAATCATCGGCTCTTGGATATCAAGTTCAAATCGTCCATGCCTATCTAGCGACAGTCAGCCATTTAGTAGTACTCGTAGTTGGCCATCCAGAAACACTAGCCCACCAGGCACGCATCGTTGTGTCACCGATCGCAGGGTCCGGCGGCCCCCCTGCCTGCTGCTGGGCTCGTCGATGCTGTCGCTGGTCTGCTCAGCTGTCGCTGCGTCCTTGGTTTCCGATTCTGATCCTGGCGATCGTCCAATGGCACGGCCGCAACGAGGTCTGGTCAGTGGCCAGGGTGGTCCGAACCTGGCCACCGTTGCTGCTAGCGGAGGTGCAAGGCCAAGCGCTAGATCCTTAGACTGGGACTGCACCATTCATTGATGCTCATGCTCATGCTCTGCTGTACGGAGTACGAGCACCTACTCAACTCAACTCAACTCAACCTGATTGCCATCGGTGCCATCCACATCCACATCCACAGAGCATCCACATCCACCACCATCCCGCGGCCGCAACCAGCGACGCCTCAGGCAACAGACCAAGAGGCACCAGGTTCGTTTCCACTCGTTCGACTCGACTCGACTCGACTCGACGCTGTCGGCTAGCGGCAAAGTACCCAGAGCGTGCGCGCCAGGTCACTGCCGGTGCTAGCAGCCACTACTTCCAGCGCGCCATAGCACCACTTCAGCACCACTCCAGTACCTGGTCTTCGCCGCACTGGTACTCGCCCGCAGCGCCGGCTGTACCTGGAACGCACAACAGCTAGAGCATAAGTTGAGGCGCCATTCTATCGTCTCACGCAGCCACCACCTTGCCTTGCCTCTATTGGTCATCAATCCATTCCCCAAGTTCGCAGCTCTTTGCCTTTTGCTACCCCGAAAAGCCCAAAGTTACAAGCACAAGCTTTCTGGCCGCCCTTGCAACCTTACCTTTAGTTGCCCCCTTGTCCTTCCTGACCTTCCGCCTCCGCCTCCCTTGCTGACCTCAAACATCCCCACCATCTTTTCCCCTCCCCCTCGGCCCTACTTCAGCCTTCTTGCCCATTGCCTTGGCTCAGCAACTGCAACTCCAGCTCCAACCACCAGCTTCGTGGAATCTGCTTTCGATCCGCCGCCCGCCTTTTCCAGACTGCAGTCGCCCGCCAAGCTGCCAATCTCGTCTTGCCTCGTTCGGCTTCATCTTCATTTTCATTTTTGGAGAGCCTGCCCGACTCTAGTCTGTCTGCATCGCAGCCTTGCTTTGGCAAGACCAAGACCAAGACCCGATCCCCCAGTACGAGTACGTACAGGCAGTGACAAGCGCCACCTTGTTTTACCCTGCCTCTCTTGCGTAATCGGTTCTGCGTTGCATCACTCCTCTCGCAAACCTCCTCCCCTTCCGACTTGCACGACGCTGCCGAGTTGACGGCCTGCAAGCCTGCCGATACCACTCGCCATCATCACCGCCTGGTCGCCTCGCTGCGCCCATCATGGCGGCTGCGTTTCGCCCTGTCAACACCCCACTAGCAGCGGAAATTTCCAGGCAGGACATCATGTCACCGAAAAACTCGTCCCCTCGCCCCAGCACGGCGCCGCAGTCTCAGCTACAGCCCGCACACTCGCCCGACGATGGCAAGACGCCGACCCGAGCGTCCTTTAACAGCATCAACATGGCCAGCCAGAGACCCTTGCCGCCGAGTCCGTTTCCCCAGGTGACGCCCGTAGCTGAGTCTCCCGAGGACGCACTCCACCACGATGGCTCACAGCACTCCAACAAGTCGCCCAACCGAAACTCGCTGGACGTAGACATGGACGACTCGGACGGAGACTTGGCCGATGATGGTGCCGGCTCCGATGCCGAGAGCGTGAATGCCGATGGAACAAGATCGAATAAGAAGAAGAAGTCCCAGCGCTTCTACTGCACCGACTATCCACCGTGCAACCTGAGCTTCACGAGGAGCGAGCACTTGGCTAGACATATCCGGTAGGTCAATGAGCGCCCCGACCCTGTCTCTTGTCTTTCTTCCAATCTGCATTTTCAAACATGGCTAACGATGGGCTAGAAAACACACCGGAGAGCGACCTTTCCAGTGCCACTGCTCTAGGCGATTCTCGAGGTTGGATAACCTAAGGCAGCATGCCCAAACCGTCCATGTCAATGAAGATATCCCCATCGACTCTCTTGCGGCTACTGGTTCGAGATTTCAGCGGCAAATCAGGACCGATAGGGTTCGTCAAGCTGGTAACAGGGCGAGGGCGTCTACCGGTGGCAGCGCCGGCGGCCCCGTTCGAGGACATTCAAAGTCTCTCTCGACCTCTAGCATATCCAGCATCTCGTCTGTGGCATCGGCCTACAGCCCCCAGAATGATCCTCGCCGACGGCCTCCTCCTCTCGTCATGGCAGCTGATCCCCGCTCCAGGCTGTCTCTGGAATCCTACCGTAGCAGCACCGACAGCACCTTTTCCTACCGACCCCAGTCTCCCGGAGATTTCAGTACGCCGACATCTGCCACGTTTTCGACGGCTCAAAGCAGTCCCCGATGGGGACCTAGCGTGGCGTCCCCGGCGTCCCACTCACACTCGCGATCTCAAAGCATGTACGTCGTGGGTTCTCGACCTCCCGGTCGTCGGTTGAGCGTTCCCTCAGGAGCCAACCCCTTCCAGTACAGCCAGGTTCAACCTCCAGGCCGCTCAACCGTTGGACCCCCGCTCATGAACAGCTCTCACTCTGCTGCCTTTCAACCTCCGAACGCGAACCTGGTTTCTTCGCCAACCGTTTCGCCTTCTGTATTTTCTGGTAGAAGAGAGTCTATTGCCAGCACTGGCGAGGAAGCATGGCGGCGGCGAACCTGGCATCCTGACAGCCGTAGCTTCGGCAGCACTGCACAGCTAAACGCGGCTCTCAGCCAATCCGTGCGGCCGAATCCCCCGCCGCCTATCGCGAATCCCACAGGCCCGCAGTCCAACCTTCGCCTTCCTGGTATCGAGTCTTTTGATCCTCTTCCTCGTTCAGCCTCACCCCCGAGGCGTAACGCATCTCCCATGAGCGTCGACCACGAACCTGCTCTGCGACCTCCGGTCATGGAAGCCATACAAGCTGATGAGAGGCGAAATCTCAACATGTATGATGTCAGCTTGCAGCGCGGTTTGGGCCGTCTTGACATAGGACACAAGACTCCTCCTCGCGACAGCGCCGGGATGTGGGCATCTGAAGTCCACAAGGCGGTCCAAAGCAAGGTCGATCAGGCACGCCTGAATCAGCCAACGGTCCGATTTGAGGAGCAGCCAAGGCCAAGCCACCAGATCCAGCCTTCAGCCCCCCAGGGTCGATCGTTTCACCAGCACACCATGTCTGCTCCTACCCTTGCTAGAGAAGCAAGGGGCCACGGGTGGCATCAATCTCCTCAAGATATGCGAGACCCCCGTGTAGATCGAATGGTGCATCCCAACTTCACTGGTTTCGCTGGTTTTCCAGCACGAGAGCCTCAGGAGCACCCACAGCAGCAGCATTACCACCAGCAACAGCCGCTTCAACAGCAACAAATGCAGCAGCAACAGCAACAGCAACGCCAACAGCAGGAGCGTTCGAACAACCCTGAATCGTTGAGACGACTTGAAGCTTTGGTGGCCGTTGCTACCAGTGAAGGCTCTAATACCGCCGCCGCCTACTAAACTGGCTGATTGATTGATTTTCCCTCTTTTGATGTGAGCCAGTGCTTCTGCTGGCCCCAGTATCATGATACCAAGTACCAGTACTGCCTTTGACAAATCTCTCTTCCGCCCCGAAACAAGTCATTTCAGCGATGATTCTGGCCTTTGTATGCAACGTTTACGTTAATCTTGCTATTTGATGATATCCTTGCTTTTCTGAGCAGCCTTTGAGAACATGCTTTGATGCCGGCCTTCAATCGCTATTTTCGCATATCGGCTATGTACTTTTTGCGTCTTACTCGAAATATCGAGGTGGGGAGTTTTGTTTTTCTCTCTCATCGCCACTTTTCATAACTGAACGAACCACCCATGATGGAACCTGGGTTGCAGCACACAGTATGCGAACTACTTCTTTTTGCATTCTCGGTCTTTCGCCAACACCGTCGCTCTCTCATGCTTGTCTGATAAAGTTCGCTTTTCTTTCTTTTTAGGTGGGGCGTTTATTTTGCGAAACAGTTGTGTTTGTGACATTGTTTGATATCCTTGTATGTACTCTTTGTTCAGGGGGGCTACCTGTCGATGAGGAGGTGTTTTTTGACGTTTGTACCAAATGGACTGGATATGGCGGGCATCCTTGCGCAGCCGGCGCCAATTGAGTTTCACATACGAAGTGACTGAAGGACGAAAGTCTTTGCGGTGCTGGGCTACGGCCACATTATTACCAGGAGATCTGGTTCTAATGAATTGATACCCTTTGAGCTTTGACCGCGTTCGGAGCGTGTCACATCCTGTTCTTTTGCGTTTACTATCAGGGTTTTCGTTTAGTCTTTTTGTTCTTGATTTGATAACTGCCCGGTGTCTTTGGGGACAGCCATGGACTTTTTATTTAGAGCCAATGCATGCTAGGTGTACTGGAGATTCAATGGGAAATTTGACAAAATCACAAATGGCTTGGAAGGTATTCTGACTGGGTGCAATCTAAGGAGTGAGTGATGAGGATTAACCAATAGCCCCAAGTTGGTTGCCTTGGCTAGCAGAGCCCAGCATCTCATGTACGTTCATTTGAAATCGGGAACTATTGACACAGTCAGGCACCTGCTCTGTTTCTATAGTACCTAGGCTAGGTATATCTACGAGCATACGTAGGTAGATATATATATTTCAAAGCCCTGAGAAGTATATCTTGTAGTAGTGATATATCAGATGCACATTTCCCCTTTAGTTACTGGCATAAGTAGAAATGAAAGTTCCGCCTCCTGATCAAAAGAGTCAACTGGATGTATATTTATACACAAGTGTCACTCCCCTATATCTCGCTACTGCTAATAAGATCTTTTTTTGTTATGAACAAGTTCTCTCTCACTACACCCTTTGCCTATTTCTCAGCAGATGAGCCATAGAGATTCTTGATGGTAACATCAAACTCCTCGGGCCGCCGCCCTAATATCTGCTCCAGGGACGACGACACATGTGCGGTTTCTCCCGCACGAATGGCATCCCACGCAGTTGCCCAGGTCCGAGAGAGAGAGTTGCACCCAAACTTTGTGGCGACCTGCGGCTGGGCGGAATATTCATCCACAGTAACTTGGCGGATGGTCAATTCTCTACCCGCCACGGTGGAGAGCAACTTGACGGTATCGGCGAGAGACCATTCCCGAGGTCCGGTCAAGGCCACGAGCTTGTTCTTCCGTTGAAAGTTGGCTGGGTCTTGGTACTGCTGGGCAATCAGGTTTGCTGAGGCTTCGCCCAGCTCGTCACGCTTGGCCCAGCTTATGCCAGGGCCGGCACCGTCGTGGGGGATGAGAATCTCGGTGGTGGATTCGTCTTTCAAGTCCAAGAAGGCGGTGTAAATGGGGAACGATTCGTGATAGAGGCCCTCCCTGATGGCTGTCCACGAGAAGCCGGGATCCTGGTCGGCGAGTTTACGCAGATGGGCCTCGGTGTCGAGGTGGGCGCCCATGACCTCTGCCAGCGTGGTGCTCTTATCAGGCAGGGCAAAGGCGAGGGACGAGTAAAAGACGTGCTTTACGCCGGCTCTGTGGGCGGCATCGAGGGCTGGAATGTGCAGTCCTGTGCGGTACTCGCGGACGTGGCTGGGGTAGGAGATGAGGAAGAGGGTGGTGATGCCTTGGAAAGCGGCTTCGAGGTCAGAGGGCGATGCTTCGTATGAGGATTGGCGGAGATGGACGCCTTGCTCCTTGTAGATTTGGGGAGTCTTTTCTGGGAAGCGGCTGATGAGGACGACGTTGGAGGCGGGTATGGCTTTGAGGAGGTGGGTGTAAGTGCTGGTGCCGAGACCACCAGAGGCGGGGAAGACGCCAATGGTCGACATGGTGATGATTTGGCAGGTTGTATGTGCTTGGTATAAAACCAATTTCTTTGCGAAGTGATGAAAATAAGTGGTAAATGGTATATAATAAGTAGTGTTGTGGTGTTTAGGTATATTGAGATGCAATTCTATCTGTCTAGGTACTAAATGAATCTCGCAAGGCTACGGGAATGGCTCGGAGATTCTGTCCAGATATTTAGTAATAATGTCGCCGGCATTGGCTACAAAGGTACAATGACGTATGCATCAATCCGGAATAAGAGCAAATGTTGAAGCTGCAAGTAACAAGACGACACTCGATAATGAAGCTCTCAAAAGACCGAGAAAAGTGACCAACATCCCACGTTTACTTTGGCGTTGGTTTAGGCAGTTCTCCCTCTTATTTTTAGAACCTGTTCGGTTTTGTTTCAGTGGCGCAGATGCTGTCCGGAGCTCGCGGGCTTGGGAACGTTCGTGTTGAGCCCCAGCCGAGGATTAGGCGCGGAAGGGGTTGCTTCTTGTCTATCGTCGTACCAACTACCTCGAACCTTTTGCTCCCTGTTCATGATCCGGCTATTTTTGATGCACCAAGTGAATTGCGCAAGGAGGTTTTCTTTAGAGCCCTCCATACACTAGAGGTTGACTCCCGGGGCATTCATCAGCCTTTTTGCCAAATGCCCAGCGGGTCAGACAGCCAAGGCCAAGCGAGACACTCGATATGGATGGCGCCAATGCGGTGATGGCGAGAGGTAAGGGGAAGCTCCTATTCTGGCTGCAGAATTGGGAGAAGCGAAAGAGCTAATGTGACAATGTTTTCTCTCGGTTAGACGCCTGGGCGTCAATTCCATCGAGCCTGCTCCAGGCCGAACTCCAGCGACGACGAGACCAGGGCGAGAGACCGCAGTGCGGCGGGCACAACTCGGGATGGTATGACACGGCTGCGCACATCTTTGCGCTGCTCTTGATTCTCGTCCTGAGCACACTCGGTAAGGAAGATGACAGATTAAGGGGGTTTAAAGAGGCTAATTTCAGGGCTTTGCGCCATAGGTTGCGGCTTTCCGCTGCTATCCCGGAGAGCGACAACGGGGCATCGACAAAAGACAATCATATTCTACTCCCAGCATATCGGCACGGGCGTGCTTCTCGCCACGGCATTTGTGCACCTGCTGCCGACCGCCTTCTCATCCCTGACCGACCCATGCCTGCCATACTTCTTCAGCCAGGGATACACTCCTTTCCCAGGGCTCATTGCCATGGTCTCCGCCATTGTCGTTGTGGGAGTTGAATCGTTTCTGACCGCCCGGGGCGCGGGCCACTCGCATTCGCATGCGCACGACTTCTGGGACGAAAACGATGAGGCTGAAGGCGATGCGCAAGAGTTGCACATGGCAGGCGAGGGCTTGTCTGGCAGGCGCTCGCATGTGACGGGACGACGACCGGCGGACATCTCCCTCGACCACTTGGAGGCGGCAGAGGGGCTCATTGCAGGCGCCTCACCCTTGCCCCAGTCGAGCCCAGCGTTGCAGCGGCGAAGATCTGCAGACGACGACGACGACCGAGAATCGGACCTGGACCTGGACCTGTCGGAACTCGATCCTGCCCCTGCCGGTGGGAGTGCTCAGAGCGGTGCTTATTCTTCGCTTGCCAAGCCCAACACACGACGTGGCGGCGAGACTTCAGACGGGAACCAGATACAATCCCCTGAAGAGCAGAAGCGTCGGATGCTGCAGTGTCTGTTGCTGGAGGCCGGCATCTTGTTCCACAGTGTGTTCATAGGAATGGCCATCTCTGTGGCTACCGGCCCGGCATTTGTCGTCTTCTTAGTCGCCATCAGCTTCCACCAGTCGTTTGAGGGCATGGCCCTGGGGAGCCGCATCGCGGCTATACAGTTCCCCAAGGGATCCATCCGCCCCTGGCTCATGGTCCTCGCCTACGGAACCACGACGCCCATCGGCCAGGCAATCGGCCTCGTCCTGCAGAGGAAATGGGACCCGAGCAGCGCCACGGGCCTTGTGGTCGTGGGCATCACAAACGCCATCTCGTCGGGCCTGTTGCTCTACGCGGGCCTCGTGCAGCTGCTGGCCGAGGACTTCTTGACGGAGAAGAGCTACCGCATTCTAAGGGGCAAGAAGCGTGCCCAGGCCTACTTTTCCGTCGTGGCTGGCGCGGCGCTCATGGCAGCCGTTGGAGCGTTTGCTTAGTCCTAGCTATCTACTAAGCGTCTTTGTGTCATTTATGTGTGTATATGTTTGCCCAAAAAGAGGATTCGCATCTCGCGTTGATATAGTCTGCATTCTTTCCTTCTTTCTTTCTTCCCCCTTGATTGAAGTCATTTAGTTTATGAGCTACCGTTTGGCGTTGGTAGGTTAGGGACCAGCTATATAGAGACATGGAACTTTTGTTTTTAGCATGTAGCATCTACACTTTAGATAGGGGGCTTTGTCGGAGTTTTGCGAGCAAAATATATGGCGTGTGTCTTTGCAGTTGTTCATTCGCCTTGAGTCTGGTCATGTCTGATTAGGTTGCTTCCACGTAGATTTCGTAGTGATTTACAATTATTGATCAAGTCTCTGTTTCAATCTTCGATGAACTGGGTACGTGGTCGATAAGATCAAAAGCCAATATGTTGTTCCTAGTCACAAGGCTGGGGCGTGTGATTCAGCAAACAGGTACCTTAATGGAAACGGCCCGAGAAACAAGGTTCAATAATGACTCCTCGAGATGCTCTATTGTATGGGGAGCAGCAAGTACTAAATACCCAGTTATTCAAGTATCGGCTACTATTACCATTCTTTGCTACAGCTATATTTGTCTAGTATTTGCTACCTGTATAGCTACATCTCTCCAGTATCTGCTACTATAGTTACGTTTTCCCAGTATCTGCGACTATGATTACATTTCTCAAGTATTCGCTGTTATAAATACGTTTCTCTAGTATTTGCTATTGTGTACGGCACGTAGATACTGGATAGCAGAATATTTAGGGGTACTGAATGGGCATTCCCATTGTACAATAGATGTAGATATTTCGTGGAGAATTGAACGGCAAAAACGGAGCCAATCCATATTTTTGCCTTTTATCACGGGAGGTATGATGGCCATGTAGAGATGAAGCTTAACAATTGCCTGTGGCATGAACAAAACACACACAAAGACATTGTAGTATGCCCTTCACCCCCTTCTTTCATCTGTATAGCATCATCGTTCACACACGTTCAAAGCTTCGACACTCGGATGAACAAGCCAATAGATATGGGTATAAATGGGAGAACCCTTCGTGATTTAGAGCATGGCCATTTGGAAACCTTCTCTGATAAACTGCCATCCACAGGTAAACCTTAAGAGAAAGTGGCATATATAGAGCACCAACCTAACCAGTGGCTTTTTCTTTCCTCAGGGAGAGAGAGAGATTTATATTTTAAGATACCAGTTGACCTGCAAAGTCGATTCTTCATTCGGCTCCGAAATGGGTTCATGTTTTTCTGCCCCTGAGCCTTCGCCGCGACGGCGACGGCGACATACACGATCGTACGTATCATCTCAAAGGAATAATAACCGTTAACAGCTACTCTATCTTGAATACGAATACTAATGCTAAGCATTTCTAGTCGTGCCAGGTGTGTCCCGGCTCAGTATGAATTCTACTATTCCACTCGAGGTGACGAAACGGTCTTGGTTCGGGAACCAATCGAGCAACCTCCCAGGTGCAAACCTCGATGCCCCCAACATTGCGATACCACCACAGTCTCTGTTTCGATGAATGTGAGTCCTCCAACTGAACCTCGAGATAGGCATCGCGAGGACGCAGAGCATAAGAGAAGAAGTCACAAGACGAAAAAGAAGAGGTCGAGCCACCACAAAAAGAAGAAGAGAGGACACCATCGAAGCAGCAGACGGAGCAGCCGTCAGTGTAAGCAATCATCTATCCTCCACCGAAGCGAGAGAATGAAAGACAGCTAACGATATCTTGACCCAAAGATACTGAAACTGAGGCCGACAGTGCTTGGACTGCAGACGACGACAACCACTACCAGGTTGCCCTTTGGATCGGCGAGTCCTCGCGAGCACCCGGCGGCACAAACTCTCCGCAAGAAGGCGGTTCCGGTGCCCGCGAGGCTGCGGAGGATGGAGATGTTTCTTCTCCTGGTGAAGAAGACGGCGGCGAGACTCCGACTCCAGAAGGCTCCAAGAAGCCGAAAAAGAATTAGATCCTATTTCGAATCTGTCATCAGCTGGTTCAAGGGCCAGAATGAGATTTAATAAATGGCTTTTGTAGCCAACAATGCATTTCGCCAATAGCGAAAGCTTGGCCCCTTTATTCACTCCAACATCTGGAACAATATCAGCAATACCATTGACATCTGCTGTGCTTTTGTGCGAGTGTACCCTGAATCACATCAGATGAAAAGACCCAGTCGGTGAAAGGAGCAAAAGATGCGGGTTTGGCACAAATAGATGCCGATTTCTGTCAAGGGAGCGTCACCAGGCCATGACAGCTGCCAGCGCTGGAGTGGTACAAGTGGCCGTTGTTTGTCCTGCCTGCTTGCTTGCTCACCTGCCAAACCACCAGTTTTTCTTCTTCCTTTTTTCTTTTCGTTTTCCTTTTCCTTTGCAGAGAGAGATGACAGAAATTTCTCCATCCCAACGTTTTGCAAAGACCTTTCTCCTACTTCAAGAGTCTCGCACTAAGAGATCCGAGAGTCGTTCATCGCCTAGCCCCCCTTATCTCCAAAATGGGCTGCTGCTTTTCCAGCCAGGCATCGAGTGCCGCGTCTCACGGTGAGAACCAACGGCCTGCTACTCCTCCACAACAGTAAGCTTAACTGATGGCATTTGTCTCACTCCCTTTTCGGCATTCTTTGCGAATGCTAACCGTGGCAGAATCTCACATCAAGGAGATGATGGCGTCTTGCCAGAGGCTGTCGTTGCGACAACACCAATCGCTGCCCCCGTCGCGATATCAGGAGTTGAGCAAGGAGCGGCCATTATCGATGCCATCACTCCAAACGAGGCAGGCCCGAGTTCATCAGAGTCTCGGCGTTCAGAGTCGTCGGTTTCACGGCACATCATTCTCGAGCCAACGGTCTACGTCCCTCCATCTCGGACGAATGAGGCTGCAGAGCTTGACGTGACACCCGTTCAATCTGCTGGATCCGGCGATAATCACGTCAAGAATACATCTTCGTCAAGTTCCAGTTCGAGCTCGAGTTCGGGGTCCGGCCGCGGCTCAGGTTCCAAGTCGAGCCACGAAGAGCAGTGAACTATAACTATGGAAGGCAAAAGCGGCACTGAATGCGTGTGGTTTCAGAGTATCTACGAGGTTCAGGGCGGTCATGCGTAGAGGTATAAAAGAGGCAGAATCTGCCTCGCAATCAGCCTTTTCTTTGTGCTCAATGGATGGTTGCACGAGGCGTTGGGGACATGTCGGTGTCAGGGTTAAGCCTCTGTCTATGCACAAGGCAGTGAGGTTTGTTATGCAGTCAACGGCTTGGGGTGCTTTGGTAGCAGTTGGTAACGGATAAATTGATCAATTACATTTCAGCCGTTGGATGTTCCCGTTGCTGTAACCATATTTGCACGCACAAAGGGGCTCATGTCAAAGAAATCTTCGGTTGAACAAGTCTTGGGCAGCACAAAGGAACGAGATGAAAAGAAGCGGTGGAGAGATACTGCTGTAACTGCCGTAAACGGGATGGAATGTAAACAGACGGCATCTAGAAAGCAAATAGAAGCTTCAAGTTACCGCATGCAGCCTCGTTTGTTTTATTTATTTATTTATTTACTTATTTATTTATTTACAGAAACTCGTGATGTGCTCCTTCTCGCCAAGCCAACCACTTCTCTTTCACCTGGCCACTTTTCGGGAAACTTGCTCAAACGCTCTCAGACAAACGGATTCGGCCAACAGAAATTTCAGTCTCGCTCCATCCACCTCTCCATGTGCTGTAGAGGCTCAATTCCCACCCGCTACGATGGGCTTCCAGGTGGCAGCTGCCAGGCAGATTCGGCAGCTGGAGGCACACAGCACCTCTGCCCAGTAGCCATCAGCGCTTCTTTACAGTAACTCCAGTGCCCTCTTCGCCCTGGATCCGCGCATCAGGTGCCCCCTATTCTGCTCATGCTGTGCTCCCACGATAAGCGATTGAGGTGATCAATGCGCTGGCCCTATAAATACCATTGACTTCTCCAACAGCATGCGGTGCCTCGTTGTTCCAGCTTCATCCATCGCCTGTTTTGTTGGTTCTGAGGCCAACTTTCAGGTTTCAACGCCCCCTCTCTCGTCTTCATCTTATTCAAGCTACTCATTCTTCTTCTTCCCTTGGGCGATACGCAGCTCATCGAGTCCGAAGCAGTGATGGATATGGACATGGGCATGTCGTCCACCACCACGGCCGCCAGCGCCAATCCCACCAGTACCATGATGCCTAGCAGCATGGATGACGACATGGGAATGGGAATGGGACCGGCAGGCATGTGCAAGATCTCTGTAAGAAACTTCCCATCAAAATCAAATCGCAAATATGCGGCAACGGGAGCTGACTCTAACTCTCCGTCACAGATGCTTTGGAACTGGAACGTCATGAACACCTGCTTCATTTCCAAGAGCTGGCAAATCACGTCCAAGGGCATGTTTGCGGGTTCCTGCATCGGCGTTGTCCTCCTCGTCATCGCCCTGGAGTTTCTCCGTCGCCTGTCCAAGGAATACGACCGCTTCCTGATCAAGCAGCACGTCGCCAAGTTTCGGGACGCTTCAGCTCCCACCGCGGTTGCTGCCACACCCGCAGACACGGCCGTCAAGACGGGCGGCGAGTCGGTCAAGACTCAGGATGTAACTTGTCCCGCCGGTAACGCCATGCCGCCCTTCCGCCCAAACGTGCTTCAGCAGGCCATCCGTGCGTTGCTGCACATGGTTCAGTTTGCCGTTGCATACTTTGTCATGTTGCTAGCAATGTACTACAACGGGTACTTCATCATCTGCATCTTCATCGGTGCCTACCTTGGTGCTTTTGTCTTCCACTGGGAGACTTTGACTGTCAGGTAAGCCAACTTATGAGGGAACAGCAAACTCACGGCTTGTCTTGTATTTGTACTGACCTGTCGGCAGCTCTGAGAATACAAGTGCTACAAACAACGTTACAGTCTGTTGCGGCTAAGGGGTGGATTGCTGCATTCCCACCCGCGGGCTTGGACATCAAGCAATAAGAGGCACATCTAGTGGGCATGCATGGCATGGTATGTTTGTGGAAAATGGTTATGGCATCCGGACATGAGGGAGGGAAACGCCAGTGTGGCAAAATAATATAGACATCATTCCAGCATACACCGTAGGCGTGTAGCTAACAGGATTAGGAGTAATATAGCAATGGAAGCATCAAGGCATGAAATGGTTGCCTTCATTCACGAGACGAAATGTGGTGATGAGAACCTCGTTGAAGATGGAGCGTATTCGGTATGTAATGAATGGTTCCTCTACGGGCAAACTGCATAGTCGGAGGACTGCCTTGGTACCTGGCTCTCTAAACACTCGCTACCGTTGCTATTATCCATCTTGTTCTAGCAGGCGGTATTATCAGCTACTACCAGGCAGTAGCTTTAGTATCTACTAATCTTGACGTTGATTAAATGACTGTCACTTGTAGTGCTATCAACTTCAATCTTACATCTGCTCCATACAATGGCAACAACCTTTTTGCAGTACCCACCCAGCAGGCTGTCACCATTTGCTATTATTTATTACTCATTCTTCTAGTATCTACCAATAATACCAACTATTGAAACTTGTTGGAATACGAGACACTGGTCAGTTTTCCAATTGTTGATGTCTTCAAGCTGCGTCTACCGGGTATCCTATCCCACCACTTGCCCACACTCATCCCACAACTCACCGTGTTCAAGTTGACACTCACCAACACCTTGCACTGTGCGGACCCCCCTTAACAGAAACAAAAAGACAGACAAAATCACCTCAGCCTTACCTTGGCAACTTGGCTTCAGCCTGTCAGACACGCTTATTAATCGGATGCCGACGCGGGCAAACCATCCATCGCAACTCCGGACTTGTTTCTGCGTGATATCTCCGTAGCGCCACCTGGAGCCAGCCCCTGCAGCAAATTAGCACCAGACTACAGCACTCGCCTCATCTGTCTACCTGCCCTTCGCTAGCACCGGCTACCGCAGCTACTGTACGAGTACATGCACTGTAAGCTGGGGAGAGGCAGTACTCGTAGCCAAGGTACTGGCGCTCCAGCCTGCCTGCTCGTATTAACCTTAGGTACCCCCCGTATGTCTGCATTAGTAAACTCCCGTCTTCATCCAACTACCAACCATTGATTGATTGATCCTATCCTGACCAGCATCGACGATATCGATATCGCAACAACCCAAACCGCGGCAGATTCCAATTCTCAATCCCAGGGCGACTAATCGCACGGCCAGAGGGGGCGCAATTGCTCTGAGCGGCAATGTCCTCCATCAAGCATCTGCTGTCGTCCAAGGTGCGGTCGCAGTCCGGCTGCTACACCTGCAGGCTGCGTCGCAAGAAGTGCGATGAGCGTCGCCCCGAGTGCTCGGGATGCGCCGCCCTGGAAATCACATGCTACTTCGGCGACATCAAGCCGGACTGGATGGATGGCGGGCCCAAGCAGAAGGAGATGGCCGAGTTTGTCAAGGCCCAGGTCAAGAAGCAGGCCAGCCAGCGCCGAGACCGCAAGTACCTCGACATGCTGGAGTCGGGCACCCGCAAGGTGAGCCTCAGCGACGACCCCAAGATCGACGTCGAGCGAGGTTATTCCGCGTCGGCGCCGTCGACAAAGGAGTCGCCCAACAGCCACGGCTCCGGCAGCACGGCCGCAACGTCGCCGCCCGAGATCCCATGGCATAGCCAGACCTTCATGGGCAACACCGACGAACAGGCCGAGTTTGACCGGTCCGCCGACATTCACTACGCCTGCATGTATCTGGACTACGTCTTTCCGCATCTGTTTCCTCACTATCGCCCCCACATCCTGGTGGGTGGCCGTGGCTGGGTGCTGGATACGCTGCAGTCTAACAACAAGTCGCTCTACCACATCACCGTGTCCCTGGCGTCGTACTATTTCGCCCTGATCCTCAACAATGGAGAGCCGGAGCATGAGGAATGCATGAATAAGATGAATCAGAACCTGCAGAGTCAAATGGAGCTGGGCCTGCGCGAGCTGCAGAGGGAGGTCAGCTCGCTGCACAGCCGTAAGATGGATCCGCGCGAGGGGCTCGTCGTCATGGAGAGCATCATCCAGCTGCTCATCTTCGAAGTCGCCATGGGCAACCGAGAAAACTGGAAGCTCCATCTCGATGCTGCCATTGCACTCTTCCGCCAGATACTCCCGAGCGCCGATGGTTGGGAGGAAATGCTACACGGCCTCGTCAACCATCGCTGGCCACCGCTAGAAATGGGCATGAAGCGGCCCTGGAGCACCAGCCAAGCCGCCTGCAGATTCTTCACGGCCAACCTGCTCTACATTGATGTCATGTCGAGCGTCTCGCTTGGGTGCCCCCCTCGGCTGTACAATTATCAAAACACAATCATACCCTCGTGTAAGACGACGGAATGGAGCCCCTGCACCATGGGAGAAGGACCTCTCCGCATGGAAGAGTTTCGTGGGCTGCACAACTGGGTTCTCCAGGTCATTGGCGACATAGCGTCGCTCCACGCGTGGAAGAAGGCACAGAGCTTGGCTGGCTCTTTATCCATCAACGAGCTCTTGAATCGCGGCACAATACTCATAGACGCCATCAAGGGGGGGATCATGGCCATCCAAACAACATGCCCGCCGCCCGACACGGTTGCCACCGTCATCTCGGTACCGGTCCTCGGTGAGCAGCCATCATATGCGATGCACAACACCATCTGGCTCAACGCAGCCTTGATCTACCTCAACACAGTCCTCGCCGGCTGGCAACCCTCATGCCCGGAAGTCAGTACTGCCGTGGCCAACACCACCGAAATGCTGTTTAACCTGCCAAGAGGAACCTGCCTGGGAGCACTGGCCTGGCCTCTTTGCGTGGCCGGCTGTCTAGCACCTCCAGAAGACGAAGCCAAATACAAGAGCATAGTAGCCCGGCTCGGTGGGCTGCAGCTGTTTGGCTCGCTCAGAGAAGCCATGAACATCATGGAGCAGGTCTGGGCGCAGCGCCCTCTGGACGAGAGCTGGGACGTTGCCCAGTGCATGAACATTCTGGGGCATGGAGTTGTGTTGCTATGATACCCTTCCCGACAGTTCGGCGGTGCCTTTGTTTTCGACGGCTGCGAGGCCACCAAGGCTTGCTTGCTTTTTTTTTTTAATCACGTTCAACTGCTTGGTTTTACATGTGCCATGTTGTATATTCCATATGTGAGAGAATCTACCATCGATGAACTTAATTTCCAATTACCGAATACATGTATTAAGAAGACTTTCATATGATTTTCCTTTTTTTTCTTTCCCGCCAAGGGGCAATTGCCCAATGCAAAACATGTGCTGATTTTGATCCACACGCTGGGTGTGTGCTGTATAACCACACCACCCCCTTTCCAGACATGAAGTTTTAATTTATTATATGCAGTTGAAACTAGAGAGAAGATCTATCCGGATTTCCCTCCAAACAACGTCTGTCTCTTCTCCATCAAGCCCAAGTCCCACCAGCCCTCCAGGTGCTGGAGGAGCGTCTTGCGCTTCGGTTTGCTCGTCGCCGACATGGGACTCGCGAGAGGCACGTTCAGATGCGACGACGGGGGAGACGGGGGAGATGGAGGCATTGGAGGAACTGGAGGAATTGGCGACCTTTGAGCAATGTAGGCGGCCGGCAGTGGTGGTAGAGGCGGCATCTCCTCCACCGGATGCCTGACTCTACGCTTCGTCTTTTTCGCTGCCGCGGGAGGCGGGGGGAAGTAAGGATGGCGGTCGTTGAACAGCGGGACGGAGACGTTCATGTCGAGGTCCTCGTCGCCGTCATACAGTGACCCTCGGTCCTGGTGCTGTGCCGTCGTCGACATGGCCATTGTCCCAAGGCTCCGGGCCTTGCGCAGGACGTTTGGCGTCGGAGGCACCCCCGAGAAGCCGTCGGCGCGGCAGCCGTACCCTCATTCGAGGTCCATGGGCTTGCGCGGGCGGCCTGCTGCCCCCTTGACGCGCTTCCACAGGCAAATGGCGGCGACGGCGGACATGAAGAATAGGATGGAGGTTGCAATGGACAGGCCCCAGATGGCTTTGATTTCATAGCATGAGGGCTTGCTGGGGTCGACCCATTCGAATGTGTTGGACGAGGCGTGCTTGACGTTGGCGAAGAGCGAGTAGATGAAGTTGCCTGTGTTGCCTTTCTTGGGGAACGCGCTGCAGTTGAGGTAGCTTACGGGCCTGCCGAGGACACAGGCCACGATGATGGAGGCGATGAAGCAGAGAGTGTCTGCTGCGGTGGCGACGAGGAGGGGGAGCATGTGATCCCAGTAGAGGATATAGCTGATGACGATGTATACCGTAGCCAGACAGGCCTATCACGGTTGTGTTAGCCATGGTCAACAAAAAAGAGATGGGGGTCATGAAACTCACAACAACCAGTGTGCCAACCAGGGCAGACGGGGTAGAGAAGTCACTCGAGACCAGCTCCGCAACAAAGTTGCCCGTGAGGCCAATGATGGAGACGAGCGACACTGCCTGCAGGAGCCTCATCATGGTGAACATTGCGCCCAGCGCGCCAAAGGCTGGCGGGGAGCCCATCTTGGAGGGGAGCGTCTTGAGGGAGAGCTTGGGGCGTGTGGTGTTGACGGTCTTGAGGGGGAGATGTTTTGAGTATTGCGGGATGGGAGATGGAGGTTTGGCGAGGGGCGGAATTTTGACGGGTTTCGACCGATGACGGTCGAGGAGAAGGAACGAGAGCTGTTGGATTTACAAATGAGTTCTTTTGAGGCGAGATTTGAAATGAGATGTTTGAGAGGGTAAAGAAATGTCGTAAACTCTTTGATGCAGGACGCGAGTCTGTTCAGTTCATAAAACGCAATGAATGAGAAACAGTGACAAGGAGAGATGGACAATAAGAAAACAAAGGGAAACGAACAAGGAAAAGGAAACACTAAGAAAAAAAGAAAGTGTTGGATGGCCTAATAAGATGAAAGAAAAGAAATTCAATCGAGGACTCAAGCACCTCTTTTATAAACCACATACTCCTGCACCCACACCCATCGCGATCAGATCGAAGAGGCCACGAACAGGCGCGGCCAAGCGACACAAAATAGCCGCGCCGTGTTTCAGGTCCAACAGTCATCCCAAATTCACGCCAAAAAAAAAAACACAAGCAAAACCAAAACTGCGGCAACCCAAAGATAATGTCGACCGTGGCATGTTGTTTTTTTAAGCGCCGGCATGGATCCCCGGCAGCCGGAGGATCGCGCCCCACATACCCGACGATTGGCCCGGAGTGCTCCGCTGCCCTCCCTCCCCTGGTCCAAGACGATCCAAGATGAAAAAAAAAAAAAAGGTGAGGCTCAGCTGTTTCGGACAGAAAAAAAAGAGAGGCGGCTACATAATGGGCCGCATGGTTTCTTTGGTCGGAGATATTTTGGCCAAAAAAAAAAAGGAAGCGGGAAAATAGCCAGCCAACGCACTCTTCGTCGGCAAGATGGCCCGGATTTCCAACCGTGTAAGAAGGTGTGTCGAGGTGAAAGGTGAAACACGAATGGCGAGACTATGCGCCGAGCAAAAACCTGTTTTCTTCTTCTTCTTCTCTCTCTCTCTCTCTCTCTCTCTCGCGTTGTTGTACTGTGTGTGTTCTTTTGCATTCACGACTGAGATTCTCCCGTTTGGCTGCTGCTTCAACTCGGTGTTTCTTCGTGAATTCATCAACATGCGCGCCCGTAACGCCTATCTAAGATCCCAACATGGCAAAATGCTGCATCCTCATCGCTCGCATTTTATGGCCTTGAACTCTATATGTACTTTTTTTTTGATACAGATGTTCCAGCCACTACAGTTATTATTTTAGACCCCTTGCTATCATCCTTGCCCAACGCAACCACACACACACACACACACTCTCTCTCTCTGCCTCTCCACTTCAACAAATCTCCCTATCCAAGTAAATCTCCAGAGGCAGAGCCCCCCTGTGGAGCTGCAGGCGCAGGTGCAGGCGCTCCCCAGATGCCGGCACTGCTCTTCTCCTTGGCCAATTGGCCCAGTGCTGGGCCGGCCGTGGGAGTGCTGGGCTTCTTGATGCCGACACTGGCCTTGCCCCAGAGAGCACCAAAGGCGTCGCCGCCGCCTCCAGCAGCTGCTGCCTTGCCGTTGGACTTGCTGGCGGGCTGCAGACCGGAACTCGGGGTCATGGACGAGACTGAAGCTCCCGTCGGCTGAGCCTGGACAGTGCCAAAGTAGTTTGGTCCTGTGGGCTGGTAGCTGGTGGACTTGGCGGGCTGCATTGGCGCACTGAACGCCGAGGCAGCCGCAGGCGTCGGGTTGGCGCTGCTGGCCGGTGAGATGGAAGCGATGTTGACCATCTGGCTGATGCCGGCCTGCTGAGGAGCCGACAGCGGCTTGGGGGCAGCGAATTGAGTGCTGGAGTAGTTGGGTGAAGTTGGGGAGAGGGGCTGCGAGAAGCCCGCTGCCGTTGGCGATAGAGGCTGGGCCGCTGGTGCTGAGGGTGCTGCTGCCGGCGCCGCCGATTGGAAGTCGTCAAACTCATCATCGTCGTCGTTGGCGGCCGTGTTGGCGCTGGTAAAGTTACCAAAGCCAGAGCTGCTTGGTGCCGCTACAGGAGCAGCCTGGGCAGGCTCATCAAATGAGAAGAGGTCGACCTCGGGCTCCTTCTGCTTGGGAGGCGGCGCTGTTGCTTTCTTGGCCGGAGAGCGCTCTGAAGCCCGTGGGGGGCGAGAGCTGGCAGCGGGCCGCTCGCCCTCGTCAAACTCATCATACTCTTCGAATCTCTCTGACCGGTTCTGGGTATCACGGAAGTCGCTTGCTTGGCCACCGAAGCCGCCGCCATCGCCGTATACGCCGCCGGAATAGCCTCCGTATTCCGTAGAACCGCCGCCGCCGCCGCCGCCGCCGCCGTAGCTGGACTCGTTGCCGAAGCCGCCAAAGCGTCCGCTGCCGCTGCCGCTCGAGAAGCCGCCGCCAAAAGTCATGCCTCCCTCCACGCCGGTATACTTGTTCTTCGATACTCGGGCCTTTTTGCGCTCTGAGCGGATGCGCTCCACGTCGCCCAAGAGCTCGGCGAGTTCCTTGGCTCGGTTTCGAACGTTGATGCCTTGGTCCTTTCCATTCTGGTCAATGAAGTGAAACTGACGCAGCATCTTTAGGAGGGTAATGTGTCCGCGCGCATCGTCGATGACGCGCTCCGACCCATGCTTGATGAGGAACTCGAGCAGCTGTAGACTCTTGTAGATTTGGCGCCACTCCTCGGCGGCCTTTTCCGTGAATCGCCGGTAGATCATGGGCATAATCTCGTTGAGCTGTTGGCTACATTGGGAGTTAGCCTCGTGTCACCTCGTGCCAGGAACAAAAGAGTCAAAGAACAAAACCCCGCGTATCCGAAGGGCCTGCGCGTGCGTACTAGTTGAATGTGCCATTGGCAATCTCCTGCATCAGGGTGGACGATGCTCCCCAGGGCTCGTTGTTTGTTGCCTCTCGCACCTGACGCGCCACATGTCAGCAAACATCCCGAGGCTCATTTGCCACGGCCACGGCCATTGAGATTGGCATCGGCATTGGCATTGGCATTGACAGAGCGCACCTTTGACTCCATCTCCGTGTAGTTCATGACGGCTAGTGTCCGCTCGCGTTAGCATCCATCCGCCTTCCGACGAATTGCTCCTAGGCAGCGAAAGACGGCGTACCATTTTGCGCCTTGCGGAACCCGGCCTTGAGATCATACAAGGTCAGGTTCGACACGGTGTTCTTGAGGTCGTTGAAATCCATTTTTGGGCGAGAATCGATGCGGCGACGATGGCGGAGGAGAAGTTGCAAGTCGGGATTCAAGAGCCAAAACGGGTGACGAGACTCTGGCAATTTCCACGGTGTCGCCGAGCCTGAACAACTGGACACAAGCGCCTTGGGGGGGAGTCTCCACTGGACTGACAGTGGCTAGGACGCAAAGAGAGGCGCTACAGTCACGTGATGTGCAGCGGACATGATGAGGGACGAGTACAGAGTACAGAGTACCGAGTATTCGACTTGTACATTAGGACTGTGGCAAGCAGTGGAAGAAGCGTTGCGAGGTACAGTATATGGATGTGTAGTTGAAGTTGAAGTTGAAGTTTACAGCGTCAAGGTCCCGTAGTAGATACGAAGTACATGGATTAGTTTTTGCAGTATTCGCTTAACATGTACCCTGTCTATCTCGTTTATCTCTATCTGTGCTCGTGTTTGCTTTTTTTTTGTTTTAACCTTTGATCGGTTCGATGACCAGTTCCCCTTCTGACAAATAACTGCCCGCTTCACCGACATTGGCATCTACTCAAGTGGAGGTCAGAAAAAGCGAGACCGCAAAATAAATAAGTGCATACACACAGCAGTATAAGCACTTACTTAATTACTAAGTTTATGTAGTACCTTTATAAGGAAATATCTATTCAGCTAGTACCTGAAGTTAACTATAACTATAGTAGCAGTTACTATAAAAATATAAATATAGTAGTAATTACTAAAGAAATATAAGTATAGTAGTAATTAATAGAGAATTGTAAATATAGTAGTAGTTGATAGAGAAATGTAGATATAGTTGCAGATAATAAAAGAACGGGCTGGTGTATAATTTATCATGTAGGTGTTCATAATCCTCTTTGTCTCGGGTTTTCTGTCCGCCACTTGCTACGGTCCTCCGTACTGGCCAAGAACCAACATCCATGTACCATTACTAACCAAACGCCAGCTCAACTCTACATTTTGAACCTGAGACTTCAGGCAAAAACACCAGCGCCGGGGTACGGCACTTCGTACCTCACCTACTGACATCACCCAAAACTTTTCATTTTCCTGCGAGCTGTCCCATCAACCCCGGTCTCCAGGCTGCCTTACCTCTTGCTGCATAGATTCACTGCCCATTGTAAACATTGTTTTTGACCTCAAGCTCTTGCAAGGTATGCTGCACCCGTTTCCTTGTCGTCAGTTTTTCCCTTTGCGTTTTGTGTTTTGTGCTTTGAGGCGCACCCAGCCAGCACCGAGGCTCGTCTCAACAAAAAAAAAAAAAAAAAAAAACCTGCCGGCCGCAACAAAGCCTCGACAACCAGCCAATTGCCACCGCCCAGCAAATCGCACCGCTCGCCCCGGCCTTTTGAACCGGTTTTTTCTCTGCCAATCAGTTGAAAATTCCAAACAGCCAGTTTTCCTTTGAGCATGGACCAAATGATAGGCGGAGCAGCTCCGCCCGTGCGAATGGGTTGGAAGGGCTCCTTTCGCCGGCCGTCCAATCAGCGCCACCGTCTGCCCACAGCCCACCTGCAGCTGGGCGCACACCAAGTCACGTCAGCTCGCTGCCATCGGAAGCCAACGGTCCAATTGAGCAGGATTCCGGCGCGAGGGAAAAACGCAAATCCGAGCGCTGCTTGACCTGACCGGCTGCGTCTCCAGCGCGAAGCCCGGCGATGATGCTGCTGTGGCGGATGGCAATGGCGGATGGCAATGGCTGGGCAATTGGCCGTGAGAGAAGCTCTGAAAAAAGCTCTCAGAGCTCGCAAAGCTACATTTGCCGCCAAACGTCAAGCTTGCCGCGTACCCTGGACCGCCTCCACGTGACTGGCTCCTCTCGTCGCACCCCACCCGTCGCCCTTGTCTCATCCCGCTGATTGGCCACATCCCGTTACTAACGTTACCCCTCCAGTCACGTTCAAAATGAGATCAGCTTTCTTCCAACCCCTCCTACCCCGCCATAACTTCTGCTCCCCGGCCTTAAGAACTTTCTCCCTCCCTCAACGCATTGCTGCTACGAACACCTTTGCGACTCCTCGATTCTATTCACAGCCCACCAAAATGCCTAACACCAGAGTGTAAGTCCCGTGCCACCGCTTCTGCCCTCGCCGCTCTCCTCTGACGTCTTGCATCTAGTTTCTTCGACATTGCCTGGAAGGGCCCCGTCTTCAAGGACGGCCGTCCTACCCCCGAGATCAAGGGTGAGTCCAATTCTGCCCCAAAGCGCCAATTCACCGACGGTCTCTATTGGGGATCCCGATGGAAGGAGAATTGAGCTGGACCGACGGTCTGACCTCCTTTTCCCCCTCTGCCCTGGAGCTTGTGCTCTGGCACCCACTCACACCCTGCCGGTCTGATTGGACCAGCGGATACAGGCTGGGCCTCCCCCCCTTCTCCAAATCATCACCTCATCTGCCTGTAGCTATCTTGTGAAGCTTGACATTAATGCGTCTTTGGATAACAGAGCAGACCGGTCGCATCAACTTCACCCTCTATGACGATGTTGTCCCCAAGACCGCTGAGAACTTCCGTGCTCTTTGCACCGGCGAGAAGGGCTTCGGCTACCAGGGCTCTTCTTTCCACCGAATCATCCCCAACTTCATGCTCCAGGGCGGTGACTTCACCCGCGGTAACGTATGGCCGCCTCTGCCAGCACAATTGCAAGCCGTTGGTTGACTGACACCACTTCTAGGGCACTGGCGGCAAGTCCATCTACGGTGAGAAGTTTGCCGATGAGAACTTCCAGCTGAAGCACGACCGCCCCGGTCTGCTGTCCATGGCCAACGCCGGCCCCAACACGTAAGTTTAACCCAGGATACGTCATCAATGGGCCAGCACCAGCATCTAACTCTTCATAAAAAAAACAGCAACGGCTCTCAGTTCTTCATCACCACCGTCGTCACCTCTTGGTTGAACGGCCGCCACGTCGTCTTCGGCGAGGTCGCTGACCAGGAGTCCATGGCCATTGTTGCTGCCCTCGAGGCCACCGGCCGTGATGACGGCAAGGTCAAGTACGAGCCCCGCCCTACCATCACCGCCAGCGGTGTCCTGTAAGCTTGTGTAAAGAAGCAACATGCTCTGCATGTCCATTTGGTGGCAGTTTTTGGAACCATGAAAATTTATGGGGCGGATCTCAAGAGGCTACGAATGGTACCTCGCCATATCCTTTAGCCAGTCATTCAGGGTGCTGCAAAGCATAAAAAAATACAAGTTTTCCATTGCATCAAACAATTGAGACGGTGGATACGAAGCTCCCCATGTGCTACATGCTATTTCGTACCTATGAATGGCCAATTGTACACCGTAAATAATGTAAAGAATCGTTTGTTTTCAAAGACATGTGAAATGACGTCTTTAGTTTTGAGCCTCAATTAGAGTGAGTACTAGATTCCTACGTTCAATCTTGTGCAAATAGCTTGCCTACTACATGCATGATATACCTCCCCCGTTATGCGCCGAGTGCCCAAGTGTACCTGGATGTAGAAACAAAGCAGTATATACATTTCCATTGAATACAAAGGGGGATATCCTTATTCCAAAAAAAAAAAAAAAAAACCATAGAAGAGAAGAAGAAATCAAGAAAGAGAAGAAGAAAAAAACTCCAAGTGATGCAATTTTGATATCAGACACAGGCCCTCGCTGGGCCGCACTCCTTTTAGAAAATCTCCTTCCCGAGCCACTTTTTGAAATACTCGCAGTTGCTGGGTCCCACGGGACCGCCCTCCTCGCAGAGGTCAAAGACGGGGCACCGGCCGCAGGGGGCCTCGGTCAGCGGGCTCATGTACAGCTCGGGGCCTCCGCCGCGGCCAGAGGGGTCTTCGCGGCCGGCCCAGCTCTCGACGGACTGCTTGGCGATGCGCGACACGCGGTAGCCGACCTTGCCGGCGACCTTGATGGGCTCGACCAGGTTGTCCCAGACGAGCACGTCGACGAGCTTCTTGACGTCCCCCTCGGACAGGATAGTGTTATTAGTGATGCCGCTGGAGGAGAGAAGGCGGGCGATGTCGCGGACGGTCGGGTAGGCCATGTAGCCCGCCGGCAGGGGCAGCAGGGCGGGTTCTCTGCGGGATGCTGCTGTGACGGACGGGTTGTTGTTCTTGGCTGCTGCTGCGGCTGCTGCTACTGTTGTTGTTGTTGTTGTTGTTGTTGTTGTTGTTGTGGGAGCGACGGGCCTTGCCTCCATCTCGGTGGCATCGCGCTTCCTGCCCTTTGCCGCATCGCTGTGAAGGCCGCCCTTGATGATGCCCTTCTTGGGCACCTGCGCGTGGTGGGCGGCCTGTTTTGCAGCGCCGGCGTGGGTGCTGTGGTAGCTGCTCTGCCGCTTGATGAAGTCGAAGACGACGCGCTGCAGGTCCTCGATGAAGGCCTCGTCGAGGTCCTGGTCGGTGTACCAGGGCCCGCCGGTGGCGCGGTCGCTGGGCCGGATGGACGCCTTGATGTACATCTTTTTGTTGGGGTGCTCGACGTTCTTGAAGGGCGCGATGAGGCCCTTTGCCTGCAGCTGCTTGATTGCGTTTTTGAGGACCGAGTCGTGCATGTTGAGGCGCTTCTGCAGGGTTTGGGTCCAGATGCCGTCGCCGCCCGAGTCGTCGATGAGTGAGTACACCATGACCTGCTCGTCTGTTGTGCACTGCTTGTATCTGCCCTCACGTTAGCCAGTTTTTCCAGATCGAAAAGTCTTCCCTCTTCTTCTTTCAGACTCACTTGTGCGCTTCCTGCTTGTCGCGCCACTTCCACAGCACCTGTCCCGACGCCTCCCTCATGGTAATAAAGAGCTTATCGTCGCTGAGCGATTGCACGACCCGCGCCAGCAGCAGCAGGTCGCGGTTCGGAATCACCTCCATGCGCAACAAGTCGTCCTGCGAGAACATGTCGCCCTCTTCCCGGCACCGTTCGTACAGCAGCTCTTTAAGCACCGCCAGCTTCGCAGCGTCGGCATCGTTGCCATTGGCCCTCGAGGGCCCGGCGCCGGAAGTCGAGGCCGACATTTTCGGAGACTGGTGGACGGAAAGGAAAGGGAAAAAAAAAGCCTGCGCGAGGCGGAAAAGGCGTTGGGATGAGACGATCCCTCGGCTTTGTTTGCTGTTGTTGTAGCGGAAGATGTGAAGACGCCGTGGATGGTTCAATGTGTGATGGAGATTGAGATTTCTGAGTCACCCGGTGTCCCTCTCGGTGAGGCGGTGGTTGATGACTGTGTTGGCGCTACATTGACATTGGAAGTGATTTGATGGTAGAGCCTCGCTCTCTCTTTGTTTCTTGTCTAGTCGGGGCGATAGGTCAACACAGTGGGAATTGGTATCGTGGTGGGACACGAGCCTGATTTTGTTCTCTTTTTTTTTAAAACTTTTGCCATCACCAAAAAGCCTGGTGGGTACCTTGCAGCCGGCTTGCATTCCGGGAGAATCTCGGTGGCCATTCAACTTGTACATGTACTGGTGGGGGCGGGGCGACCATCGCGAGGCAGAGGGTACAAGGTACCAAGACTTGGAGATGTTCAATTAATAGACATTGATTGAGTAAACTGTGGTACTATTCTACTATACGCTCTTGATATAGACTCCGTGTGTAAATCAGAAAAAGAAAACAGATGAACCAACTGAAAGTTAGAAAGAGACACTGACAGATGGCTCAAGCTATCATGGCCATCCGTCGTTTGGCCTGTCAGTATCCCTCACGCCGGAAACGCCTCCCTCGCCCCGATTCCCATTGTCCTACAACGTGATTTGCATCAATCGAACTGGAGTAGAGATACTCCGTATAAACCAAATCGCTGGTACGCCCCCTTCACCCTATGCATCTTGTCTTTCATGCTGGTACAGACTCAGGCGGGGGGTGTGCTGGCCTTCTTCGGCTCTTCTTCATCCTTTTCTTGGTCGACCTCCATGGCATCGGTGGCCTCCGCCTCCTTCTCCTTGGCATCGGAAGATGGCTCGGGAGATTTCTTCTCTGGCTCGGCCTCGGAGGGCTTTTCCTCTTCCTGGACAGCTGCTTCTTCAGCAGGCTCGGCAGCGTCAGCAGGTTCGGCAGGCTCAGTAGGTGGAGCAGGGGCGGCTGCCGTTTCGGATTCCTCCGTCGTCTTCTCCTCCACCATGGGGCTCTTGCTGGGGACTCGCTCCGGCGCTGGTTCTGGCTCAACGTCCTCCTTCTTGATGGTCATCTCTTCTTTGGGCTCCGAGTCAGCCATGCCGACATCTCCATCCTCATCCACCTTGTCCTCTTGCTTTTCTTTCTCGGCTTCCTTTTCCTCTTCGGCTTCCTTCTCGGTCTCCTTTTCCTTTTCGGGTTCTTTGGGCTTTGCCTTCTTATCTACAGACGCCTTCTCCTGCTCGCCTGCAGCAAAGTCTTCAATGGTGTCATCGTTGATATCCTGAGAATCCTCTGCAGCTGGGCCTTCGGTAGCACCGCCATTTGTGGAAGCGTCAGCAGCAACGGCAGGGGAAGCGCGCGCGCTATTGTCCTCATTTTCTCCCTTGCGGAAGTCTGTATAGCTTCTCTTGTTGTTGCCATTCCGGGGAGTCACTCCATTTGCAGCAGCCAGGTCTTCATCGTCACTGGGCTCGAATTCGTTCTCGTGTTGGACACGCTTGTCCCAGCGATGCTCAGTCATTCGGACGTCTTTGTTCTCGTCCTCGTCTAGGTCGTCCAGCTCGGCTTCCTCTTCATCAGTCATGCCACCAAACTTACGGGGGACATCCTGCATCTGGACTGATGGGGCGGGGCCGGTCTGGCGGAGATTATCAATGACGGCAGCGGTAATCTTCTCCAGGTACTCCCTGCTGTTGGAGTTTTCCATGTTGGAGGCTCGAACATTGAGTTCAAAGTCGGGAGCATAATACTGGCCACTATGTCAGCTCACAAATCACGAGAAGGGTGGTAAACAGTGCTCATTGGAACATACCTCGTAATACTCATTGTATGGTAGGGCCCGGTCCATCTCTTGGCCGACCAGGACACCAGTCTCAAATGCCCAGGTTCGGGCCACATTGCGCATGGTGTAGCCACCACCGCCGAGGACCAATGTGGGCAGGTTGAAGCTCTTGACGAAGTTGACGCAGTTAGCGTGTCCGTCCATGCTCAGGTTGAAGGCGCCCAAACGATCGCCGGAAAGACTGTCACCGCCACACTGCAGAACAACAGCCTCTGGCTGGAAGTATTTCATGACGTTCTCAATGACAGGTTCGAAGATGGACTTGTACGATTCGTCGGTGATGCCGTCGCGGAGAGGGAAATTGACGGCGTAGTTCTTGCCCTGGCCGATTCCAATGTCACGCAGCTCGCCGGTACCCGGGAAATATTCGCCATATTTGTGAAATGACACAGTCATGACACGGTCGGTAGTGTAGAAAGCTTCTTCGACGCCATCACCGTGGTGAACGTCAATGTCAATGTAGAGAACGCGCTTCATGAATCGAAGAAGTTCGAGGATTCCGAGAACAATGTCTGTGATCAGGCAGTTAGCTTGGGTATGCTGATGGTGGCGACTGTAGTAGACAAAACGCACCATTGACGTAGCAGAAGCCACTGGCTTCGCACTTCTTGGCGTGATGCAGGCCGCCAGCCCAGTTGATGGCAATGTCGCATTTTTGTCGGTTGAGACGCGCTGCGCCCTCCATGCTGCCGCCGGCACTGATGCCACAGAATTCGAAAAGGCCGTCAAACACGGGGCAATCATCGCCGACATTGTATTTGCCTTGCTCCCTCATATAGCTATCCATGTTGTCAGGGGTGACCTTTTGGAGGAAGTCGATGTAATCGTCGGTATGGAACTGGGTCATTTCGCCGCGGGTGGCCGGTTTGGCGCGCTGTTTGCCATGTTAGCCAACATCTCACGACAATTCTGACGGGCCAAAAACTGCAAATGAAAGGAAAAGAACAAGAGTTTTGTTTCACATACGTAAATCTCCATCTTCTGGTACAGGCCGTACTGCATAATCAAACTATGAGCCAATCGAATACGATGAGGCTTCATGGGGTGACCGGTGACATAGGCGTAGTTTCCAATATCCGAATCGTAAAAGTAGGCGACTTTCTTCGGTGATGACCCGTTGAGGGCCACCGAGCCGAGTCCCGCCATGTTGCTGTCACCCATCTGGAAAAGCTGCAATGATGCAAGGAGCTGTTGTCTGTAAGAGATCGAGAGGCGTCGGTCGGTAGAATTGTGATTGATGCCGGTTTGATGGGATAAGAAAAATTAGAAACTAGACGAAGCGGCAGTGCGATTGATTTTTTGTCAAAGGCACCTCCGCATGATTTGTGTTGGCGATGTAAAAAGAAAAGTGAGAGAAAGCTGAGCTGAGTTGACCGTAAATGGTAGCCGGCGAAAGTTGTAAGGGAAGCGCGGCAGCCAAAAGCAAGGCCGCTGCAGAGTGCAGAGACGCGGATAAACTTTGCGGCGACGAGGCTGTAAGTTTTTATCAATGTTTGTCATCTGGCGGCGGCTTCGGATTGGCCCAACAGAAAGATACTAGGCTGCATCATACAGTTTGTACGTGCTCCGCATGTACTCCACACCACGCCATGGCAGTTGCTGGGCAAGTGGAGATCAGAAAAAGTAAGACCGCAAAACGAATAAGTGCATACATTTAGCAATATAGGCACATACTTCTTTAGTATCTACTACTATATCTTTATCCTTTTAGTATCTACTACTATATCTTTATTCTTCTAATATTTACTACTATATTTTTATTCTTATAGTAACTATTACTATATATATATATATTTATATACTAAGTATTCCCTCATAAAGGGACTATACTAATTACTATAAAAATAGAGATATAGTAGTAAATATTAGAAGAATAAAGATATAGTAGTAGATACTAAAGGGATAAAGATATAGTAGTAGATACTAAAAAGAATAGAGATATAGTAGTAGATATAAGAAGAGTAGGTGTATAATTTAACGCGTGGGCGTTTATAATCTTCTTAGTCTCGGTTTTTCTGTCCCCCGCTTGCTGGGATTTGCGGATTGGCAGCGGCAATTCACGTGACCTCATTATTCAGCAATCGACCCTGGTAGCAGGCTGCCGAACAACTGCGTCAACTTGGATATCAGCGGCTAGCTGCCTAGTACTAAGTCAAGGCCTGGGCTCCCTACCTAGCAGGCTCCAAACATCAAGCTTTGAACAACACACAACACGCCTGCTGCTGCATCACCGCGACATCTTTGATTTCAATTTCTCTCCATTCCCCTCTATACGCATCTTCAATCCCCATCACCTTAGACAATGGAGCGCTTCAGGAACTTGTTGGGCGGAGGTGGCATGGGCTTGGGAGGAGTTACGCCTGGCACAGTAAGCGTTCCTTTATCCGTCATTACAACTGCTCGAAGCTCTCGCATCTCCGGTGGCTTTGGCAAACTGAGCAACTGAGGTGGATCTGAAAGAACAGAGAGGGAAGAGGAAGAACACAGGTGGCTAATGGGGAATGTTACAGGACAACACCAGCCTAATCGATAACTCGGAAACCGTCTACATCTCATCCTTGGCCCTGCTGAAGATGCTCCGGCACGGCCGCGCCGGTGTGCCGATGGAGGTCATGGGCCTGATGCTGGGCGAGTTCGTCGACGATTTCACAGTCAAGGTCATGGACGTGTTTGCCATGCCACAGAGCGGTACAGGCGTTAGTGTTGAAGCTGTCGACCCTGTGTTCCAGACCAAGATGATGGATATGTTGAGGCAAACTGGAAGGTAGGCTGACATCCCGCAAGCGGAGGTGTTGCAACAGCTGTGGCTAACAAAGGCGGACAGACCGGAATCAGTCGTTGGGTGGTACCATTCGCACCCTGGCTTTGGCTGCTGGCTGTCGTCGGTTGATATCAACACCCAGCAATCGTTTGAGCAGCTGAACCCGCGTGCGGTGGCAGTAGTCGTCGACCCCATTCAGTCGGTCAAGGGCAAGGTTGTGATTGATGCTTTCCGACTCATCAACCCCCAGCTTCTGATGATGGGCCAGGAGCCCCGTCAGAGCACGAGCAACCTCGGCCACCTCAACAAGCCGTCCATCCAGGCGCTGATCCACGGACTCAACCGACACTACTACTCGATTGCGATCAACTACCGCAAGACGGCGCTGGAAGAGAACATGCTGATGAACCTCCACAAGCACGTGTGGACAGAAGCTCTGGAGATGGACGACTTCCGGACGGAGGGACAGAAGAACAAGGAGCGGCTGCAGAGGCTGGTCAGCCTGGCAGACGGCTACGAGAAGAGAGTCAAGGAGGAGACGGAGCTGACTAAGGACCAGCTCAAGACCCGCTACGTTGGCAAGCTGGATCCCAAGAAGCACTTGGAGGACGTTGGTCAGGAGCTGATCGAAGACAACATTGTGTCGGTATCAAGGCAGATGATTGACAAGGAGGCGACAATGCCCAAGAAGAATGGAGCTCTGGGGGTGGCTGCCCAATCCAACGGCGATCAGATGGAGACGGAGGAAGAGTTATAGACGAGTAGCAAAGCAAGGAGGGCAGCCATTATCATCACCCGCTCGCACTATATCTTGGGTGCCACCGCTGCTGCACACACACGTGCACTCACATGGGAGCTGGCTGGGGCACGCCTTATGCTTGAGGAAGAGGGGACTTGTAAAAAAAATTCGCACACCGCCGTTGCAGTCGTGGTCGGAAGAACGCGGGGCGATGAGAAGCGTAGCCGCGAGCGATGGGCGACTCTGACCACTTGGGGGTCTCTGGGCCGGTCAGATGGTGGTTTTGCGTGACCATGAGCTTATAGCCTCTGTCGTCGTTTGTCGCTTCTCTGGGAGGAATGCTTGGGCTCCCTTGCACCAGGACGTGAAGCCGTCGTCGGGCAGCACGATTCATGACATGTCACTATTTAATGAAGTTTATTTTTTTTATTCCATTTAGGGTTTAATATTTTTGTGCTTGACAAGTTGTAGTTGTAGTTGTGGTTGCGGTTGGGCTGAAGTGTCAAGTAGAATTGGTGGTTGCATATTAACGGCAACGGTACTCCGTATTAGTGTGGTGTGTTTGCCAGCTCTGGCGATGATATCATTTGCAAGGGACGACCACGAAGGAAAATTCAAAAATGATGTCCACGGTGACTGGATTTCGCAGGATTTGGAATTGAGGGCTTCGTGTGTGTATCGTGATGATGTGCGTTATTGAGTAACACTGCAGGTACACCGGCATATGCGAACTCCCAACAAAAAAAAAAAAGACGAAATGAAATAACGCATCCCTTTGAGTGCCAGGTGGTCCAACCTAAGTACCCGACAAGGGTTATAGCCAATTAAATTACCGTAAATTAAAGGTATATTAATTACCCGCTAAAATTAGCCTGTGATATAAGTCCCAGCAATTAGACCTAATACAAATAGCTATATCACACTTATCACAACCTATTAAAGTCCTTGGGGCGTTATAATTAAGGTTATTTCTACCTATTTCTGCAAGGGGTTTTTGCTTTTTTAACCTTACTAGACTGACTTAGTAGCCTTAGTAGGCTATACAGCAGTCTTATTTTCTTTAGTAGATGTGATTATACTGTAAAATTAGTGTAAATTAGTCTCCAGCCTGTAAATGCCGTTGCTTTAAGGCCTTACTATATATCTCATAGATATTATTAACTAAGCGTTATTGCTACTTAACTTAAGTAGTATAATATTTCTAACTTAGCTAGCTATATAGCTAAAGAAAATAGTTATTAACAAGGGCCACGTCTAGTAAGAAAAACTATGTAATTAACTACTAACTACCTTATTAAAAGTGGTAGTTGTAGCTTTAATAGCTTTAAAGCTAATTACTTATATTTACAGCACCTATATAGTTATTATAGTTAATTATAATAAATAGCTAGGTTATTATTTTTTTATTTTCTTAGCTAAAGGCTTACTTTATTAGTTAGGCCTGCAGCTGTGTTATATTAAGTCTTCGTTATATATATTATTAAAATTTATTTCTAAAATAAATAGTTAATAAAAGTAAAACTAGTGTATTATCTTTTTAAGCTATTTAATTAACCTAGGATAGATTAATAAAGGGTTTTTTAGTAAAGGTGTTAAATATAAACTATTTTATTTAGTATTAAAATAGCCTTAAGTTTATTATATAGCCAGTAGTTGCCTTTTATATCTTTTCTCTTTATAGTAATAAAGGGCTAATATAAACTATAATTTATATAGTAAGTGCCTGTAGCCCTAATCCCTTGCTAATAAAGGACCTAGAAAAGTAAAGGTAATAAAAATAAGTTATTTAAAAAGACATAGTAGCTAGCCTTAAGCAGCAGATTAACTAGGGCAATAACCACTAACTATATCAGATTAAAACTATCTATAGTATTTTTCTTCTTAGGCTACTACCACTACTACTACTACTTCTGCTTCTGCTTTAAAAAGCTAATAGCTTATAGCATATACTAAATCTACCTTAAAAAAAAACCATATTACGCTATAACCTAGTTTTTATAACCTATAGGCGTTAGTTTAGTCAGAATCGTCACCTTCTTGCGGGCCCGGCCTTAAAAAGCTAAAATATACTTATTAACAGCTATTTTAGTACTTAGGCAATAGATTTTATATAATATAACTTATAAATAAGTAAACCACGCGTAGATTCGCTTATAAGTTATTAAGCAGTCTTCTTTAGCTGCGTTAAATAGCCTTATGTATTAGAACAGCAGTTAAAATTAATTTTATATAAAAAACTAGGTAATAAGGTAGCTTAGAAGTTAGCTACCTAACTATAAGGTCTTTTAGTAATTAGCTATTTTAATTTCTTTATAAATACTTATATAAATTACAAGGGCTAGCTAAAGGTAGATTTCCTTAGCTATTATAGCCACTTAGTTAAGCTTCTGTAACGCCTTTGTTAATGGGCCTTTTAAACCTAAAATACTAGTATTTATAAAGGTAGCCTACTTAGTTGTAATTAATAAAAGTAGGAATAGCTGGAATAGTAATAGTGGCGTTATTAGTAAAGTGTTAATAATAGGGTTATATTATTAAATTTACAAAGGTTTAAAATAACGCCCTTATAAGGGCTCTGGGTTAAAGTTTAGCCGGACTATATTACTATTAGCCGGTTATTTAATTTAGCAATTATTTAATCATACGTCAAGTTCATTATTAAATTTATTTTAAATTATAATATCTTTAATATCTATTTAAAAGTATTATCAATAACAGTTACTAGTAATTTTAGTATGGCTTTTCTTACTAGTACATAAAGTCCTATAATATAGCTATCTAGCGTTGAATAAAAGTGGATACAATACATAGGTTGGACCACCTGGCACTCAAAGGGATAGCATTACGTTTTCCCTGTCTTGCCTTGTGTGTTGGTTCGCCACTCATCCAAGACAGAAAAAGCAAAAAAAAAAAAAAAAAAAAAAAAAAAAAGGCTGCAAGTTGTGTCTCGCTTGGGCATTTGGGATGCATCTTGGCAGTAGTCACACGGTGGTTTTGGCATCAGGCGGCGCTGGTTCGATTGGCGGCGACTCAGCCCTCAGACCCCTCGACCCCTCCCTCTCCCCTTGCGAGAAATGCATGGATTGTCGTCTCCGGAGCGCCTGAGAAGGGCACTGGGATCCCCCCCCCCCCTGGAAGCTAAAAGCACGCAGAGCCCGGGGGCCAATCAGTGCATTGGCGGCAACAGGCCACGGTCTCAGATGACGGCTGATTCATCGGGGGGGTTTTCTGGCGGTGGGTACAAGCAACCACTGTGCGGCTACTGCGGGCTTGCATATCGCGAGTTGGATGGGGAATGGTTGAGTATGTAGTTGGACGAAAGAAGATGGAAGCGGCTGCGAATGAAAATGTTGGAACGCGTGTGAAAGGAATATGCAGTAGTAGAAAGAATTGGTGAACGCGATGGGTGAATGGGAGGTGGTAGTGAGTGTATCAGGCTGTGATTACCTAGGCACACTCGTACTCGTATCACTCACAGCAGCTAGGTAGAACAAAGCGCCTTCAACTCCGTACTTTTGATGACATCAACTCGTGAATGAACATGATCAATCATCAAACTCATACCCGGTCAAAGAGTGAACAGTCAAAAGCAGCCCCAGTGTGCGTGCTGCTAAACGAGGCACCGGGACGAAAACAAAAACAAGGGGGGCCCTTCCCTGTGCTGTGCTGTGGGACAAAGAACTGGAGCAGGATTCGAAGCTGCTGCACCTCACACGGTCCCCCGTCCACTCAGGCCCGTCAGAAGCCCATTTTAGCTGTGCCGTGCAGCAGAGGCCGTGCCGCGCACTGTGCCGCACCGCTGGATTCCCGCCATTCACGACGGCCTCGGCGCCCAAGTCAAATTGATCAATATCATCAGCTGCGGCAGAGGCGCGCAGCCTCCCGGCAGTGACCACACGGAATGAAGAACCTGCTTACCTTACTAGTACACCACCGTACGGAGTACTCCATGCCCAGGTACTGCCAAGGTAACACCTCCACGTATGCTGTATGCACGAGTTACACTGCCAAGCACCACAGAGCAGGTAGCACTCTACCTGACCTTATGGACCATGGACCACTCAATGCTAACCTGCTCCAGTGCTGCTGCAACAGCGGCGCGCAAGACCGCTAACACACGGACCGGGGCACCAACTGAGGCCCGCTAAACTCGCCAGGCCGCTGCGGCTACGCATCCACGCCAGCTCCGTACAGTGTCAACACTTTGCAGGGGGCGGCGCAGCGAACGCACGCTTGCACTCAACCAGAACCAGAAATTCATTTTCTTCAAAGACATGCATGCGTCGAACAACTTCATTTGTTCAGTTCGGCCCAGCTCAGCTCAATCGGCTCAGCAGCATGGTTGAGGCTGCCGCTGCTGTTGCTGCCTTTCACTGCGACACGACAATCAGCGTGGCGAACGGGCTTCTTCTTGTCTACTGACTCGACCTTCAATCGTCACCACGAGTTGCATAGTGTCTGGTCTGTCCTAACCCTGCTCGCCCCAGCCCCTGTCCTGTCCTGCGCTGTGGCCGCTGTCATCGCCGTCGCCATCAATCACCTGCAGGAGCCACAACAAAGACAAAAAGCATCGCATCTTCGCATCCTCCCCTGCGCCGGCATTTCGTGCGTCGGGGCTACGGGGGGTCTTTGAGCGAACTAGCAGAAGCAAGCACCTGTCCCGCTACAACTTACATCCACCCAGCATTTCCACGTCTGTCCGCAGCATTACCTCTGCATTTTAACGCCTACAACTACGAACTATTGACGACTATTTCCCCGAGGCCCTGCGATCGCCACCACCGCTTCACCAACAGAGCCCGTCGTGTTGTGGTGGCCGTGGTGGTGCCGGCGAGTTGTCCAAAACACCAAGAGCGTTGCCAGCCGAGCATCGTCACCAGCCTCAGCAAACATTGGAGCGGCAGCACGTTCGCTTCCCTTGCTCAAGGCCGCCATCCGAAACCCGAAATAAACAAATCAAGCGCCGTAAACCATGATGGACGTGGCCACCGTCAACGAGGTCATCGACTGCGTCGGCCGCCTCTTCGACCACATTCCCTACGCCGTCTGCGGAACCGCCGCCCTCATCTACTATGGCTACCGCGCATACTCGCCCGACCACGTCAGCATCACCTGTCCCGAGGAGTCCAAGGAGGCCATCCGCTGCTGGGCGCTGGCCAAGGGAATGACGCCCTTGCCCGACAACCCCGACGGCTTCAGCGTGCGCGTCGCCAGCGGCCGCTCGTGCCCCGTGTGTATCAAGTTCATGAAGAACGGCTTCGAGGCGCTCGAGGTGGTGCGCATCGGACCCGGCCAGGCCAGCATGGTGACGCTGCCCAGCATCGCAAACACCATTGCTCGCAGCTACGTCTTCCGCCTGCACTCGTCGTCCACCGACCGCCAGGCCCTCTATGCGCGGTACCTGGCCTGGACCCTCAAGCGCATGGCTGAGATCCCTCCCACAGACCCGGTTCAGCGCCTGACGCCGGAGCGCGCGCGCGACATCATCAACCGCTCCTTTTGGATCCCCTTTACGCTGTCCTACCCCGAGACTGTGCCGCTCTTCCAAGCTGCCGGGCTCGAGATTCAGGGCGACGGCAACCTCATGGCCTGGCAGCAGCCCGACGACCAGAGCATGCCTCCTCCACGGCCGCGGGCCCGGACCTCGGCAAGCCGCTACAGCCTCAACAACGCCAGCAGCAATAGTCATCTCCGCAATCACAGCTACGGTTACGGCCAAAACTATAACCAGCACTATGGCGGCCAAGGTTATGGTCAGAACTATTCCCAGGGTTACGGCCAGAATTATGGGCAAGGATACGGCCAAGGGTACGGCCAGGGAGGGTACGGCCAACCATACGGTCAAGGTTTCAACCAGGGCTATGGCCAAGGCTACAACCAAGACTACAATCAAGGCTATGGTCAAGGCTATGGTCAAGGCTTTGGCCAAGGCTACGGCCAGAACTACGGCCAGAGCTTTGCCAACAACTATAACCCTGCCTTCAGCCAGAGCCAGACCCGGCACAGCTACCACGGTTCAGATCTCTCAGATTCCGAAAATGGCACGACCCCATCTCTTCGCAGAGTCACCAAGCGGTTACCGAGCGTCCGACCTATGATGTCGACGTTCTCGTCTCCTTCCACGTCTGACTCGGAGTTCTCCCACTCAACCGGCGCCTTCTCGCCACAGTATATTCTCGCGTCGCCTCTGATATCGCCTACCGGGCAGATGCCGCCGCCGCCTTTTTCATCGTATCACCATTATCCGCCTCTCTCTCCTGCAAACTCTATACCTCATATACAGCCACTGGGACCTCCGCCGCTACCAAGGAGGGCATTATCAAATCGCCACGAGTCAAGGTCGTGGACATGAATATCATATCCGCCATGAATTTCGCCATGAGCTTATTTCCATATCACTATCACTATCTCCATCGCCATCTTTGAACTAAGAGAAAAACAACTTATACTCAACTATCTACACACACGATCGATTTGACAGCGCGCCAATTCTATTTCGTCCTATTTCGAACTTCTATTTCACTGCCCAACGCCGGGTACGTCATGGGCTGGAGAGCCAAATCTACGGATTTTTTGGTTCAAATTCCTTTATTATCATCTTTCATCTGTCTTTTGGATCTCGTTTCTTATTTTCCTTTTGTGTACCTGCCGTCCAGAATGACCGGTAATCAACTTGGCCACGATATCCTTTTCCTTGTTTTCTCTTCTCTCAGCCACTTTTTTTGGTGTTTCAACTTTTATTTTCCTTAACTGTCTCTTTTTTTTTTTTTTTTTAAACACGGCGGAGTTCTTTTGTACCAAGAATGAAACGATTTGATGGAAATCCGGATATGGCTTTAGGGGGGGGGGGGGGGCAGGGGAAAGGGGTTTGTTCTACGCATAACATGAAACACAGAGAGCTCTTTCTAATATTTTTTGATGAATAAGGAGATTGACGCTGCAAAGAAGAGACGGGATGACAATGTCATGCTAAGAAAAAAAAGACACAGACACACAGTTTTCAAGAATCAAGAATTAAGACTTAAAGAATCAAGCAAGGGGAGGGAAAGACGCGGCAAAATGTGAAAGCAGCCAAAAAAAATAAAGCGGGCTGTTTTGAACACATCCATAACCATAGATTGATAGTTCATCTGTACAATAGAAAGGGGGGGCGTCACCGAGAACTGCGAGTTGTCAGTCTCCTACTAGGTACTACCATATCCATTGACTGGACTATTTTGTTTCACCATCTTTCTTGTCTACTTTTGTCCTACACTCGTGTATCTCCATGGTATTGTTAAGTAACATCGGTATATCAACACAGACAACGAAATAGCAAATCAGGAATCAAGAAACGTATGCAAGGTTATAGTATAGTCAAATCTCTCCGTACCATGTATCTGTACGGGCATTCAAATTTTAATTAGAAAAAAAAAGAAACCAACAAAATACACACTCACGGCGCAAATGCCTAAACTCCCTGCCCAGTCTTAAAATTTGCCTTGCAAAAAAACATCAATCCCCGGTCTTCCATGTCCTTGTTCTACAAGATGGAGCAAGTTGGATACAAAAGATAACAAAATCACGCTCAGAACATTTCCGTCCCAGTTGCCACGTTGCGCCAATACGCCTCCTAGAACGGCGTCAAGCCGTATGCGTCCCATTTGATGCGACGGGCACATTCTCTTTCTTGTCCACTGCGCTCGCAATGCCTGATTGTAAAATGTCGCGTATAAAGGACTCCTGCTTGCGAGTCGACGAGGCGCCCTGCCCCACGGACTCGCTTGCAGTAGGTGACACGTCAATGTCAAAAATTCCATCGACGGCAGGTATTCCTGGTGGTGTAGCAGGCCCCGATGGCCCCGCCACGTCGAGATTCTATGCTCCCATGACGGGAACCTTCTTGCCTCGCTTCCCCAGAAGCGTTGCGTTGTCGAGGTTGAGCTCAAACGCGCCCTTCTGGCGTTGTCTCTCCCGCACTTGTTGTCGCGCGGCAGCGGCCACGGCTGCCGAATGTTGTCCATAGCCTTTCTCGCCAGCTCGTTCCCGCTCGCGGCCACGGGTATGGGTGGTGTCATCCTGGATGTTGGCTCTTTGCATTCTCTGCTCCAGGGCCTGAGTCTTGTTGTTGGCATCATCCTTGTCGACATCCATGTGATCATCGCTATCCTCTTCTTCTTCCTCTTCCTCTTCTTCATTGAGGCCTCCAAGGGGGCGTCCAGCACCTCCAGCCCGTGCACCGACCTGCGCTCTTCTCTTGGCCTCCTCCTCCTGGCGATGGACGGCATAGCTGACATCAAACACCTCGCGAAGGTTGACGGCTGCGGGAGATCGGAAGTCGTATCGCTTGCCGGACTCTTCGAAGTGAGCAGCGTTGAATTGCTTAAGCGGCACCATTCCGGGAGCCTTTTCGTCTCGGGGAGTCGGTCCAACCTCCTGGATCCATGGGTGGGCAAGGAACTCTCTGATGGTGTAGCGCTTGTCGGGGTCTACCGTCAAAAGATGGCTGATGAGGTCCTTGGCAGACGAGGAGATATCGTCCCACCACGGCGACAGGAAGGTGTACTGGCCCTTGGCAACCTTTTCGGTGAGCACTTCTATGCTCTCATCGTAGAAGGGCGGGAATCCGCAGAGCAGAGTGTAGAGAACGCAGCCCAGCGCCCACATGTCAACCGACTTTGAGTATCTCTCATCCTTGACGATCTCGGGAGCAGTATAGCCAACAGTACCACAGGGAGTCATGGTCTGTGCTTCCCAAACAATCTTGGAGAGACCGAAGTCGGCAATCTTGATCTCGCCGATGCCTCCGGCTCCCAGGCCGGGGATGAACTCGCCCTCGTCGACCTTGTCCTCATCTCCTGGCTGCTTGGGCTTCGGGTGCTTGGATGGAATGAATGGGATCGGGTTGAAGAGGATATTCTCGGGCTTGATGTCACTGCAAGGATGTGTCAGCACAGGTTTGCCTTTGTCTGGGCAAAAAGGTGAAGCCATGACGTCAGAGCGGGACCATCCCCTGTCCCACTACTTTTGTCTGGGTTGCTTAGAAATGAGACAAAGTGGCTGCCAAGACTCACCGGTGGACGACGCCCTTCTCCTCGTGAAGGTACTCGAGCGCTCTGGCGACGCGGACGATGACATGGCGAGACAGCTCTTCGCTGAAGTAGGTCAGTCGTACGATTTGGTGGAACAGCTCGCCACCAGGGGCCAGCTCCAGGACGATGTAGTAGTATTGCTTGGACTCGGAAAATTCGATGAGTTTGACAATGTTGGGGTGATCGAGCTGGCGCATGATCTGAACCTCTTTGAGGATATTCGAACGCTAGACTGACAGTTAGCATCAGTAGTTCCGCACCATCATGTCCATGCATTCGAGGCCACAACTTCTGGCTCTGTGTGCAGTATATAGTAAGTACCCTCCGAGCGAGGGACGAAGGACGTCAACATAGGAAATAAAAATGTCGCACCTCTGCAGCCTTTGGAATCTTTTTGAAATCTGGATGTAAATGTTTATTTCCCTATTTCAGGGGAAACCCCCCTCCGTTGTCGGTAAGAGCGGGATGGAGCAAGAGATGAGGCAGCTAAGGAAATTGGATATCATGGCAAAAGCAACAACAAGGAAAAGAAGAAGACAAACAAATTGATACAACTTACTTGCATACGGTTCATCTCGTACTTGCGTACGACTTTGATGGCTACCTCGCCATGTTCTCCATGCAAATCGCGTGCACGGTAGACGTTGCTAAAGGCACCATCGCCCATCTTTTCGAGAAGCTCCCAGCGTTCCAGGTCAGGATACTTGGGGAATTTGCTCTTGCTTGCATTCTCCTCGGCGATGATTTGGGCCAGGTTTGCCTCGTCAACTCTTATGCCCTTGGTACCATTGACTTGAGCAGGCTCGGCATGGTGAGCTGCGGCATGGCCAGCCTGCGCCGCGCGGTTCTGCTGATCGCCGGGTGCTTCCGAGTATGCTGCGAGGGGCTCCTGGTGTCCGGCAGGGTTGCCATACACAGGACCTGTTGGAACAGATTTCTCTGGGGGCGGCTGTGGTATAGATTGAGGGGCCTCATTCTTGCGCGTTTCTTCGGGGAAAGTAGTGCGTGCTTGTTTGCCTGGCATCAAGTTCAGTTAGTCGACTACATTAGAAACTTTTTCAAGATTACAAGCTGCAGCTGCACAGCATGCCAAATAAAAAAGAAGAGACTTTGGTCATACCATGGCGAATGAAGTTCTTGAGCTGTTGAATCGTAGACATGGTGAAAAAGAGGCGCCGCTGACGAGCGACGGCGCGGTGAAAGGTACAAGTTGGAGCAGGCGGACGATTGATTCTATGCTGCGCAATTGAAAAGTTGCTTCCTCAGTGCTCTTGTAATTTGGCGTATAGAGAAGAAAAAATGATGAGAAATGGACAAGCTCAGCGTGTTTGCCGAGGGTCAGATTATGAGATGAATTGGGGGGGAACTGTAGCAGTGTCTGATAGCGAGAAATGGCCCAACGTGGGTTCTGCGCGGATGGTGTGCGATGATGCGGGGTTTTAAAATGAGTTTGCAAGCAAGCAAAACGTGGTGGTACTTTTTTGCCTGGTTTTTTTCCCCTTTCTAGGCTGACGAGAGACTCTATGGCGGAGAGGCGAGTGGTCGAAGCAGACGGGCAAAGCGAACTGAAATGGTGAAGAGGAGAGAATTTGCTCGCTGGCCAAAGGGGGAAGAAATGATGAGAGAGAGAAAGATGAGAAGAGAGAAGAAGAGGAAGAGAATTGCTGCAGCGGGATGGGAAGAAGGTGGTGTAGGGACTTATTAGTGACTGAATGGATGGTTCCGGCGCGGTAAATCCAAGTGTGTGGAAGTGACGTGCGGCTGCTGCGCCTACAAGAGGCTAGCAGACAGCAGCTAAACAGGACCTGGTTGGTAGTGGGTTCAGTGCTATGTAATGCGTGCTGTGCTAGCTGGAGGGTTTTTTTTTTCTTTTTCTTTTTTTCCTTTTAGTGCTGGTCCTTGTTTCTCGGCAGCTGTTTGTTGCAGAAGACTTGGCAGCTACTAGAGCAGAGCGGGCGATCGAGAGGAGAGTTGTAGTGAGAAGAGGAGAAGAAAGGGGAGGGCGAAGAAGGAGAAGAGGAGGGCATCATTGGAGACGAGGCTGGGCATGGCATCTTTAAATTGAATGATTACTTTATTTATTTTATTTTTATTCTTCACTCTTACGCGACTTGAGCTTCGCCTTGCTGCCTACTTTTGCTCTACCTACCGTCATGCGCATCCATGTACTAGGCAAGTACTGCAAAAAAATTGGGTGTTGATGACGCACCCAACCAAACAGCAACGGCTGTTTCATCACCCAACTTTCCTTTTCCTCGACCATGGAATGTACTCGTACTCGTACATGTACAAGTCCCAAGACCTGCAAATGCACGACGACGCGCAGATGGAAGAGGCCAGAAGCCCCAAGTCCAGCCCGGGTCACATTCCACGTCCCATCTGCAGGTGAAAAACAAGATCAGTACGACACGAAGCAAATGCAGTTGGTACCTGTGCCGGGCGGTAATCTTGCTTACAGGCAGACTAGACACTCGCTACGTTAGTCTAGCCTGCTACCGTCCATGATGCTACTCCCCGGGCTACCTGGTAGGTAGATGTAAGTGCCTGGACCTGCCTGGACCTGGGCAGCCCCGGTAATCCAGCAGGATATTCTGGCCGTCAGGCATTGGGCAACGCTGCGGACACGGGTCGAGACCGCAGAGGCTTGCAGAGTGCAGGAGGACGTGCAGATTCAACCGCGCGGGGCGGATTCGAGGCTACGGAGTACTCCGTCCGTGTACGTGTTAGGAGTCTCCAAGTACGGCAGTCCGGTACGGTACGGTACGGTGCGGTACTCGTACGGGACAGCAGGAGGATTCAATCCCAATGTTTATGGGCGTCCATCAATGGTTGATGTGATTTGCAATGCCGGTGGCGAGGTGCAGTCAGCCGCCAAAGGAGCACCACCGCGGCGTGTCATGCATCGACTCCAAGTGAATTCTCGGTCGACACGGGCGGATGCTTTTCTCGACACCTGACCCGACGAGTGCCCATTTTGCTCCGTTCTGTCCCGTGAGGACAAGTATCTACTATACCTAGACTACCTCTAATGTGCTGATGTTTTGCCTTGCCAGCCTCCTCCCTCATCTGCCCGTCTGCAAGCTGAGCCAAAGCAAGGAACCCGCCGCGTCAATTCAACTAACCAGGGAACCAACTCTTCATCTCTCCGGCACGGTACACGCGCATACACGCACATCTACATTTATGTACACATGTATATGACCCATGCCAAGGCACTGGGCACAAAGCAAATCTGCCAGCACGGAGCACAGATACCACCGTAACCAAGTATCGCTCCATCACGATCTCAGCCGGCCACAGGCCGTCTTCTGCTAGCGGGTACTTGGGAGGGGAGGCACATGCAGCAGGTGCCAGGGCAGTTTTGGCGGGGCCGCGGTTTTGATCCGCGATTATGACGCCGCAATCGACGTCATCTCTATTTCTCTATTTCTCTCTGCGGCGCCACGCGACCAATAGCGTCGGCGCCGTGCCCGAGAGACAAAGTACATTTGCCTTGCTTCTGTATCGCCTCTGCAGGGCTGCAACATGTCTCGGCTACTCCTTTTTTTTTTTATGTGTTTGTGTTTGTGTGTGTGTGTGTGTGCCTGAGATGATTCACGTTGAAGCAGCATCGATGCAAGACTCGGCCGGAATGGAGGGACACTGCACGTGTATGAGATGGGATGGGATAAAGATCATGGGAGAGGCGAGTGTGAATCGCTTCATGGCGGATCTGCCCATTTGGGATTGATGCCATCTCCGGGCTCACTTGGCTTGGGAATCGTGCACCCACTTGATCAAGCTTCCTTGGCCCGGGTACGAGTATGCACACCTGTCGATCCTCTCGCTTACGTTACGTATGCATCATGGCAGAGCTTGTTGAGCAAACGAGCAGAATAGGAAACCAAACCAAACAAAACAAAACTATATTCCCAACCTGGGGAATACGGTGCCTATCTAGACTACAACTCCCCAAGATTGCCTTTATCATCCACTCAAGCATTGAGCTTCCTACGTCACGGTGGAGCTCGAATCGCAGCCGCGTACCTGATTGATGATTGATAATTGCATGAACGCGTGAAGGCATCACGGATGTATCATGGGCGACAAAGATTCAGCTTTATACACTTGATCTCTAAAATTGGATGATTGCGTTAGTACGCACCAACTAGGTCTGTTCTGTCTGTTGCCGTAGTCACCACATTCACCGGTATGGTCACATCGGGCTGACTCTATTCACGTCGTTTCTGGATACATGATCATGCATGACATTGCCATGATCCTCTAGCCTGGCCCAAATCAACATCTTTTCTAAAGCCACAAGAGAACCATTGCTTCAACGCCATGGCACCCTAGTACTGCATCTTTGTTCTAGAATTTCGCAACCTAATCTGAACATTTTAGGCTGTTGGCGAAAGTTGTACATGACATCAGTATGCGAATGCACACCCCTTACGTACTCCATGAGTAGGAAACTCTCCAACGTCATGGCTCCCCAGATGGACCCGACAGCTACTATCTCCGGTAACCTTGACCTAACAGAAGCGAGGCTGTGATGCGCAAACCACGACGCCTCATTGCGGGCGCAAAGTCGATCGCACACCTGGCCGATATAGTGTGATTTGTCTGAGCGAGGTGAAAGGTGAGACATGCTGTTTGACGCTGAACATTACGCCTTTACGTTGGCCAGAATCTCTCCGGGGACAAGTCTATGCTATCATTTGCCACAGGAGATCTACAAAAAGCATCATTCCGAGGGGTCGAGGCGGGTAAGCGGGACATGTTCCCGGCTCCAAGTCTCGATGCCAGTAACTGAACTTGACCGTCAATGGTTGGTGTGCTGCGACATGCATCTGGCACCGGAGCATCTGGGCCGGTGGCGGGCCATTTAAGTAATCACTGAAGCTAGAATCGATCAATGGCATCCGAGATGCTGCTGTTGAGTATACCCTATTAGTAGTATTCGATGGACTCGTCAAGATATACAGGCGGACGAGTAGAGATATTCTGCCGCCTTCTTCAAGTATCATATCCATGGATATTTACAGTCAAGTGTATTACAGCAATGATGGCTCGGATACAGCAGCTGTGAGATTTAAAGCATATACGTATCAAAGAGTAACACGCATGGGTGCTCTAATTGGCTGGACACGATGCAATTCGCCCTTCATCCCATGTCCTAAATTTTATGGTGCGTTATGGAAGCAACCCATTAAAACAAGAAGCCATTCATGCACTTACATACCTCTTGCCTACTAAGCAGAAGTCAGAAAAAGGGAGACCGCAAGATGAATAAGTGAATACATTCAGCAACATAAGCACTCAATCAGCTCATTAAGTAGAGGGAACACCTGTGCAGCAAGCACTCGATTTTAATTACATACCTAGGTAACTATAGTATCGGTTACTATCAAGGTATATCAAAGGATCACAGAAGTATATCCCAGAAAAGACTTCTCTGGCGACAAACACAGTCCTTTTTCATGGAATAATGAAAACAATTGGGGTAGATGGGAAATATGCTTTTCCAGGGATGACGAGAACACCACAATGTCATCAATATATGCCCGCGCAAATTGACAAAATGGGAACAGCTTGCCATCAATCCAACGTTGAACATATGGCGGTGAATTCTTGAAACTCATAAGGGAAACTCTCGGTGTCTCCAAATCGCGATGAGTAACAAGTGTCAATTTATCCCTATATATGGTAGCAACGACTAGGGAAGTATAAATATAGTGTCAGGTACTAGAGAAATATAGATATAGTGGCAGACATAAGAGAAATATAGATACAGTAGCAGATACTACCTAGGTACCTAGGTAAAGGGCAGGCGTATAATTTAATGCGTGGGTGCTCGTAATCTTCATGTTCTAGGTCTCGGCTTTTCTGGTTTCCGCTTGCCATATGAACAGTATTCGATGGACTCGTAAAATAAAGATATACACAAGTCAGCCCAAGCAGAGAGATTCCACCATCTCGTTCAAGGATTTCATATATCTATGTAAAGTCCCGTGTATGACAGCAATCATGGCTCGAACACAGTAGTAAGTATGGGAATGTATCTATCAAAAAGTAACGCGCATGGGTGCTCTAATCAGCCAGACACGATGCAGTACACGCTGTATCCCATGTCTAAATAATACGTTATGGAAACAGCCCATTAAACCCCTTACTTAACGAATTGATGCTCTATGGACTTGCCGTTGCGCTTTAAAATAGACATCAAGAAACCATTCATGAACGTACTTGCGTCGTCCGTAGCATTTACACGTAGCGAGAGTTCTGATAGCGAGGATTCATCTCAGGATGATGATGATTCTGAGGAGGATATGAATGTCGACGAAACGCTCTAATGTGTCTACAACTTCAATCACGCCTTTGCTAGGGGAGGAAAAGCGGGAAACTAGCAGAGATCAAGTAATACCGTGATCAACCTCAAGCTCATTCATCATCTCGTTAAGCCGGACGCGAGCTGCGACTTGTCGGCGGTTCGCAGTGGAGGTACCTGATGCCATCGTGGAACTTGGGTACGTTTTGAAGTCGCGAATGTTGAGATGTAGATTTAGTGTTTGATGCGAAATAGGAAGAATAGAGGTAATAAAAAGTGGCAGAGGTAGTAGAAGCCCGACTCCGGCTTTAAAAACAGTCGGAATCATCATCATCTTCAGATGACTCCTCGCTAGAGGAACCTGTACTACATGTACACATGTACCTGAGAGGCACCTGATACGCCGCGTTCGAGCGGCCATAGATACATCCAGTTGATTCGTCGCATTGCATGATACATGATAGGTGCATTCGGAACAATTGACGGTGCGAGATTCCAGAGCTGTATGCACGCAGATACCTGCTCGCTATTCTGAAAATTTGGAGATCTTGACAATGCAACTTCACGATGATGCCCAACATGCCCAACACGTCAACACAAGACAGCGCGTCAACTCAACAAGATTTGAGCACAAGTATGCTTGAGAACGCACCGTCGCAATATCATCACTTTGTTCCACAATTCCTTTTAAAGAATTTTGTCGATGCATGTGTCCCTTCTCAACATGGCTCGACTACCTCCAAGAACCGTAGAGCTCGGAGGGGAAAACGCAAAACCGACCCTACCGTCAACCGCGTGGATTTGTCTTCTGAAACGCCAGAAGTCATAGAGATACCAGTAAAGAGGATACTTGGCAAGACGGACATGTATCGGGATACGAACAAACCATCTGCAGAGCAGCAGCATGTGGAGATGATGTTCGGCGATGTCGAATCGAGGACCAGCAGAATCATTCGAAATATTACGAAAGCTTTCAACGAAGGCGATCGCGGCATCTGGCTTACACGAGGCGAAAGGAATCTTCTCAGAAAGTTTCTTTTCCTTATGAAATACCGAGGACCAACTTTCTACGGGCGTTATAACCACGAGACGGCATCGGGGTACGACGCCAATGATAGAGAGAGGATGCTTGAATACATGCGGAAGAAAGGGTTCGAAAGACCTATAGACGTATGGTTCGATAACATCAAAACCATCATCGAGCTGGATATGGATGATGAGTTGGATTGGATATCAGAACTCCCAGAACGCATGTATCCGGACGATGCGAGGTGGGCCATTTCGCATTGCGAGTCCATGTTCATGGCCATATGCACCCCTTCCAAGGCTCAAGATGAATTCATTCTTACCGACAACTGCTACCATGTTTTCGAAGGCCCCAATCAATGCATGGTCAACCCGGAGACTGGAGAGTTACAAGATGGGGCATGGACGAACTTCCACGAATTTGCCCCAGTATCTCCGAAACTAATGATTGTGCTCCGGAGCTTCCTACTTCCATCCCCAGAGGAAGACTCTCTCCCCGGAGTCAAGGCTGAGAAAGATATGTTATGGTCCCTGGTAGTAGAGAGGTTCCACGGAAGCGATGTCGATTCCACCTTAGCAGATCTTCCAATCGCGAAACCCGATAACAATTACACCTATAGAGAAAACGATGTTTTACAGTTCCGAGATGAAGTCTTTTCTCGACAGCCTCATCACAAGTTCTTCTTCAACTTTTTCCCCATCGACACACACCATGTCAACAAGATTCACTGTGTGTTCTTGGATAATGCGAGCTCCTGCACCAGCGTGATATTCCAATCCAAGGAGTCTTTCCGCCAGACTCTTGAGTGGTATCTCGCAGGGCCTGGTTGGGTCGGAAAGCGTATAATTTCTCTTCCTGGTGACGGGCGACGCCTCTTTTTGCAGAAGTTGGCGGCAGTGTTGAAGCAAATGGGTTCCAACAAGGAACCTGTTTGGGAAGACATTGATCTTTCAAAGATGAGAAATGACATCCAGGATCAATTATCAGAGAAAGGATTGTTTGAATTGTTTCCTGAGCTACTAGACCACATTCCAGACGGGACTGAATTCATGCAGCTATACAATAGCCTAGGTGATTCAATCTCCAAGCCCATTTCTACCTTTACTAATAAGGATTTCAGGTGGATCGAAGCAAACCCTTGCAAAAGATACGAAGCAGGTTTTTTTGATGATGAAATTGCGCATCAAGATTGATGTGTGGTCGCGTGGGCTGGACGAAGCCTTACGGGAGAGAAATCGTAATCTCCTCATGGACGCATATACTCGGCTTCCCTCTCATCGCTTCTGGTTGTACACAAAACACTGGAGAGACACGATTTTACGAGGTCCAGGCCGCAGCCGCATGAATGAGAATACCCAATCACAGAACGCCAATGACAAAGGACCCGAAGACGCAATCGCCAGAGGCAAGTGGGCTTTGCTTTCGTTCAATACGAATACCTTCTAATAGGCTTTAATAGCGCAACATATCATTGAACCTAGCAAGCTGAATATCCTAATGAAAGTTGCCGTTGACAATGACATCAAGCTGAAGAAGAAGCCAGGTCATGAGCTATCATGGAAATTCACCAGGGATAAGAGTGGCGCCGAGAATTTTATGGCGATTCGGGCCCTTGCCTTTAAAAGTATGTTCTCTTTGATTCGAAGCAAGTTACGTTCCAGAAGCTGAGCTCTCCATAGGTCGTATCGAAGAATGTGGTAAGATTTTGATCACGGTTTTCCAGAGCCCACTAGCATCCTAATAAAACATAGGAATCGAAGATATCGAAAAACTCGCAAAATTCTTCCGAGAGGCAGTAGTGAATCAACTCGTTTCAGTAATTAGAGAATATGGCAACTTTAATCTCAATTATTTCACAGAAGACGAGTCAATCGAGCTGCTCACAAGATCGATGATGCAGGATGATTTCGAGAATATGTTACAAGACAAACTGGAAACAAACGTGTTGAATGATTTGACAAAGATTTTTTTTAAGCTGATATACCCTCACCCAGCTATAGATTTAGAGGGATTCATCGCAGGTGCTATAGGTCTATAGGTTGACAGGAAGCAAATTTCATCATTTCCTCTTACAGCTCGCAACTACACATTCCAACCGAGTAACCAACGTCGATCATTATCTCAAAAATCCATGCAAGAACTAAGATGAACTTGTCATCTCAGAGCTTGTAGAGTCTAACAGACACGCCTTCTCTCTCTCCATGAGCGATCAAAGCCTTGTTCTTACGCCCATAAAACACCCTCAGTGCAAGACACACAATCACAACGAGCAGCAGAAAGCCTGCATTTGTCCAGTGGCCTGTAGGATAGCCCTTCTTCGCCTCATCCGCCTTGTAAATCCACACGCCCGGGATCTGCCCAAGCCCTCCACCGATGCTCACGTTAATGGCAATTGCCAGGCCCGTAGAAGCAGTGCTGACGACATTCGACGTCAACCAGCCCAGCATGGGTGGGATGCTGGCAAATGAGCCCGCGGTGGCGAGGATGAGGCCTCCGTAGCGAGACTTGTACGAGGTTGCCGGTAGAGCGGCAGAGATTATGAAGCCGATGGCGCCAACCATGGCGGCACCCGCGGCGTGCAGTCCACGGGCGTTGAAGTGGTCTGCTGAGATTGCGACGAGGACTTGACAAACTGTCGAGCCATTAGCACATGAATTCCGATTCCATCGTCACAGAACCCTGTCTGGAAAGACTTACCGTAGGCAACAGCCCAAGGAGGCACGGTCATGAGCTGCGCCTTCAGGTCGACATACCCAAGACCACTCGTGATGGACGGCGAAAAGAGACTGAGGCTGGCAAACGGCGGGCTGACGGCAAAGTAAATAAGGTAGTGAGCATACAGACGCCAGTCAGTGAGCGTGGCTTTGGCATCCTGCCAAGTCATGCTAGGATGATGCCCTTTGCTGCCCTCGTAAAAGAGACGTTGAACGGCGAGATCCTTTTCCGGTTCGGATAGCCAGGTGGCACTCTCGGGGTAGTCGGGCAAGAAGAAGAAGACGAGAAATGCGGATAAACAGGAGGGAATGCCCTCGATGATGAAGAGCCAGCGCCAGCCGGCGAGGCCTTGCGCTTGGTTCATATGTCCGATGCCATAGGCGATGGCTCCTCCAAACTGCAAACAATGTCAGTGTACGGTACGGGTGGAATGACTGCTATCAGACTCACAGCTCCAGCTAATGTCGCGGAGGCGAGAATAAAAGCCACTCTATCAAAAGTGTACATCAGCAAGGCATTCTCAAAGGATATAAACAACGGTTGACTTACCGCACGCTCCGCTCGTCGTGTTTATACCAAAACGTCAAGTAATACACCAATCCCGGAAACAAACCCGCTTCAAACACTCCCAGCAAGAATCTCACAGCCGTTACACTGGCAAAGCTATTCGTAGCACCCATGCACATAGTAATGACACCCCAGCAAAACATCAAAAAGGCCAGCCACCGGCTCGGACGCAGTTTCTTGAGCAGGATGTTGCTAGGAACCTCAAAGACGGCATACGCAACGAGAAAGACCATGAGGGCGATGTTGAACTGCTTGTTACTCATGTTGGCGGTGTGCTGCAGGTCGTCGTTGGTCGACACATTGAGGACCTTTGCGTTGCCGATGTTGGAGCGGTCGAGGAAGCAGAGGAAGTAGATGCCGGCGGAGATGGGGATGATGCGAGTGTCTTGCTTCCAGAGAAGCTTCTTTTCTGCCTCTGTGACGGTGCCTTGTTGGGTTGGTGGGAGTTCCTTGGAGAGGGATTGTTAGTTGAGTTGTGTCTTCTTGTAGCATGGTAGGGAGATGAAGGGATGAGGTTTTCTTACATCTTTGAGGACGGCGACATCAACATCTATTTGCTGCGAAGCTGTCGCTTCTTCTAGTTTTGCATCCATCTTGGATACGTGTTGTCACCGATCTTTCCAGAATATAGCAAGTCGTTTTGTCCAATGTTGTCAATGGTTCCAAGAACGAAGGCAGCGACACAGGTACCGAATCAGAGCCAATTGACTATACCCACGCGCCGCAATCTTTCTCCCACGAACCCAAGATTTATTCGTAAAAGGATGACTCTTGAAGCACAAAAGAAGTTGCAGTGACGAGATTTGGAAAATGCTCAACGTCGCTCCACCACCCACGGTCGGACTGCGGGGAGGACCAAGCGGCTCCAACACTTCTGTCTAAGACAAGTTTGTCTTGCGCCAAGCGAACCCCATGGTTCAACTGCCGAAACAGGGACGTGGTGATAGCCGGGCGAATGAAGATTGGCCGCTTGGGAAGCTATGGTGGGGATTCTTGAGCATCTCCAGGTTTTCTCAGCTCTCATGAATCCCTGCTCTTGCGTCTCGTGGACGCGCTGGCGGCGTAGCGTCACATCGCGGGATTTGGAGATGGACGTGGAGTTTGGCTGGCCAATGACGATGAGAAGAAGATGTTTAGCTAGACTTGAGGTGATTGAAGGCGGTGATTAAGTCTCGAGAGAAGAGAGCAGAATGGGAAAGCGTTGGATGGGGTTGTTGGACGTTTATGTAGTTGTGGTGGTGTTGGTGAGGGCTGCGTATAAGGTATGGAATGGATCAGTTAATTATGTAGGTGTGTAAGTGCAATGGAGACGGGAGCGGGTAAAACAAAGGTAAATAATATCGGCAATCGGACTGAGCTCGCCAAATGCAACTCTGACCCCGGATCAGCATCAGATAAGCTCATTAATTTTGTTCATCTCGGCTTGCCAAGCACATCTCGTATAATCTGACAACTTGCTGCAGAAGGGAAAAGATAACCTATAGGCGACTCATGGGAGCAATGTAATCATCTACTTACAACGACTGTAACAGAAGAGCTACTTGATCTATGGAGATGACTACATGAATACACCTGTAAGCCTGTGTCTTGACGAGTGATGCTCATTGCGCCTGATTCTTCTGTTGTTGGTTATAATTTCATGGCAGTTATAAATCGGAATAAACTATTAGAAATGAGGCTTCATGATATGCCAGTCCTCTAATCCATCACATTCTGTGGTATACCACCTAACTCAATTCTAGATACATTCTTCCCAAGATGTTAAACCAACATTGTTTCATTGTTTTCAGTTTGGCGGCTTTCAAAGTACAGGTTCAGGGTAAGAGTCTTGGCATTGGTACATCCATATCAGATCATTATCAACCGTGAGGTCAACAGGCCTTTCTGCGAATAAATCCAATAGGCAAGTTGATAATGGCAAAAATCACATAAAGAAACACTAAAATGATACGAAAATGTATGTCTAAATTGAGGGTGTGCACACTTCTATTCATCTTCTTGCAGGTGTGTCATCCTCTCATCTCCTCATTCACCAACACACATGCAATCACTCACTGCCAAGCATCTTCACACTCATCCTGCAAAATAACAGACGAACTCCATCCCCGACATCCGCCGGCCGTCCTCTGTACGGCTCTAGTCAGCCACTCTGCGTCACAGATTGTCTCGGGAGATGCCTTTTCCCTTTGGTGGCATCGTCTTGGCGGCGAATTATGTGGGCCAGTTTAGAGTAGCTCGGCGCCTTGAAATACAGCCCGAGCGGGTGAAGCCGCGATGGCCGTGACGCGGATGCTGGTAAAAGTTGCAGAGGGGATCAATGACTGGACTTCATTTCCGATCATGTATGTGCGTGCTAGTGAAGCGTCGCTTATTGCGGGAAAAAAATCTTCAAGGGCGGGAAGGGTTAGGCTCAATGGCCACCCGAGACGAGACATCGGGAGTCTGAGATGTCTCACAGTGAAACATGTGCGCCAAGGCTTCCTTCATGTTATCAATGTTGCTGCTGCTGTGACTGCGACTGCGACTGCGACTGCGACTGTGAATGTGAATGTGAATGTAAATGTGAATGTAAATGTGAATGTGAATGCGAATGCGAATGCGAATATGATTGTAAATGTGCAATGCTTCATAACGGATGCTTTATTCTTTCAACGCTCTATCTTGTCCACAAATAATGACGGCGCTGTCTACTCCTCATCGCCTGAAGGCTCCGCCGGCCAGAAAAACCAAGTAACAACCATGATGGCCTTGAGAACGGCGGCAGTCCACAACGCGCCAGCAATGCCAAGGGAGCTGTGCGAGAAGATTCCGCCCAGAACCGCGCCGACGAGCAGAAGCGTGGGCGCAGCCGCGCGACGGTTCCTCTCGGCGTTCTGGAAGGCAAAGAGATCCTGGTCCGAGAAGAGATCGCAGTAGATGCTGGTCAGGACGACGCTGGTCAAGGCGTTGTACTTGAGAGCCCGGCTGGTCACGGCCTGGCCGCAGCTCTGGAAGGCGACGAGCGCAAGAGGCGCCAGGACCGTCCAGCCGACGTGGTCCTTGTCCTCAGAGGGAGTCGTGAGGGTGACGATGAGGGCGGCGGCAACGATGAAGAGCGTCTGGGCGGCAAAGGACACGCAGAGCACCCATCTCCTCTTGGGCGAAAAGTAACGGTGGAAGCGGGCGAAGAGGAATGATCCGATGCAGAAGCAGGCGAGTGAGATGCCGGATTTGTAGAGACGGGCACTGGTAGGGGGGTAGATGAGCGAGGCCAGGCCCAGCCCGACGTAGACGGTGTTTCCTATGCGTTTGACATGAGATGGTTAGCGATTTTCGGGGTTCTCAGTCTTTGGACTCTAGTGTTTGAGTCTTGATCATCTCATCCCTCCATGGAACGAGGCACGCGATGAGATTCCTTATTCATCCAAGAGGCTGGACCAACCTGTTTGCATCGACACAAACGCGCCCCAGACCTGCGTCGACGCGCTGTCCAGCAGCCCCGTGACGACGTAGCACAAAAGAAGCACCACATCAGCCCACGATCGCGACACCTCGGCCGTCATTTGCCTGCGCAGGCGGGAGACGACGGACCGCGGCTTGGAGTGGCCGTTGCGCAGGAGCGGCTGTTCCTCATCGCCAGAGGCGCCGTTGGGCACGGCTGCAGAGCCGTTGGTGGTGCCGTAGGTGGTCATTGTTGGGGAGAAGCAGTGCAGTATCAGTCAATGAATGAATGAGTGAGTGTCAATGACAGGAATAAAGAAAGTTCAAGTCCCGTTGTGTTTGTCTGAAGCCTTCGCCGGTTCGAGGGGCCGCCGCGCCTATCAATGATATTCGGCAGGGGGCGATTAGATATCAAGTCGTCGGGCTATCGTGTTGCCGCAAACACTCTACAGTAATGTTAGCCCTTTAGCACATGCACAGACAGACTCAGTTTCTACCGCAGTTGAATTGCGCAATAGAGCTAAAAGGAGCTAAAACCGAAGCTTGGCCACCGCAAAACGGAACCCCCCTGCAGTCTCAGCTAGTCTCCATCAATTCTCCTGCTGCAGAACCCCCGGAGTCTATTTTTCTGCCGCCGAATGCCCAGGAACAGCAACTTTTTCATCGCCCAAATCCGAGCTTCCCATTGGCGGATACCAGATCTGACACCGACTTTCGCCTTGATCGCAGCTGCAATTACACTGCTGAGGGCGGACTTGGTTCGGAATCGGTCAAGGATCTCGGCCCCCTGCGGCTCCTGGCGGTATCGGGGGGCGGTCGAGGTACTTGTGGCCGCGCTGGCAGCAGGCGGCAGATCCGGGTACCCAGCTATCAAGGAGTACCAATCAGGTCCCGCTCCGCACAATCATCACCAGTGGGTTGGTGAGGCGATACCGCGACCTGGAGAATCCAGTACGGGTATGATACAAAGCTTATACCAAGGTTCTGCGCCGGCGACCCCCCATGCGACGCGAGGATAAGGAGGGCCAGCCTTGTACACCGAATGTATACGGACGTGACGTGCCGCAGACGCAGCGGAGGCATGAATTGTCGTACGAGAGAAGCTTGTGGCCTGCTTTATAAATCGCCGTGCCCGCCCGGTGTCCGACAAGCTTCACATTCCCCTTTGCAACCGCATTGAAGCTGCACCGACCGAAGCTCCCTGTAACGTAATTCTGCCAGCAACAGCAACAGCAACAGCAAACATGAAGCTCTCCGCAGCCCAATTGCTCCTTGCCGGAGCCAGCCTGACAGCTGCTCTGCCTCATCTCGACAGCCCGCGCCAGCGTCTGCTCAATGGCATGGATCTGCCCGCCAAGTTTGGCGAAAACAGCAAGCCCTACACTCCCGGCCACCGCGATGCCGAGGACAACTACATCGATGCCGTTGGCAAGAAGCTGGACCCCAAGCCGTGGCGAAACGGATTCGGAGCCTCGGTTCTGGGACCTTACAACCGCGACCGATCGCGTCAGAGCCCCGACATGATCCGCCCGCCCAGCACTGATCACGGCAACATTGCCAACATGCGATGGAGTTTTACTGATTCCCACGTGCGAATTGAGGTAAGAAAATGGGGGAAAAACCCGCTGCAAATCGCCTGAAACCCGGGCGGCCGCTAATTGACCCCCCCTGCTGACACCGGAACTGTAGGAAGGAGGCTGGACCCGACAGACAACCATCCGTGAGCTCCCCACCAGTGTCGAGCTCGCCGGAGTCAACATGAGACTCGACAAGGGCGTCATCCGTGAGCTTCACTGGCACAAGGAGGCCGAATGGGCCTACGTGCTTGATGGTGAGGTGCGCGTCACTGCTCTCGACTACGAGGGCGGCAACTTCATCGATGACCTGAAGAAGGGTGACCTGTGGTACTTCCCCAGCGGCGTGCCTCACTCTCTGCAGGGCCTCGGTGAGAACGGAACCGAGTTCCTCATCATTTTCGATGACGGCAACTTTTCCGAGGAGTCGACCTTTATCCTGTCTGACTGGCTTGGTATGTCTCATTGTTACTCCTAAGCTACATGTATGATGTATATACTAACGACGGGTTTTTACACAGCTCACACCCCCAAGTCCGTCATCGCCGAAAACTTCCACCTCGCCCCTGAGCTCTTCGACCACCTCCCCGCCGGCGAGAAGTACATCTTCCAGGGCTCTGTGCCCGGCTCCATCGAGGACGAGGCGCCCAAGGGCAAGAACGTCAAGAAGTCCAACTACCAGTTCACCCACAAGATGCTGGACCAGGAGCCCAAGAAGACGTCCGGCGGCGAGGTGCGCATCACTGACTCCAAGAACTTCCCCATCTCCAAGACGGTGGCCGCCGCCCACGCCGTCATCGAGCCCGGCGCGATCCGCGAGATGCACTGGCACCCCAACGCCGACGAGTGGTCCTTCTTCATCAGCGGCCGCGCCCGTGTCACCATCTTCGCCTCCGAGGGCACCGCCCGTACCTTTGACTACGTCGCCGGCGACGTCGGCATCGTGCCCCGCAACATGGGCCACTTTGTCCAGAACATTGGCGACGAGCCCGTCGAGATGCTCGAGATCTTCCGCGCCGACGAGTTCCGCGACTTCTCCCTCTTCCAGTGGATGGGCGAGACTCCCCAGCGACTTGTCCTGGACCACCTCTTTGCCGACGACAAGGAGGCTGGTGAGAAGTTCTGGGAGCAGGTCAAGGACGCCAAGAAGGACGAGATTACGAAATAAAGCTTTTGACGATGCCAAAAGGAAAAAAGAAAACGAAGGAGAGGAGGAAAACGTAATGAGGAAACTTATTGACTTACTGTACATGTATTCACTGTGGGACGACGATTCAAGGGTCATGTCATCTGGAGAGGGCGTTTCTTTTTTTCAGCTTCTAATTCACTTACCGCCTCGAGATGCGAGGCCACTGTAGTTTTTTTTTTGGATTATCAAATTGCAAAATTTACAAAGTTTTAAGCATAAGAATAATCTTGTTCATTTCCCACCCTCATCTTTCGTTTCTCTTGAGCGAAAAGGAGCACTCGAAGCTACCAACATACATGTAGGCTGTCCTTTCGTCCCAAGGCTACGCTGGGGGGTTACATTAAAAGCCCGATATTTCGTACGTAACAAAAGGACCTAGACTAGAGCTTCGCAAACAGCTGCCTATTAACTCCGTACATGTACCTACCTACTCGTACACAAAACAAAAACAGCGTATTGCCAGCCAATCTCGCCGATTCCTGTGTTCTGGAACGCAAAGCAAGCAATCCCTTTTTGGGATAAAACCCGCGGATGTTCGCAACGAAATAGTAATCTGGCTTACGTCTTTATTAAAAAAAGGTCCATGTGTACCTATGGTGCGAAAACACTAGATGGGGGTCACTCCGGGAACTTTTCCGAGCCTGGGCGCGAAGAATTCCTACAAGGGGGTCGATTTTCCCTACATGCTTTTCTTCTTCTTCTCTCTGGTTGTAACCGTTCGATCAATATTGAAGTCAATGTCATTACGTGCGTTGCTCACGCACTGTCCTCTATCTTTCATCATATATGGTATAATCGGTCATATGACCTATACGAAAAGTACGCGCTCCCTCGTGTGTATGCCCATAGCCAATAAGGCTCATGCTGTTTATCAGAGCGTGGATTTCACTGTAGTACAACGTCAAATCTCTGTAATTGAAATCCATTTTGTTTACATGAAAAGTGTGGGTAGGCCCAGATTGTAAGCAAAACGCACCCTCATCCTATGATGCCACACGTGGGTTCATTTGCAGGATCATTTTCACGATAGGCTCTGAAATAGGGTTCCATAGATGTTATTCCTGAAAAAAAGGGGGTGGGCTGTACTACTACTGTTAGCGGCAAAGCAGCTCTCATAGCTCGGACGTAGAATTTAGCCCAGATGTCAATGGTCAGAAAACAAAACAGCCTTACATACAGCCTGCTGGGCGTAGAATAGCCGGGGAAAAGAATTGCATATTCAAAAATTTCCTGGTGTAACTCCTGACATCCAGACTATTTTCTGTTGCCCTTACATTGAAGTTACAGGTTGTCACTTTGTTTGCGGTCTCGGGGAGAGGCGGCCCTCTCACTTGCGCCAGCCCATCCCACATGCAGCTCGGCCACTATAATAACGTCCCGGAATCGATATCGAAAGCACCTGAAAAACAAAAGAACCACATCCATCATCTATCAAAGGGCGGCGTCTTTGCATCTACGAGAAATCATGCTTCATAGATAGAGTTATGTGTTGTCCAATGCAAAAATTCCCGAGGCCACGGCCGCTATTTTGCTCGAAGATAAGGCACGTTGGGCGAGCGGGCGTCGACCCGTTTGGGCAGTTGGCTAACATGTATCAGATCAATGCGATTATGTTATCTGCACACCACCTACCTCTTCTTGTTACAAAGCAGCAGCTACTACGAGTAGTATTTTCCGAGGTGCGCATGGGGGTGTCGTCCTTGTAGTGGCAATTTTATTAATAGGTGTCTGGTTGTCAGCCGGGGTAGACGCGGCGTAAAGGAAGGCATCACGACCAGATAGGTAGCAGCTTGAACGTTGTTGGATCGTCTATTCGTATATCAAGGAGTGCCCAATGGGTCCGAGGCCGGCAGTTTGGACGGAAAATCGCGCGATAGACCCATAACAGCACTCAGAGAGGCTCGAGTCAGTCTCTTTTGATGTGACCTTGACGAGCAGAAAAGGGCAAAGCCGGAGCAAAGCAAACGGCGTTGGTTTGATTAATGTGCAGCCCAAAGGCATCCACGGCTGTCTGCATGTCGATCACTGGACTAAGAACGGGCATAACAGCAGCTTCAAACCCAACTAGATTAGTTAAAACGTGAGGGAATCTCGGTGTAAACCTGTGTGATGCTGCAAGATGGGGGGAACTTTTGGACATGCCATGCGCTCGGAACAAAGATTTACGTGCCGAGCAGCTGCTCGATTGCCTCGGGTGTTTGATTGTATTAGGAAATGGAAGATTCCAAGTGGACGGGGAGTGTCGAGATGAAAGGGTGGGAGGGTAGGAAGAGGCAAATCCGATATGAAGACACGAATGAATGTAGAGGGCTTCGATGGAACATGGCGACATGTATTCTTGACGCCGCGAGCAATGCAACATCTATTCGTATGCGAAGCTGATGCCGGAGGAATATCGGCTTCAAACAGTTACCGACATGGCCGAGACAGGAGGTTCTCAACGCTTTACGAGTACATGGTGTAATGGTTGTTCATCCCACTGGACGAACCGGCGAGATTGGTGATCCTCCTCAGATGGCTGGGGCCAGGGAAGCTCTGAGGGCTGCAAAAGAACAGAGACGGGACAGGGGTAAGATGCAGTGCCAGGCCTCCGAGTCGTGAATTTTCGAGAAGGCACACGCCTCCCTATCCTCTCATCGGAGCGGCATCAAGAGCCGGAAGGCAAAACTCATACGAGGCTGGACAGTATGATGAACCATCCTTGCTGGCTGTAGATGAACATGGAAGAGTATGTATACGGTGACATGAGGGATACTACCCCGTTCTCGATGTTTTGCAGGCGTAATCTGTCAACCTGTCAATCTGTACTGTACCCCGTACACGCAGGCTGGGCATCTGGAGGGCACGTAGATTTGAAAGGCTTGGCGATGGGCTGTTTTATGTAATCTCTTGGCTGCACATCGGGTTCCTAGCCAGCAGGCTCAGTACCTATTACGGAGTTGTCCGGTGTACTCCGTACGGGAACAGGCCCTCTGTAGGTAAGGTGTGTGTGTATTGTGCTGTGCTGTGCTGTGCTGTGCTGTGAGAGAGCCTGGCCACCGGATCTGGAGCAAAATACGCGGTACTGCATCTGGACGACGACAGCCGGCGAGACAAGGGGAGGAAAATGCCCTGCTTGGGGCCCATGATTTGCCGTCCATGTCCCTCGAGAGCTAGCCTCTCCGGAGTACCACCAGGGACCAGGGAGTGGCCTTGCTGGTCGAGGTGAAGCTGACCCACGCTTGCTCGCTGCTCGGGGCTCTCACGCGCCGTGCCGGTGGTGCATACGCACACCTATTTTCTTGTTTCGTTCTGACAGTTGGGGTCTCGGCCTCGGTGCGGATGAGGTAGCAGTTAGTAAGTAATGATAAGTGAGACAGAACGGGCTCCAGTGGCAATTCCGGGCATGATGGGGACAGACGGGTGACAGCTGCCAAGGCGTGCGTAAGTGTCGTGTCGTGTACAGTAGTGCAGTGTAGTGTAGTAGGATGAAAGATTGGAAGCAAAAGGAGACGAGATTTGAAAGGCTACCTGTTACTAAGGTACTAAGATAATGGGATACTTCGATTGACCGTTTTCGATGCTCTGTCGCGAGTACCTGTACATGCTCCCACGCGCTAGACAGGCGCTACTCCCCCAGTATCTCTTGCTCTCAAGGCTCTCAAGACCCAGATAGTGGATGTCTTCACTGGTCTTTCCGCCTTCTAGCTCCATCGCTGCCTTTCCGCGACAATCTCTCCACTTCATCTCCATTTGCCTAATGTACCCCGCAAAGAGGCGCCGAGCTATCAAAGTGGCCTCTGACTCTGTGGTCAGACAAAGACAGACAACAAGATGATTCGAAACCAAAAAAGCCAGAAGTTGAGCGCGTCCTTCACCGGCCTGTTCTCTCGCCTGTTCACGTCAGCGGCACGCAAAACCGGGTACGTGTACGAGCACATGTAACGTCCGCAGTCGAATCGCAAACGGTGCATATTCGACCAGGGCTCGCCGTTCGACTGATGCAACTCTAACCAGGAATCGCTGCCCGAGTTATCCGTCGCTTGTTTCTAAAACGGGACCATCCCATGCAGCCTCAGCGTTGCATTTGCCCGCTGAAAACAGACCCGGTGTTCCCAAGGTGGACAATTTGCCCAGGAGGGGGTTCTGCAGGGTCGCCCAGCCCAATCACAGCACATGGGCGTGGTATACAGATAGGGCAAGTCGACACTAAACAGGGCTGGAACGAGCAGCTAAATCGTCGAGGACAAAGGCTTTGCGTTGAGAAGTTGGAGATGCAGACGCAGACGCAGCTGGAGCATCACGGCCCGGGATCAAGAAGTGACCTCCGCACTAGCCGCCTAGACTAAAACCATCTGCCGGACAGTCTGTGCCAACCACTCATGGAATCCCATCGCCATCAGATGCTGCTTCGTCGTCTTCATTTGAGGTCCGGAGAGGCGCGCTCTGCGATTCCCCTTGCCAGGAACAGGGGGCCGGTCGGAAGAAGCCACTCCCCCCAAGGCCCGGCTCCAACCAACTTTGTTGTCTGTTTTGCTTTGCTCCAACGTTCTCGAGTTTGTCGCAATTCGGGGTACGAGCACCTTGGTCTTGGTGAGACGACATGTACTCGTGTGTACATAGCCTGAAGGGACAGATCGCCATGCTGCATGCTCTGTTTCGCCATGCTGCTACTGTAAATGACAGGCGTCAATCAAGCGCTTCCCTTCTTCTGGGTACATGCTGTGTCACAGTCTTGGCTCGCATTCACTGCAACGCGATACCACCACTTCCGGAAAACCGGCACGGCTGGAAGCGAATTTGATAATCTGCCATTCCCATGTTACGCCCCTGGAAGCTCAGAGAGAGACCCTGAAGCCTCGCTCGTGATACCTGCATGGGCCTGGCTGGGCGCAGCAACAGGGACCAAGTACAGCGTTACCTGTACGAGTGATTGCATCTCTCCAACCACATGCTTGATGCCATCTCTCGACAGAGCCTGCAGGGCCATCCATGGCATGGGTTCTCCCGACCCCGCCCGCTTCGTGCAATGTGGAGAACCAACGACAGATCAGTCTCGGACGCCGTCTTCATGGCCAGTGGAGGCGTTTCCTCCAGACTCGTGGACAAGAACCGCCGGATGGCTCATCCAGGTGGACACAAGGTGGAACAGAGAGCCAAAAGGTAAATTGAACGCGTACAGGGGCAGAACAAGGCCGCCTCCCCGTCGACGATGCCTGCAACTGCAAGAATGCAATAAGGAATCTCCACCGCTGGCAGCGTCCATGCTAGCCGGCCGCTAAATTCGTTTAGCCTTGCACAGGGGGTGTTAGAATTGGAGCTATCGTCGAGGAAACGCCACTGAGGGGGCTCGCCATTGTGGACTGGAAATGTGACTTTTCACAGCTCGCCTCGTCGTGGGGGATGTGAAGGCCTGCTTGGCCTCCTTCATTGGCTCCGGGGCTGGCATTTTCAACCTAGGCCTAGGGCCCTGACTCCTCACGCAAGTCTGGAGAAGCTAGTTAGCGAATATTACCCCGTCAATTTGGGGGCGTTTGCTAGACTAATTGTCCTTTGTTCTGGGGATGAGAATTAAGCGTCACGCCTCCTCGCATGCTCCATGTTCATACAGTACTTGCAGACAGGTACTCGCATCTCCAGCGTTCGAGGCAGAGGGGAGTGTGTGAGTACGAGTAGGGGAGGAGTGAGGGGACTTGACCAACCTCCTCGTGCTCGCAGGCATGGCCGTATAGGTATACGGAACAACGTGCCCTGGCCTGGCTCTTGTCGGCGATCTATCACGCCGGCCATAAGCCCAGCTCAACCTGCGGCCGATTGTACGAGTATATGTCGAATGGAGCACTAGCACGAAGCTCAGATTACTTCGTACATGGGGGATAGAATGATGGACTGAATGCTTGTCGAATGCTGCATGCACGGAGCAATTGCTCGTTTATCCTGCATACAACGAACGTAACGGGAATCCAGGCCATGCAACATGACGTTCCCGTCTTGCAGAGGACCTTGAAATACTGCCGAGCCAGGCACTCGTGTGTCTCGAGATCCGCGTTCGCTGCCGTCGACGCACTTGTTAGCTCCCAGTGCTACCCCTCTCGGTGAACCATCGACGACTCTGATTAAGGTTGGTGTGCCTCGTCTTCGCCTTTGTTTTGCCCAGGGAGGGTGGTTATTCGGATAAAGTTGGTGTGCTGCATGCGACAGATTCGGATTTTCCTTTTCAAATCTAAGGACCGGTACCTTTTGGAGGGTACCATTCGTTCGCGTTTGATTTCTTGAGCCCGAGTGTTGCACCGCCATTCAGCTTGAAGCAGACCTGCTTGTCAACTGCCTAGGCTTAGGCGTTGATAGTCATCGCCAAGGAGACGTCTTGGGGGTTTTGGAGTTGCCATACTCGCACCTATATAGAGTCGAGTAGCTCCCCCCTTTTCTCCTTTTCCCACACAGCTTTGACCACCGGCGTCTGGCTCCATCGATAACATCAAGGTTGGCCCTAGTTGTTGTTTATATATACATTTGCTTTTGCATACACTGGTGTTTTGAGGCTTGTCGAGTTGCCGCAACTCCGAGACCTTTCCGAACCTCCAGACCTCTAGCTTGACGGACACTTTCCGAGTCTCTCCGAACATCACAGCCATGGAGAGAGTATCCAAGGGCCTTTCAAAGGCTAAGGAAGATGCCATCACAAGTTATCGTACCGATGCCAACTACAACAGGGTCAAGCGCTGGGCTGGCCCTATTGCTCGCCGCATCCCATCTGCCACGGCTGAGTATCTCATCGAAAAGGTTCCCATTATCCAATGGCTGCCCAGGTACGACCCCAAATGGCTGCTGAACGACTTCATTGCCGGCATCACTGTCGGTGTCATGTTTGTGCCCCAGGGCATCTCCTACGCCAAGATTGCCACTATTCCAGTCGTTCATGGCCTGTACTCCGCCTGGATTCCATCTTTGCTATACCTCTTTATGGGTACTTCAAAAGGTTAGTCGAGTTCATTATTGCCCGCTCTTTTGACAATTGGAATCTTTTCTGCTTCTTCAGTGTTGCTGACACGGGTTATTCCATTTTGCAGAGGTGTCTACTGGCCCAACATCGGTTCTTGGTCTCCTCACCGCTGAGGCGGTAGCTTCCATGCCGGATGAGGACCCAGCCACAGTTGCTTCGGCCGTGGCCTTCATGGTTGGCGTCTACGCTCTCATTGTTGGTGCTCTCAAGCTAGGTTTCCTCCTCGATTTCGTCAGTGGCCCGGTTTTGACTGGCTGGATTTCCGCCGTTGCCTTGGTCATCTTGCTTGGACAAGTCGGCTCGCTCGTCGGTCTAACGGTCGGCTCTACAACTGTCGAGATCATTCGCGGTGTACTCGGTCATCTTGACAAGATCCAGGGAATGACGGCCTGCATTGGTTTGACCGGCATTGCGATGCTCCTTATCTTTGAACACGTTGGCAAGACTCTTGGCAAGAAGAACAAGTGGATCAAGTTTGTCTGCACCAGTCGAGCAGCAGTTGTTCTTGTCATCTACACTCTGATCTCCTGGGGTGTTAACAAGAATCGAGCTGAGACTGATTACATGTGGGCTGTGACTGAGATCAAGTCTAACGGTCTTGCCAAGGCTAAAACTCATGACACTGCCCTTCTCGCCAAGGTGGCTGGTCGAGCTGTTGCCCCGTTCATCGCCATGTCCATCGAGCATCTAGGTGTTGGAAAAGCCTTTGGACTTCGAAATGGATATGACATTGACCGCTCTCAAGAGCTGTTGTTCCTTGGAACTGCCAACATGGTTGCCAGTATTCAAGGCTCGATGGCTTCTGGAGGCGCCATGAGCCGCACAGCTGTCTCCAGCGAGGCCGGTTCCAGGTCTCCGCTCAACTTCATCTTTACTTCCGGATTTGTCCTCTTGACTCTCTACGAGCTGGCTCCGGCCCTGTACTGGATCCCCAAGGCTACTCTTGCTGCTATCATCGTAAGTTGTTCGGTCTTATCTAGTGGTGCTCCAAATATACTAACGTCTTACCTTTCTTTCTAGATCATGGCTGTCGCCCATCTCGTTTCCCCTCCCAAGCTCTTTTACCGATACTGGAGAATCAGCTTCATCGACTTTGTTGGCTCCATGCTAGGATTCTGGGTGACACTCTTCACTTCCACTGAGATTGGACTGGCCGTGTCTGTTGGTTTCAGCTTGGTATACACCCTTCTCAGGCTTGCTTTCCCACGACTGGTCAAAGTTACCCATGCGCAGACTGAGAACAATCACTGGACGCTCTCAAAAAGCCGCCCTAATGACCCGGAGATTGATGTTCCCCCTGAGGCATACCTTGTCAAATTTACCAGTGACCTCTTGTTCCCCAACGCCGAACGTCTCAAGAACTCAATTGTCGAAGACATCAAGGTTCGCTACGCGCCCACCACGACAATGGTACAGGCTGCCGAGAAGAACCGAATGTGGAACGACTCAACGAAGCGCCGAATTACCAAGATCCGCCACCGCGAACAAATCTCGCCCATTGAAACCGACCATTCTCCTCTGCGCTACATTGTACTTGATTTTGGAATGATTTCATTTATTGATACAACCGGCGTTCTACTCCTTATTGAATTGAAGATGACTCTACGCAAGTACTTGGGCAAGGAGTTGCAGTTCCGCTTTGTCAACATGGCTCCTCAGGTGCTTGAAAGATTCACTCGATCAGAGTGGGAGTTTGCTCGCGAAGGCGAAGAGAGAACCGGAAATGAAGACGTCATCTACTCCTCTTTCGAGGTTGCTCTTTTGCACCGCGATGGAGATGAGAAAGATGAGAAGGTTGAGTTTGTGGAAAAGACTTTGGACGTGTAAGGGGTTGAGTCTGTGGTGGTGAGAGTAAGGGCTTGGGATTTGGGACTTGCGTGTTGGAATACCAGGGACAGGGGCTTGGAAACTCCTGGAGGAGTTTTGGGAACTAGGGATTTTCTAGCGATGGAATATGGGCAACGTTACGATTATGATCTCGATATCACACTGCTGAGTTCTCTCAGCGACAATTTTTAGCTTCACAATTTACAATTTTACCGAGACTCTTCTTTTACTTTTTTCATTCTCGAGGATTTGGGGCATCACCTCGGATCGTAGCCTTTTTATCAATGAGATCATAATCGACAAAACTGACTGGACTCTTCCAACTGCGAGTCCGAGACGTCCCGATCAGCCATCACCAGACTTGACTGACTATACCGAAACAGCTCATCAAAGCAAAGGCTGCCTAGGCCAGAAAGTGTAAAACTGAGACTATAATGCATGTAAGATGGAATGGCGCCAGTCTGCCCCCCTCACGGATATTCGTAACCGGACGAATCTCGGTATCGGGGGAGGAGGGAAGTCCTCCAAGCTGCCTTAGCGTGTGTACGCCTTCGTGGTTATGATTCGAAGGGAGTACTTGTTAGAGTCAAGCTATTTGATGTTTGCCCCTCATGGTAGATGCGGGATAGAGTTGGGGTAAAATTCAATAGCTCCAACCTGAAATAGAATTGGGAGAATAGTGATTTGGAACTTTTGGATACGTGAGAGGAGAGGAGAAGGGGGGGTCAGAAGAATAGGGGGCAAAAGTGAGAAAAAGAGGAGGAGGGGAGGGGGGGGGGGATATGCGAGGAACCTTGGTTTGGAGGCAAAAAAACGAGCTGGATACTTGGAATCTTGCTTGGGGGTGTTTTGGAGACGTGTTGGACAAAGAAGAAAAGGGGGTGTATGTAGGGTAAAATGGTATGAGGAGGGCGTGGAAGGGGGGCGTATGTAACTCGCGTGTTAGACCGTACTTGGACACTAAACGGGGGGGAAGACTTTGCTACTATGACCTGACGAGAGTAATTACGGGGGTTGTCCGTGGCTGGGTTGGTTGGAGGAGGCGTATATGGCGTATAGTTGCTGGGTTCTTGCTTGCTTTGTAGTGTAACTTGGGGTACAAGGCAGGGAATGGGGAGAGTGGAGGAGGAGGAGGAGGAGGAGGAGACTGGGGTCCATGTGTGTATGGGAAGTTCCGAGCAGGACAAGGCAGTAAGCCCGAGGTGGCGATGAGGGAGATTCGAGTAGCGGTAAGGATGGAGTGGGTGGAATGTCTCAGAGGGGGCTCTCCGGGCCGCTGTAGTCTATACCGGTGGCGATTTGTCAGTGACATGCCTAGTATAGTTAGGTATAATGATGTTTTCTTTTCTTTATTTGTTTGTTCTATTGTTGGAGGGCGTTTCTTGGAGTTTTGTGGAATCGTATATTCCTTGTCGTGGCGAGATGGGGGATACCACATGACTGAGAGATTGGTTTCAGGGTCTACCCTGTCATGTACGACTTTTCTTGGAGGAGGAGCAAGTTGAGATAAGGGCTTTTGCATTGCATTGCATGTGCATTGCATGACTGGTCCTCCGTTAGCAGTCCAACAGCTATCTGTGTACTCCGTTTACTACACCACCTTGGCTGATTTCTTGTTGACATATCCATACTAAGCCTCACCTCTGGCTGAAAAAGGTTGTATTATATTACTCACCTTCCTACGGCTGTTTCATCTTGTCTTATTCTCCTTATGTGAGCATTTTTGTCTCCATGTATTGACATGCTCTGTCTCCCCCCTACTACTGTCTCGCAGTAGAGATGGTAGTTCCAGGATGTTCGACTATCGATATACTTCTCTGGCACCTATAACACATTTGCACGTCTGTTGAATATACCTTTTGATCTGAACCCAACATGTATTGTGATTTGATAGCTTATATCTTACTCTAACTTTAGGATGCTAGGTAAGGTAGCTAAATAGTGAATTGTATCTACTATGATAGCGTGTAGAGATACTCCGTTTATATTTCTCACGTAGTGACTACTAGGTAGCCAGAACCATCAGTTAGCTCATTGGTATCCCAACGGTTGCTATGTGTCCGTGTAATTGCCTGGCTCTTCAAATATATGCAACTATCACTCCCTTTGTTTGGTAGCTGCCACCATTGCTTCTTTGTTCTACATCACTACATTATGATAGCATCAATACTCTCTTCCTGTATCATTGCCTCCTATTATTACTACTAGTCTCATCTAGCGTCAATACTCTCGTCTAGTATGAATACTCTCATCTAGTATCTTCTAGTATTAATACTCCCATCTAGTATCTTCTAGTATTGATATTCTCTTCTAGTATTAATACCCGCTTCTACTATCAACGTTCTCGTATGGTATCAATAATATTTTGAGATATTTGTGTAAAAATGTGCTATGGGGCTTGTAACCCCAGTTCGGGGTGATGGCTATGAAATGTCACATCTCCAGAATGGGACTCGACGAGAGAGGAGCTACGGCAGGGACCCCGACCAACCATCCGACCCAACCCGGTCGTGGCAAGCGCTTACGTCGGTTGGTCAACCTACATGCTTGGGGCTGCCTTCGCGAATCCCGCCAGATATACTGACCACGAGACTCTGCTCAATGTCGCAAGTGCCTCCTTCGAGGGCAATGAGTTTAAAACAGATCCTGGAGGGAACGTCACGGGTCGACAGACCATCCTACACTACAGCCTTCTGGTCAAAGCCAACTTGATTCCCTTGAAGCAGTTCGTCAACAAATCATTAGAGCTCAATGAGAGTATAACATCTGCTCATGTCGCTACTTCTCTCTATGTTATCCCCAACCAAGAGTCAAAGAGACAACATTCCAACTCTTTTAAAAAACTGAAACTCCCTATGATAGCCCAACTCAAGTTCAATCCTGCTTTGGAAAATGCCCCTAATGAGTGTTCCCATCTTCTTGCAGGCCTCCCGCATAACCAGCACTTCAAGTGCCTTAACGTGAGTCACGTGTTAAAGGAGAAGATGAAAGCAGCATTGTGCAGCTATTCAAAGACATTATTTGTCCCTTCTTTGCATGACCAGTTCTATTGCATCTGCTAAATCTTCTTGGACACAACCAACACTAACTTCTAAGCAACAAGAGCGAGAGAAGACATATATTTGACTCTCCTCTTCAGTTCTTTCGTTTCCATCATTTTGCTCACCACATTGAAATCTACCTACACTCTGAAGTCATGCAGGTTTCCGATATGTGCAAATCCTGTAGCCGGTTTGCTGCGTCAAGCTTCTGCCGGCTGCCAGTTGCCAGCTGGCACATTGGCCGCCAACTCCAGGCAGCTGGCAATGCAAACGCGAGAAATATCTACAATCAGCTATTCTCTCCGCTTTAAACTTCTCTTTTGCAAACTTTTCATGCACTTTCCAACTCCCAATCTTTTCCTCCTCTATCTGTTCTGTAATTTCGCTCTCCAAGCCGCCCAACCGCAAGCTCCCCGTCATGACTTTGATCAAGTCAATAATCGACCATGTGGTCCTTCCTCCGAAGTTACCCGGAGAAAGAGAAAAGAATTATCAAGAAATATCCGATGAAATCCTCAAAAGACTTGTTCGTGCCTGCGAGGCGGCAAAAAGTCTGGCATATCCACCGTTCGCCGATGCTTTTATCTCTCTGAGCGAATCTCTCCAAGCAGCCATGGATCTGAATCGGGGACAGCTTGAACGAGAGACACTGATAAAGCACTTCGGTAAACTTCAACCAAGCACTGTTCTTATTTGCTACGTCGTCGAACAAAATGCTGCAGTTTTAATTCGACGTGAGAATGACCAGTAAGCATCACAACCACTCTGCAAACATAGATTTCGGTGTACTAACGAGGCTACCGAAGAAATAACCAACAGTCCGTCGTGATAGAATGCTTCGAAGCCTCGCCCACGACTGAGCATGTGTTGGCCGCCGATAATGCCATGGAATGGGATTTCCCGGGGCGTGCTGTGCGCTTGAGTCTCAGCGACTTTAAGGACGAGAAACTCCAAAAGAATCTTTCTGCCTTTCTGGAGCGGGCCAGCATGGAAGCTATTCACGGTCTTCAAGCAAAGGCCAACAAAGCAAATGTGTCAGTCGCCGAATCTCGAGACACCTCCGGTCCTGCTCTTATTTCCGAGATGCTCATGGTTCTCCTGGAGGCTATTGGCGAATTTGCTCATGTTACAAAACTCAAAAAGAGAGTAAGAGATGATGTGAACTTTGAGACGGGTTTGTTGCCGTGGAGAAGATTGCCCTTTTGGCTTATATTGCGAGTGGCGGCTCAGAGACACCTTCATCTGTCGCTCGGCGGATCGGGAAGAGCAAGCTACAAGCTGTTAATGGGCATATTCTTTGCCCAATTGCTTCAAGATTCTACAAATGAGCTCGTTTCCCTCAACAAGACAGATGAACACAACAAAAAATTGAGGCTTGATCCCAACATGATCATCACTCTTCGGACGAAGTTATGCCGCCGTATGGTCAAGCTAGAGCAGGAAAAAGCCAATCTTGAGATGCACAGTGAACATTTCGAAAGAATTTTCGGTCGTGTTGCTCCGAAGATCAGAATCACCATAGAGCTTTCAAATGATCGTGTTGAAAAACTGTGGGGTGGCTTCAAGCGAAAGACAATACGAAAGGTCGAAAGTCTCCATCAGAGAGCCACTGAAAAATCTCTCCAGCTCTCACTTAAGAAAAGCGGCAGCTATCTCCAAGAGCGCTTAAAAAGTTACAAATCACCAACTATATCTTCCAAAGATGGCTCACTGGATCTTCCCAATCCATTGGAAAAGCCTGTCCAAGAAATTCAAAACTTTACAAAAAAGATATTCCAATTGGCATATATGGAGAAAAGTCTTAAGCTAGGCATTCCATCAAAGGGATCTACTATTGAAGACACTCAAGCCTGTTGGTCCCAAATCGTGAAGAGCATCCGGAAAGTGTCTCTGGCTGTTGGAAATACCTATGATGGCGATCCTATCCTTCAAAGTATCAAGATCCTCACAATTTTCGAGCTTTGGATGGGAATGGATGAGTGTTCACTCACGATTTGGCCCCTACTAGGCGATTACAAGCCCGTCTTTGTGCCTGAACTCCTCGACGCGCTTCAGTTGCCTGCACTGCCCGATATGAAGCGGCTGCTAGTAGTCCAAAGGTATCTGGCTAACCGTCATGCGCAAGCTCGACACGATCATATTTTTAGTACGCTTGGAAGTTCCTCCTTCGCCCTCCGGTATGTAAAGCAGACCAAGAAGATGAGGGAGTTGTTGGAGTCAATTATCACCTCGTCGAACGACAACCGCGTTGCTAAGACACAAGAGTGGGAAACCAAAACGGCCGAATATGAAGAACACTCTGTCCAAATGGAATTATTGAGCTGCTTGTGTACTCATTATGAAAATGGTAGATCAGACTCCCATGGCTGCGAGAAACACTGGCACCAAAGGAGCAGAAGGCGCATTACAATTCAGCATCATGAGGATTTTCTCCCAAAGGACGAGGTAAGAAGCCACATGATCGTATTTGAGCTGGGAATACCTTTGAATCTATCCATATATCGCGATGAAACATGGAAAATCTTTAGAGACCTGGCACATCCCACTCTCCCGCCACCCCAATCGCCTTCTACGACCTTGGGTGAATGCCCTCACCTACAGGGTTTCATGGCACCACACGAGAGACGCATATCGCTTGCGTCTGAAAAGAAATGCTTCATTCAGACCCATTACAAATTTAGTCATGGATTAGTGCCTCTTGAAAAGATCATGTTGCCATTTGCAGCAGATTTCCAGCCATTTGACCACGAGGCCAAGATTTGGGTTCCGGATCTCTTTAAGACTTCTCCCACGCTGTATCACCTTTGCGAAATCCACGTTCCAGTTGGACTTTCAACAACAGTCCTTAAGCCACAAGTGTACCCGGCTATGGATTTTGACGGACCATCTTCCTACGAGATTCAAGCCAACCTCACCAAATGCCCTCCCGGCAAGTCAGTGGCAGAATTCTCAGCATACCAGAAACTTCTCGCCGGCAAATCACGCCGTTGGCTCAATATCCTTGTGGAACTAGGCTCTTCCAACCTGAATTTCAGCAGTGAGGACACGACTTTATTCCTTTCTCAATTGGCTGTTCAGGCCGGACCACGTGTTCATGAAGGCTTTGACGATCTACGAGATGTACATTTGGTGCTGAAGGAGAGGGAATTTGTCCAGCAATTAAAAACCCAGATTCAAATTCGATTGGAGTCCATCTATACTAACTGGAGGGAAACGAACTGCATGGAACTTCTTATCAACTTGAGTTTGCGTGCCTTCTCTTTATCGTCCGACGACGAAATGCGCAGTCAGTTCAGGGAGCTTCTCATATCTGCGAGAGAGGCTACTCTCATGTGGATCACATCGTCTCAAGAAGAATCAAGGAGGATCACGCATAACAAAGACTCTGACCGAATCGCTGCCTATGGGCTTAAAGCATCACTGCTATGCCGTCGTACTTTCGAGATCAATCTTGGCTCTCAAACAGGTTTATCAGCAATGGACCTTTCAACTTGGATCCGGGCTTCGATAGCACTTCAGGAAAATCCGGTAATGCGAGTCCCCAATATTTCAGATCAAATTAGAAGCAACATGATTCACGATGCAAGGATGGCTTTTCGCATCAGTTCTATGGTTCAAGCTGCCGTCAACAATCATCCACAGGTGATAGAGGAGGTGATTAGCGTTGTTTGGAAGGGACTTAATACCAATGCGGTGCAATCTATACCATCTTGGTCATATCTTCCGCCTCCACGCTCATATTGGATTCAGTACATTGTGCCCGAGGATCACGAGCACTTTCGAAGCAAGCAAGTGCTTCACTTACATATTCTTGAAGGCCACTTCCTTGTGAACGGAAAGCGGCGAGGGAGTCTGCCCCCTAATTTTCGGATTGATCCGTCCGTCAAGCTTCTGTTTGGGAACTGTAATCTGCGTGTTTATGCTTCGGCCATGATTGGCATGGAGTATACTATTGCTGATCAATTCGAACGTCAGCGTGTTCACCTTGGAATGCGCAATTCTCGCGCAGTGATTTGGACAGAAGGAAAGAACGGGCTCTTTGAGTTTGTACCACGCGAGATTTTTGAGTCTTCTGGCACATGGGATTTTGATCTGCCAATGAGTCTACTGAGCGCTTGCACCCATTGGCTGAATCTGAATACGGGAATCTTGGAAGTTCGACGACACCCGTCGACTTGGAACCGGCGACTACGAGACTGGACAATTGACCTTGACAAAAGACGGGCAACTCGTGGTGAAAAAGTGAGTCTGGTTGATCCGCATTCTTCGGAATTCAGACAAATAGCCAGAACATTTGAGCACTTTGAGGCGCCGCGGAAGTTGACAGTCTTCCAGTCATGCTCACAAAGGGGTAAATTATCCGTCGAGCTTCGTCACTTGGATCTTCAGTTCCATGTCAATAGTAGTGGCTTGCTCTTCTGTAAGCAACTTAGGGCTAATATTGACATTGACCAAGATGCCGGAACTTGGTACGGACTTGCTAGCAAAATTGTGCTACGAGACGCCGCGGATAAAAGCAAGAGAAGTATCATTATACCTAACGGAAAATTATCACAGAGAGTACAGCTGGACTACACTGGTATTCACGTGTCTGCCTCCTTTCAGGCATCCGACGGGTACTTTAGGTTTGACATCGACCAAACACTTGGCCGCTTATCATCACAGCCAGAGCCGCTTTTGTTGTACAGAATGGCCCTGTGCCACGCTGTGACATCCTTTTGCTTACCAGATCCTCTCACGGGAGTTACCGGCACAGAAGAAGCGGTACGAATTCTCCAATCAGGCGCAGCACAACCTTGGTCTCCTTCGTCTTTCTCAGATCTTGAAGAGTTTGCGTTTCTTCTCCCTCAGCGAGAGTACTACCCTCGTGATTTAAAACGTCTGCAAAGAGTAGCGTGGAATAGCAATCTTACGACGACAATCCAAAGTGATCAGTTTGGGGGTCTCATCCGCGAAATTGAGAGACAAGCAGGCAACTTGGCAGAATTTTTACCTATAGCCAACGAGAAAGAGAAGTATATCGCAAAAGAAACGTCGCAGCTACGCCTCCGTGCGCAGCGTCGTCGCTTGCTCTATGAACGTACAACGGAGGATACTGCAAACCTAAGCCAGTCATATCTACTTTACGTACCTCGTGATAGACAGTCAACTCTAAGAGCCTACCGCGTACACAAAGTTGCCGAAATGATACATTCCCGTTCTCTGCACATAAACATGAGCCACAGTGTCAAAGAGATCCTTGATAACTGGCATAATATCGGTGGTTTTAACGAAGACCACTCCCAACTTGAGACGGCAAGCCTCAAATGTCAAATTGAATCTGAGATCAGGCAGATTTGGGGCTCCCTGATAAAGTTGTGCTGTAGCGAGAATGACCAGCTATCACTAACTTTTAGACTATGTCTGCTGGTGTTCGACGCCAGATGCAATGTGGACATTGTTCTATCTTTAGGAGCATTCTGCTATATCAAAGAGCTTCAAGATTTAGAGCAACCTAATCATGGCACATATGTAAAATTCAGAGACCGTGAACCCATCTCAGTCGAGGTCATCCAGAAGCTCATCTCCAAGTCATTCCTGCCTTCCCCTACTACGACATATGAGGCGAATCAAAGACAAAAAGAGCAAGCAGAGTATAAGAAAACGTGCGAAAGCCAGGGAAAAAAATTCGCTCAGCGTGTACTGAGACAATGGCCCGAACTTCCGGTGGCTATGACCTCTGGTGATATATCGGCCATAAATGTTTCCTCTGCCTTGAAAGCGATTCAACCAGAGTGGGATCGCAGGAAACAAAATATCCAGTTGGCAGCTTATGTTGATCAGGTTGATGCCATTCTTAGCCGATATCGTACCAAGCCTCGTGGTGCGAAATTACTACGCTGGCCGGCAACTTGGAAGAATAACCTGTTCTTTTCTCTTTCCGGCTTCAAACACCAAGACATCATTCCCTCTATTTCCCAAGATTTGGTGACCAGAGTTGGTCCAGACCTCGCCTACGTTAAGAGCGATTTTTCAACCAGGATGATCGATTTTCAAGCGCAAAGCAACAAATCTCGAGAAACACCGGTTGTACTTTCAAACAGTTTCACCGAACTGGATCAGATTTTGCACTCCTTCTCTCAGTCGCCCAACGCCCTACGCCAGGATTTTGGCATCGATCTTTTGCGCAGCTTAGCAAGTTTGCAATCTCTTAACCAAGGAACGAGCACTATTCCTACACAGTGCCTTCCAGAAGCAGAAGAGGTTACTAATGCTATCCAAGCACTCCAAGTGACTGTGGTTGCGTACCGGGAGTCCATTCGAGATGCATTTTGGTCCGACGATGCTCGCCTTACATGGCTCACCTTGGGTGATATGCTGCCCTGTCGGACACAAATCGAAATCTTGAGACTGTTGCAAACTCGAGCCAATCATCAATTTGGCAGTGGAATGAAGGAGGCACTCGTACACTACGGTTGCGCGATTGCTGAGATACAGCGGTTGCGACGCCTCAGAACTGCTATTCTGCTAAGAGATCACCGCGCCGTAACTGAGGAGCTTCATAACGTCGGCCATGAGAATTGGGATCCTGTAAAAGAAAGCCCAGACTGGCTACTGCTTGAGATTGACAGCAACATTTTGATTCGCACGGACCAAATTGATGTTGCGCGGGATATCATCAAACCTGTCTCTGGTAGGAATAGTGTGTTGCAGATGAATATGGGAAGAGGTAAGATTATGACCAGATACTCATACGCAGAACCTACACTAACTTCTACGCTCAAGGCAAGACATCTTGTATTATGCCTATGGCTGCAGCTGTATTAGCAGATGGTCACAACGTCTCTCGTCTCATCGTGCCAAAATCTCTCATAATGCAGACGGCCAACATGATACACTCGCGACTGGGAGGCCTTGTTGGGAGAAAACTGCATCATATTCCATTCTCTCGCCAGACGCCAACGACGGAAAATTCCCTTCAGCTGTATAAGCAACTGCATGTGGATATACAAAAATCGAGAGGATTGATCTTAACGAGCCATGAACATGTGTTGTCGTTTAGGCTATCAGGACTACAGCGCCTGGCGGACAATAAAGCTAAAGAAGCAAAAACGATGATAAACTTCCAGAGCTGGCTTGATACTCACTGCCGAGATATTTTGGATGAGTGTGACTTCACGCTATCGCCCAAGACTCAGCTCAATTATCCCAGTGGATCGGAAAAGGCGTTCGATGGACACCCCTTCCGATGGCAAGTCGCAGAAGACATTTTGTCCATGGTATCAGATTACATACCACGATTGCAGGCATCTTTTCCTGGGAGTATAGAGAGGTTGGCAAGTTTTGGGGGATTTCCAGCCGTCCAGTTCTTGAGAAGTGACGTCGTGGATGAACTTCACCGGCTTATAGTGGATGATGTTGCCGGCGGTAAATTACCAATCCTTCATATTGAGCACAATTTGCACGAAGACACACGAATGGCCATCAGGCGAGTCTTATCTGACAAGAACTTTGACGCGAAGGCCTTTGAGAAAGCCACCAGCTGTTTCCCTAATCCTGACAGCACTGCAAAAGTACTACTTGTCGTTAGAGGATTAATTACTCGGAAGATATTAGTGCTTTGTCTGTCGAAGAGATGGAATGTTCAATATGGTCTTCATCCAAACCGACCTCCCCTCGCTGTCCCTTTTGCAGCAAAGGGTGTGCCTTCAGAGCTGTCCGAGTACGGTCATCCGGATGTCGCCATCTTGCTCACCTGTTTAAGCTTTTATTCAGCCGGATTGTCATACGAGCAGTTTCTACATGGCCTAAAGAATGTGTTGGCATCTGAGGATGCAGAATCAGAGTATGGAAAATGGGCTTCAGAGTCAACTCTGCCCCCATATCTGCAACATTGTACTCTCATCAACTCAGATGATGAGTCTCAGATGAGACTACTCTGGAATCTCCTTTGTCGCACTCGAGCAGCGACCAACTACTACATGAACAAATTTGTCTTTCCGTCACATGCGCGACAATTTACTATCAAGCTCCAAGCCTCAGCGTGGGATATTCCTCGAGATTCTGGAGAGGAGACTGCCTGTGCTGCAAGAACGACAGGTTTCAGCGGCACCAACGACAACAAATATTTACTACCCATGAATATTAAGCAAGAAGACCTCCCTGGCTTGATGCAGACTAATGCCGAAGTTCTGTCGTATCTATTGCAGCCTCGCAATCGGAGATACTCAGTCTTGGTTGACCGCAATCTTCGACGTCTCAGTGAACACGATGTTTTGAAGAAGATGCATGATCAAAATATCCGGATTCTCATCGACGCAGGTGCATATATCATTGAGATGGGCAACAGAGAACTGGCACAATTGTGGCTCCGGGTTGATGGACAGGCACAAGCCGCCGTTTACTTTCGTTCAGACAACAGGGCTTGGGTGTCCTTTAGAGATACTGCTAAGCAAGACATGCCGCTACTGGCAACAAGGCTCGCAAATAACCTGGAGAACTGTCTCGTGTATTTCGATGAGGCGCATACGAGAGGAGTGGATCTAAAACTACCTGAGGATGCACATGCCGCACTGACTTTGGCACTGAAACAAACGAAAGACAATACTATGCAAGGTAAGCAACTCTTTCCACCAATCATATCCCTTACTACAGTCATAAATCCTTGAAGATTGGTTCCGTTTCCGCATATATGGAAGAAATGGATGCTAACAGTTAGACGATATCGCAGCGGCCATGCGTCTTCGACAACTACGAACAACGCAATCTGTGACATTTTTCGCACCTCCAGAAGTTGATATGAGCATTAAAGATGTCTGCCGCGGCCGATTGCCAAATACTACCAATATTGAATCTTCCCATGTCATCTTTTGGCTTCTGGAGCAAACCTGCAGAGTAAACGAAGATTTGCAACCGCTTTTCCAGGCACAAGGCTTTGACTTCTGTCGGCGTTCAAATGCAGTGTTGCAATACCCAAAATTCTTAACTTCGGAGTTTTGCAAGTATGGTTTTCTGGAATTGCAGCACAGACAAGAACATATGACTCTGATGGAATTATACGGCGGCACATCCAACTCTCTATCATCGCAGCATCTGGGAAGTGTGCGTTCTTCTCGCCTTCAAGAATTCACCGATAAGCTATCAAAATATGATAATACTGTTATCTGGCAGGCAGACGCATTTAGCGAGATAGAGCAAGAGCGCGAGCTTGAGACACAAATCGAAACTGAGCGCGAAATGCAAAAGCCTGTTCATTACAAAGCACTCGAATATCCCGGACTGAGTGCGGTAATCCTGTACTTCTTCAGGACTGGAAAGCTGGATACCACTGGCAAAGAAATCCATCACGCTTTTGACTATATCGGGGCTACTGAAGTTGGTAAAAGGCATGGTATTCGCGATACCGGATCGAAACTCTTTGTCTCGAAGGAATTTAGCCGAACTATTGGGCTCAATGAGAAAGATTACTACGTGGGTGATTGCTTTTTGGTAAGTCAAACCCTAATATCCATTATCTGTACCTTTCCACTTTACAATTCTAACATTTTGATGATAATTATAGCGCCCCGTGGAATGGATCCTCTGGAGCCCGTCTACCCGGACTGCTCTGGTGATTATGCCAGAAGAAGCTGAACTTCTGATTCCGAAACTTCGACTTGCCCGTGGCAAACCAAAAGTTCATCTAATCGCCTACGCGGCTCCTATCACTCGAGCCATGGTGCCATTCAACAACCTCCGTTATTATTCGCTCCCACCAATCTCTCTTAACGCCACGTTTCCTACATGGCTCAAGATCGAACTCGGAATTCTTTCAGGTCGGCTTTACACCAACTATGAAGAGTGGAAGCTTACGGATGATTACATTAGAGGCCCAGGGCGTAGTTTATCTATCACTCCTATGTTTCTTCATAAATGGCTTGCTGTTCGCTGTAGAGCTCATGATGTACTCCAAACGCCGATGGGTTACATCTGCCAGGGCCGAACGGCGACGGAGGCTCATCCTTTCTTTGTCCAACAAGCGACCGTAGTCACTCCTACGCTTCCGGTTGCCCAGGTTGAGGATCCCGTTGAGGAGATAAAGGATGAACAGTGGGAAGAAGACGGCAGCCTTGATGAAGACGGCAGCACCTATGTCGATGGAACCGAAGATAACAATGTCGAAATATACGATAGCGACGAGGGAAATGATAGTGAAGAAGAAGATGATGGTGATGGGGGATATTAGTCCGAAGATGAACAAATGCACAGCAAAAAATGGAATAAGGAAGTATAATGAGCATGGTTGGAGTGGCTTAAGAGTTGATCAGAGAGTTTAGGATGACAGGCGAAAAGTTTTGGCAATTGCAAGCATTGAGAAAATGGTGTGTACGCGAACTTGGAAAGGGGTATCAGGACGGCTGAGGGATGGATAGGTCAAGGAAGGGTTACCAGATTGTCGGCAAAGGCGACATATGGAAAGATTGGTGGTGCGATAGTTTCTCAGTTAGATGGACTAATGATGATTGTTTACTTAAGGATAGAGATGTGAAGAGTTTAATTCCGCCCCAAGTGAATTCGTTTTATTCCTTCGACGGCTCATTGCCCGGCGACAAGGCCAATAGAAGAGAGTATGTGATAGTTTACACTATTGGTACAATCTTCTACTATTCAAGGATTACCTGACACATACAGAATATTGAAAGGAAAATGTGATTCGAGTCACACTATATGATAGAGAAGAGCCGTTGAATCTGCTGCCATATGTTAAATCTTTGAGTGGCTATGAAATGTTGAGAAGAGGGTGAATCTACAAAAGCTGAGGTGAAGTCGGATGTAGTGCACGATTTTCCATGCGATTGCCAAGACGATTTAATTACTTCACATAACGAAATGACATGAAATGTGTAATGATGGTTGCCTTACCTCATAGACTGTTGAGCATACGACAGTTAAATTTTGAACTTGTCGTGGAGCATCTGCCGTTGAGTCATCAGATTAACCGGATATCTCACAGCAGTGTATATAAAGAAGAGGTAAAAGATAGAATTTGATCTAATCATGTTAAAAATCGACCCAGTAGAAGTAAAAGATCTGGTAAGAGTAAATAGATCTAGTAGATGTAAATAAATCTAGCAGTAGATGCAGATAGATCTAGTAGAAACAGATAAACCTAATAAAAACAGATAAATATAGTAGAAAGCAGGTGAATCTAGTAGAGACAGATAGATCTAGTAGAAAGTAGATGGATCTGGTAGAGATGATCGGTTTATACATTGTCTACCCGAGTACATGTAGCGAGAGTTTCACCGCAACATGACTTCAGTACCGTTCGTCATTGTGAATCTGTGTTTACCGGTGCGATTACTGAGGCCTTGAAGTCCACTGCAAGCCCGCTCCTGGATCGTGGGGGTGATGGCGGAGCGGCAACCGGCGACGCGCCGAGCAGAGACGCAGCATCGGAAGTTTCATGTCTTCAACCAATCAACCATAATCTAGAGTAGGTCCGATCATATAATGCATTTTGCCAGGCAATAGTCGATACCTGCAGAGAACAGACTTTCACCTGTAGCACTTGGGAATCTGGCAGGCTAAGGACGCCACTGGTGCATTTAGAGAAACGACAGAATGCTCGGCCGCAGCCTTCATTCAGCGGCTCAATCGGTCCTAGTGAGGATATAAGTCATCTATGCCTGGAGAAGATGCGAAAGAAAAAAAAAGGAGCTCATCGATGGGCTGGCAGAGAATATACGCCAAAATGGGGTTGCGGTTATGGCCCAGCTATTTCTCCAGACGCGCTATGACAATCCAATTATTTGAAGGTGCCGCCAGGGGATTTCTGGACGACGAAAAAGAATGGGATGCTGGTGGCACCATACACTTCCAGTGGGAAATGTCATTGCTATGCGATCACATAATTTCTTCCTTTGGGCTTCAGGTCCTCAATGGACAAGTATGTCTTCTCTGGGATGGCTGGGTATGGTGTCGCCAGAAGGAAACCGTCACTGAATTCAGACATTACATGTACGAATGCACATGGGAACACTTGTTTCGCCGACGATTCCCACATCGTGGTAGTATCTCTCAAGGGCCTCCCTTCCCTCGGGCGGTGGACTACCTGGCAACAGCCATAGCCGGGACGTATCCGGTGTTGGATGAGAGTATAGCAAAAGCGGATTAGATCGTTGTATTTGTAAAAACCCTGGAAGCACCTTAGTATTGGGAGCATACTATGAGCAACGCAAGTATTATCGAATGTGGGCGGAATTGGCTCAAGACTGCTGGGAAACAGATTGGTTAGTCGCCACTGCGTTGCAAGGACCAGGACCACGAACATTCGCTGTCGACCATGTCACAAGGGACCCGATGGGCATACTTCGATTCTCCATTGGACCCCAATGCCGCTGCAGCGATCGAAGCGCGAGTCAGCGAACCTCATGACCATCTGTAAAAAGGTGTTGAATAACACGACATGGTGGGGGAGGGGAGGAGGCTACAGTAGCCAAGGCAATAGCTCGCGACGGTTGAAGAAAGCTGGAGCCTGATGAGTGAATGATCGTAATCAACTTCTTTGGCATATCTCAGATTACCTATAATAATTCAATATAAAAATACAATTTGACTCTTGTATACTGTTTCCCGTGACTCTATTGTGATCGTAGGTGGAATGGATCAGCTCGAGATGGTGGGGCATTACACAATCAAGGTCACGTGCTTAGTACTTTACCTGTTTATCGCAACATTCAGTTTCAACATCTCGCCTCTCCAATTCACCTCATCTTCCACATTCCCTCCCACGACGCATTTCGGCCTGCATTTCTACAACTTCATTCCACTTTTACAGTCCCGCTCATGACTATAAACTGTTCGGTAGGAATTACGGCCTGCATTTCTAATTCTACAACACTTCCAGAGTCCGGGGCATGACTTGATGATTAAAAACTACTCGGCTAGGCATTACGGCCTGCATTTCTAATTCTACAACACTTCCAGAGTCCGGGGCATGACTTGATGATTAAAAACTACTCGGCTAGGCATTACGGCCTGCATTTTTAATTCTACAACACTTCCAGAGTCCGGGGCATGACTTAAAACTGTTCAGCTAGATATTCAACTCGCACATAAGGTACAGTATCCACCCTACTTCCCCTGGCAATGCAACACCAAAATCTGGAGACATGATGCTCCTCTGGCTGCAATATCTAACCTCTTTCTCTCTAGATAAACAAACAAATCGTACTACGATTTCAGAAAAAAGCCCGCGATTTGCACAATTGCTTTTAGTGCAGGCGCTAAGCGAGCTCGTGACCCACTAAGCCCTTGGCGATTTTTAGCCCTCTGCACTCCACAGATTCAGCCATACGGAGTACATGGCAGTACACGAAAACCCCCGTCTCGCCCCATCCCACTTTTACAAGTACTACGAGTACCAACAGCCACACCAGCGGTACAGTACGAGACGCGCTGCTACGGGTACAAGTACTATGATACCTATTCCCCAAAATTACCCTAGCGTAGCCGCTTGATCGGTTTGTTAGCTACCTTTTCCCGCTATATTTTGCAAGTCTTGCTAATTTTACGCCAGATCGAGAAAAGCAACATGGCTACCGAGTTCCCAGCCGTGACTGACAATGATGGCGATGGTTTCGTTAACGTACGTTTTGTCCTTTCTTTTCAATGCGATACTGTGGAAATTCGTGCTAATTCTGCTTCAGGCTGAGGAGACAATGAAGCACCTTGACAGACGGCAAATGCTTTTGGACAAAACCGGTGGCGCTGCCGATGACTGGACTGGATCCTTTCATGTGTACATGAACATCAACGATGTTCCTATCAGTACTCCTGGCCCCAATAACGTTCAAAAATTCTCTTCCACATCATCTGAATCACTTGATGCTACATTTGCAATGCACAACAACGAGAATGATTTTGCTTTCCTCGGGATGGATACGCTGGCGATCGTGGTTAAGATTGTCCATAGAGATGACTTTGCCAGAAGATTTCTGGGCTTCTGGGCAGAAGCGTCTCAATGCGTTCAGAGCGTTCTCATCATGCTTTTTTTGCCGTCACCTCGATGGTGTTCTTTGAAGAGATACGAATCTGGCCGGCATAGGCATCATCAAAGCCAAGGTCGTGAGTGGCGTCAAAACCAAACTTGACCGGTCAAAGGAAGGCAAGCATCTATTGTCTCAAATCGGGGAGATCTCCGCACAAACAAGTCAAACTCAAGACAAACGCCCTGTCACATTCGAAATCCTTTTCAATGCCTTGAACTCTTACCAAATAGAAGGGAATCATCACCAACTTATTTTGAATGACGTTGGCGATTTGTTCATTCGTGATTTGACGGAGGAAGAGACCGAGGAGCTGCGCCAAACAGACCATTCCCCCAGAAGCCCCGAGAAACACCAAGATCTACGTTACACACAGTCAGGCGCGTGATTCACGCGTATCGCTCTCTCTTTAGCGCGCGATTTCCGTCAACCAAAACAGCCGCTCGTCCTAGTGACGGGGGTCGTTGAGCGTATGCTCACCCCGGTGCCTAACTGACTACAGCATCGGTTCGTTACTCTTTTTTTTTTTTTTTTTTTTAACTAGATCTCCTTTGAAGTTATGCCTTGCCTTTCGACAATCAGTCGCACGCACTCCTTCTTCTCCCCCCCCCCCCCCCTGGCGCATCTTCCCGACTAGTACCCGATTACGCAGCTCCTTCACCTCAGAAGACGTTTGACGGAAGCGTCCTTCCTGAACCAAGCGAAGCGCAGCTCGCGCAATCTATTTCTCGCTTAGCCTTGTTGGACAACGACCGGCTTGAGCCCAAGAGTCCGTTCTTCAGACACAATAGCGCGCTGCATATCCAGCCCTTGGAACGCAGACAACCTCTATTCAAGAGGAAGCCATACAGCACCCCGACTATCAACGAAAACACCCCTTGCCCATACTGTTCTGAACAGACGGACTGTGTTAACCCGTTGACACTTACGGGGGTAACCTGCGTCAATATCCCGCCTTCTGCTCTCTCTCCGATTAGGAAAAATACCCCTTGGAAAACCTACATCCCACCAACCTTATCATAGCTACCGCCAACATGGAGCACGATCACACCCCAACTCGATTTATACCCGTACCCATCCAATCACAGCTATATCGTTCCTTCAACGCGCTAGCTCCCAGAACCCGCCGAGAAACAGGCCAAGGCGCGGAAGCGGAACCGGCAGTGGCTGCAGGCAATACTTCAGCCGTTTCTGAAAGGGATCCCCCTGCAGACATATTGAACGACCCTCATCGCGCAGACCCTCTGGCTCAGTATACGGAGTACTCGGGCCCAATATATGAGGGATGCGGCCCTGATCAACTTCGCGGCTCGAGAAGTTAAGATCAGCCACTACACTTCTCTGTAGAGGGTGTTCACCGCCGGATCCAAGGCCTCCGCCGATGCCGTCTTGAAAAGCCAATCGGAACAAGCCTGCTCGCTCCTGGACGCCGATATTATTAGACAGATACACAAGAAACAATCCCCGCTGTCGAGTGACATAGAGTTTGGGGAGACTGTTGACCGCTTCCACAAGGCTCGAGTGTTCGACGATCCTAAACAGTCTCCCCGAAGTGTGTCCAGCTCCAAACGCGCTTCAGGCGGCTCCTCTCACGTTTCTGAACACCCGTCTGAACGACCTCCACCGCGTGGAACCCGACCTGCGTGCCACCAACTTCGTCACGTTAATTGGACGTTGATCTACATCAGCCGGACGCTTAGCAAGACCCCGTTGACGTCGCTCCCCGCCTCAGCTTCTTTCGGACGAACACGAGGCAGGAGTCGAGTTACGCAAGAGATCATCAACGGCGTGGAGAGCGATCACCTACCCCGAGTCGTCCTCCCCGGCAGAGAGCTCCGTCGGCGACACACTTCTCCCACTCTGGGCATCGACGGTCATTTAAAGCAGAAATTCTAGCACTGGACACTTCCAAAACCCCTATCTCCGCATACATCAGTCAGTTGGAGTAGCTTGCTACCACCCACGGAGAGGATGTGGTGCTGAAAAACATCGTGCCGGGTTTGCTGCCCTAACTAACCTCAGACGGTTGCCGTTGGTTCCAATCACTCAACATAGAGACCCGTCATCGCCTAGCTGTGAGCCTTGACGCTTAGAAGGACCTCCTCCACCAGCAATTCAGAAAGGACCGTGGAGCACTCATGGTTGAAGTAGACAATTTGAAACATTCGTTTGCCAACGAACACGAACTCTCATTGCAGGAGTACATCGACCGCAAGCTTGCGCTATAATGAAGCCGGCGATATGGATGAGGACGCCAAAGCCCGAAGACTCATAATGGGAACCGATCCAGCTCTGTCTAAGCTCATTGACGTAGACCTCGACTATGTTATCGTGGATCGCGTCAAACAGCAACTCACCCTGCGGGAGTGGACCGCCCGCCGTGATTGGATGGCTCAGCACTAAACACGAAACGACCCAACTCCCGAACGAAGGACCCACGTTGCCCAATACCCCGGAAGCGCGCATGCACCAGACATACGCTCGCCGTCGAACACTCCAGAAATTCCATCACCCGAAACGAACGCGCCACCTGACGAACCAGAAAGACCAACTCCAGAATACTTTCTCGATGAAGCGTTCTGTGAAGAAGGCATGGATGACACCTAAGTGTCGTCGAATCGTGTGTGTTAGTGGGTGGCTAATTATTATGACCTTCTTCGCGCTCCGGAGGTTAATAAAAGCAAACGAGATAACTCTCGTTGGTGGTCTGCAATGTGCATGCCGTATTGATTTCCCGTTGTCCAATCTGAACACTCAGTACCAGACATATTTAATTGGAAGCCAACAGATCATGACGCAAAACCGATTCAAAGCGAACTCAAACCTGTGTTACCGATCAATTCGCCAGGTTTCGAAACCCCTATGCAATCTGAGCGCTCTATGGAATTCTTCGCTGGGTTGATGAATCCGGCAAACACTCATAGTGTTCAAATCAAACGGATGTGCTCTGATAAGACCATTCGTGCGGAAGTCAATGCGATTAGTTCTCTCAAACACCCAACTTCAACCGGTCCCCGGCCTTCAGAAGGTAGCCTTGCGGCATACAAATACTTGATGCAGTTTGATCCAACCACTGCCAAGACGAATCTCCTGGATTAAATACCAGCTTTGGGCAATGTGATCAAATCGGACAATGCTCCTCGTTTCCTACGAGATATCTTGAAGCAGATCAATCCCTCTATGCGAGAAGCTTTCGGCAACCTGAGCAGCCTTCCAGTAGGGATTTCTTTTCTTCCTGAGGTTGCTGGTTCTGGTAAATCATATATGGAGATAGCCATCATCTTTTCTCAATTTGGATCTTGCAAAGAAAGTGTACAGCCTGCCGATGCCAAGCCAGATGAAGTCAAGATTCTATATTTTCTCAACAACAATGCTGGGGTTGAGACATTCACCAATCGCTTGGTAGAGACCTACAACCAGCTCGGGATCGAAAACTCACCGCCAGTCATTCGACTTGACCCAATGGGAAGCGAGGTAAAATCAGGCATGAAGGGCACCACTAGGCGTACATACGAAGAGGCATTTGGCCAATCTGAGGCGGAGAAGGATAACGAAAATGCGTCGATTAAGAATCAATTTCTAGCAACCCACGCCTTGAATGAAATTTTACTGGGCATTCACAACGCATATGACAATACTCGGAAGGCTACGCGGTAGAACCTAGGCCGTTCTCTACACCGTGCGGCACTTGATTTTTTGAAGCTTCATAGTGATGAGCTACGCTTCAAAAGAGCTTGTTGGACACTTGGGCAAAGTCGAAAGCGGTGAGGGACTAGATGACGACTCCAAGTCGATGTTCAAGGCTGAGTTTAAATCACTCTACGAGGATTTCTTGATAGATTTCCACGAAACGGTTGTAACAACACCAGTCGGAGCCTCGAATTTTGCTTTTCGACAATCATTTAGGCCTGACATTGTTATTCTTGACGAAGCAGGAACCATGCGAGAGCTCACAACCCTCATACCTATCGCATTCTTAAGCCCCAAAGCCTGGATTGTGACGGGTGATATTGCACAAAAACCTCCATACATATCTATGAAACACGACCTTGGAGCCGGCAAGATCTCCTCCACGTTTCCTTCCAATGTGAAACAAAGGACATTTTGAGTCACCCTTGGTGGATATATCAAGTGGAGTCATTTGGTCAAAGATTGCGCCCCTCTACCCATACTAGATTTAAAAGAAAAAAGTTAGGTACGTTTAGATGTTAGTCAACGATGTAGTTAGTTCTAGTTCTATCATCAATCAAGTTTCTGTCTTTCCCTATTAGATCTATCTACTTCTACTAGATCTATCTACTTCTATTGGATCTATCTATTTCTACTAGATCTATCTGTCGCTACTAGATCTATCTATCTCTACTAGATCTATCTGTCTCTACTAGATCTATCTGTCTCTACTAGATCTATCTGTCTCTACTAGAGCTATCTGTCTCTACTAGATCTATCTATCTCTACTAGATCTACTAAGTTCCCAAGTTAAACGCCTTCATAAGCCGTGATGGAGAGAGACGATGGCATCGGGCCTGATGAGCGATTCCCTGCTTGGTAGGCATGCAAACGTGTTTCGGAGATGTCACTAGAGATTAATTTATAGCCTTGCTGACTTTTCTGAGTACCTGTTTGAGAAGCAGTGGTGCGATTTATGATATACCAAACCCAAGCCATGTTAAACGAATAAAAGGTAGCGGTCAAAGAAAAAAACGAAAAGAGCTGAGAAATGGATAAATGGGAATCTAACTAGATATGGGAATTGAAATGAATGTGAGCATCTCACATAAATACTTCTTGGGCTGGTGCGTTGCCCGCTGTCTCGACTTGATGACTACAACACGGAATCCTGACGCAGTGAGAGGGTTGCCATATTCACGAAAGCGGAAGAATATATTGTCTAAAGTTGAGCATTTCAATACAAAGAGATAGCATCTTGGAACAGACAACGTGGATAATGAGTATAACGTAGCTACAAACATTGTCTCTGGTTGTTTGTGGCTAGTGAGGGCAAGGTCTGGCGGAAGCCGGAGTAAATCTTCCCTCATCTGTTTAACAGGGAGCTAGTATCTCTAATGCAATTGACAACTAAGCTTTGATGCTAAATACATACACGGTTCGTCAACTCTTATACAAAACAGAATAGACCTTGATACTGTTCAATCAGGCATGTGGTATCTCTCGTATTGCATCAAATGCAAACTGCTGCACACTTGGATGGCAAATGGTCAATGCAAAGTGCGCAAAAATAGAACTGATGATTGACTCAGGCACTGGCCAGAAAACGTCTACATGTTATCATCAACACCTTTAGCGCATTCGAAGGAAGAGATAGAAAACTGATCAATTGTGTGCGAGCGAGCAACGCCGGTCCTGTCAAGAGAACCGGCACACGCCGCAATCGATCATAAACGGTCACCAACACCACTTGATCAAGCAGTCATGTCCCGAAAGACATGAGGAGAAAGGTAAATCCGAAATGACTATTCATCTCTTCCAAACTTTGATAGTACACAGCAAGGGGAGGGGGCCTTATTTTTGGGCGACTTCGTGGTGGTGGAGGCCCTTGAGCTGAGAGTCGGAATCTCGCTGCTCAACATACGCCGCCCAAGTGTCGCGATTCCCAATGGGGGACTTGCTCTCTTGAGACCTCCTCCCAGATAGCCGACCAAACGCTCCAGAGAACAAGCGAGACATGGAATCCAGGACGGGACCTTGGAGGACGTGGTTGAGGAAGGCGGGCAGAAGCATAAGACATGCGCAAATGAGGCCCACGTTGACTTCGACAGTTCTGTAGTAGATTATTAGCATTGAGAAGTATTCAACAATGATATAGCTGTATAGGGATTACTCACGCCCATACAGACATCTTGGAGAGATTCCAGGAAGCATCGGGGTTGCTGTGGAGAATCGGCGTCATTCCAAGGCGAATAAGGCTGGCGGCGCAGGCACTACAAATCCTTTCGTTAGCCACTCGAATCCAATATCCCCCGAACAAGAGCTTTGACGCACAACAAACCAATGCTAAAGACGGCAATGACCTTCACCTTCCGCTTAAGATCCATGTTCAGGCCCACAAGGACGGGGACAGGCAAAACGAGCGTGTACAGATCCAACGCCGAGCTCGAGATGCCAGAAACATAAGGCAGATACACAGGGTTCAAACAGTGGCCGGGGACGATTGGGTTCCATGCTTTTTCCACCGGGATGCAGCTAAAGACGTTTCCGAAGAACAGGCTGAGGCTGAAGCCGACGACCAAGACGATGCCGAGGATGACGAGGTAGCGCATCTTGTTTGTTTCCGAGAAGATTCGGTAGTAGAAGAAGAGGAAGGTGAGTTTGACGCAGCCTCCGAGGAGCAGATAAATGAAGGACCCGATGGAAAACCACTGGAAAGACGAGTGATGTTAATGGAAGACGTCGTTGGAAACGGCGATGAAGTTTTTGAGATTTACCTTTAGCATTTCTGTGACATCTTGGATGGGGACATTCCACATGTGGCGACCGATTCCCTTTGTATAACCTGTTTCCATTGTTATTTTACATAAATCCAATACATTGTAGAAAGAGTATCTCCTTACATTTCAACATGAATGCCGAAAAGGCGATGGTCATAAACTGCTCATGTTAGCAAATACTGACCAAGGACAGCGTGACTCTTTCTAATTCTCACATATGATACAATACAGAAATCTGTTACCCGTTAGTCTTCCGATGAGGTATAGTATAGTAGCCAAACTCACAGTCGTCCACCCCGAGTTTGGCCTTTGTGATCCAGCAGCGCGTGTACAGTCTCATACCCACGGCCAGCGTGGTCAGCGTCAACAACACCGTATGCAGCGCGATATTCTCCGTCATATGATCATAAGGATCAATGAAATTCGGCTCGACTCCCGGAGGAGGAGGAATCGATCCAAGCCATTGCGAAGCCATGAGTTCCCGAACCCTCGCGGTAAGTCTCACGTTGCTTGCTCGATGAAATGGCAGTAGTATCAAATGAGTGGAAGCAGCAGAAATCTGCAGAGGCCGGGCAGCAGCAGATGGTCAGTATGTGTCAAAAACGCATGGTCCGGGGAAACCCAGAAAAAGCCATGCGAAATAATCTGTACATATTATAACGCCATTCGATGCGAAAAATGTGCCGAGCATCGCCGGGGCTGAAAAAGAAAAACACCATGCTAGACTCAATGGAGGACGGGAAGATGAATCCTGCGACATGGAATGTGAGCGCCTGCCTGATTGGAAATCATCACATCGATATCTTGCTGTATGCACACACTGCCATACACAAAGCAAAGGACGGAGTACACAGACGCACATTCTCCGTCCACACCCGCCACTTGTGTTGCAGAAGAAACCGATGAGGAGTGGCACACTGGCGAATCCTTTGGCTGGGCGTAACCCCCACGAGGCTGCCAATTGGAGAAGCAGGATCTCCCGTAAATTGGGTCTTCCCCCAACTTCTGTTGGTTGGCATGGTAAGACACGGGATGGGCATGGCCGAGTTGCAGTTGCATTGCGCAAGCAAGGAATGTTTGCGTCGGGGTGGCTTATCAAGGCCAACGTATGCGAGAAAGGGCCTGTGAAATCTGATCTTGAAGAAGCCGAGCGGCATCATTCAAAAAGCCCGTCTTCATTCAGTTCTAAATAAATCATCGTTCCTTTCATAAACGGCCTTCTTTCACAGTATAGGCCCGAAACATTCATCTCGTGTCATGGTGGCCTCCTGGGGATGGCCCGTCACGGCCTCGGAGTGGCTTAGCACCACCGCTCTCACGCTCACAACTGTATGAGAGCGAATAAACAGAATCCAGATCACAGGCTGACGATATCCCAGTATAACGTGCTTCGAGTTGTTTATAACCTGTATTTTCATCCCTTGTCTAAAATCCCGGGTCCCGTTGCATGGAGGGCATCTCGGTTGCCGTTTATCTGGTCCCTCCTCAGGGGAACAATTGTCCATGATTTCGAGCGCCTGCATCATCAATATGGCCCCATCATCCGTATTGCGCCAGACGAAGTCACTTTTGCCCATGAAGACGCCTACAAGGACATATTCCAGCTTCGTAAAGATCACCCTCAGTTTCTAAAGGACCTCGTCTGGTGGAAAACGCAGCCCGGCATGGCAGACTCTCTACTCAGCGCCATCGACCCAAAGCATCATGCACGCATCCGCAGTCTTCTGGCTCCTGGATTCACGCCTCGCGCCTTGAAAGAGCAAGAGCACATTTTGCACTTTTATGTCAATCTCTTGGCGGAAAGGATACGTGAGCGCGTGAATGAGACACCAGAAAGCGGTGCAGTCATTGACATGGTGCCCTGGTTCAACTTCACTGCCTTTGACATCTTCGGCGACCTTGGATTTGGCGAGTCCTTCAACTGTCTCCAGGATTCCAAGTACCACCCTTGGATCGCTCTGCTGTTCAATAGTGTCAAGGCGGCGTCCTATGTCGCAGCCGCACGATTCTATCCAATCGTCGAGCGTCTTCTTATGATGTGTATTCCTCCGTCTCTGAGGAAGATGCAGCGGGACCACTACCAGCAGATCGTGGACAAGGTTGACAGGCGTCTCAACTTCGAGCTTGAGCGACCTGACATCATGTCTCATGTGATACGAGGCACAGAGCGCCGCGAGCTGCCAGAGGGCACCGTCCACACTACCTTCATGGTGCTGACGACCGCAGGAAGCGAGACGACGGCGACAGCCCTGAGCGGCACCCTCAACTACCTGGTCAACAACCCCGACAAGCTGGAGACTCTAGTGAGAGAAATCCGCGGCACCTTTCAGCAGGAGAGTGACATCGACCTCGACGCACTGCGCAAGCTACCATACCTCAACGCGGTCCTAAACGAGGGCCTCAGGCTCTGCCCGCCCGTCCCGTGGATTCTCCCGCGGCGGGTTCCAGAGGGAGGCGATACAGTATGCGGAACATGGCTTCCGGGAGGGGTATGTGCAAAAGCGCGCCTATCTTTCTTCTTCTTTTCGAATCCCTCACCCTTGCGTCCCCGTTGTATCCTTGGCTAACTGCAACGTTGGGGGCTGGCCCAGACTCCCGTCTCGATACAAGCATACACGATGAACCGTGACCCGGCATACTTCCACTCGGCCACATCATTCGTTCCGGAGCGCTGGCTCTCTGACAGCCGCACAGACCAGGAGTCGCCCTTCTTCCATGATCGCCTCCAGGTTGTCCAGCCGTTTAGCGACGGGCCAAGGGCCTGCCTGGGGCAGCACCTGGCGTGGGCGGAGCTGCGGCTGATCCTTTCCAAGCTGATCTGGGCGTTTGATTTCGAGGTGGTAGAGGATCGCAAGATGCGGTGGGAGGATCTGAGGACATTTCTGCTTGTGGAAAAGAAGCCGATGGAGGTGCGAGCAAGGCTCCGGGACACGGCCTCAGTCGCATAAGATTTGCTGTATATTGTCCCACGTTGGCAAGGGGACACAGTCAGTGTCAGTCACAGTGTTTGGACAAAGAGACAAATGAAGCTGCCTTGTGCCACCCACGTGAATCGACGACATGTGTTGTTAGTGGTTGCACGCCGAAACTCTGCATGTGTTCAGTAAACGGTTGGACGAGACCTTGTGAATGCGGACAAACGCCATGCTCGAGCAGTCCAACGTACAGTAGTGAGTAGCAGCGGCTATGGAGTAATAATCCCCGTGGAATACATGCATAAAGTCAACTTTCTACAGCATGGCCATGGGCGATTTCCCTTCTCGGCGTCCGTAAGCATGCCACCCTGGCGTCGCATCGCGTGGACCATTTGCATTCTGCCTGGGCCATTGCGGGATCATTCCATCGCCTGTTCTCTTGCGTGCCGTGTTCCAGTGCTCCCACAGAGACGGCATCTAAGCGCCAGAATACTGCGGCAAGTCGTTTCGCCTCTCAGCACAGCGTTGCACTGCAATCTGCCCTTTGGGGGCCTTTTGCCTTTGAGACGACTCCTCCACATGCCGCTGCTTCCTGGAGTATGGCGATGCGCCCCTCGCTTGCAGACTTGCATAGGCTATGTTCAACTCCTCGGGATGTCATGCGGCATGTCGACAGATATGATCCCTGGAGCGCGTAATCCCATGGATATCACTGTCCGTGCGTAAGACGTTGTTGTAACCTTAGAAGTTGCTTTCCGCCCCCAAAATCCAACACACACCCGGTCCTTGAAACCAAAATGGGCAACACTTGGTCAAAACACATCGCCGTCTCGACGTGATCTCTTATCTCGGCATCTGAAAACGATGGAATGTCTTAAAAGTCTTGTCCGTCGGTAGTTTTTCCGTCCACTCGTCTGCCTTGCTGAATATGTATCTTGTCTTATCCGAACTTCACATCCCCGACCCCAACTTGGGATAGCAAGACGAACGGTTAAATCTGCTCGTTTAAGATCATCCTGCCCTTTGGTATAGTGAAATTGCATCATTGCTCATCAGGGTTTCATCTATGATACCCCGTCGATACCCATATCTGTCCCGAAAATAACTTCATTCTCCAGAATACTACAGTACAGAGTCTCCTGTGCACTAACGAATCAAGGCACGCACGCCTTTGGTGCTAAGCTTTGGAAGGGGAATCAAGAAGTCATGCGCTTGCTTGACATCACTCTCGTCCGTCTCGTATAGCTCTAATTTCGGCCCATTAGAGCGATAGAGAACTGCCAAAACAAGACTCATCTCCGCCATAGCTAGACTTGAGCGATAATAACACGGATTAGTTTCTTTCTGCCACGATCTATCGGAATCCGGGAAGTGGGAGATACTTACTTCATTCCCAGACAATTTCTTGACCCACGGCAAAATGGCACATACGACCGATGCATGGCAGGTTTCACATCATGAACCCACCGTTCGGGTATAAACTCGCCCGGATTGGGATATACCTCAGGGTCTGAGTGCATCAAATATGCAGACATACCCACGGGGATCTGCAGCACACCGTTAGATACAGAAACAGGCGGATAAAATGCTCGGGTTGTCTTACCCCTGGAGGTATCACAAAGTCTTTGTACTGAATGGCCTGGTCGGGAAACACTCTTGGCAAGCGATGCATGACGCCATAGCTGAGTCTATATACGCACATGTGGTTAGAATCGTCTCCTCGTTGGCTTGCTCATGATCATACCTCAGGGATTCCTTGATGATTCCTTGCAAGAGCGGCAGCTGCTCTAGCTCTGCCCAGGTTGGAACCTGCTCGGGCCAGTTGGCCATCGGCTCCTTCAGCTCAGCTTCAAGCTTGCTTCTCAACTCAGGCCTAGAGAGAATGTAGTAGGAGGCAAAGCCGATAGTGCGTGCTGTGCTTGCTGTGCCGCCACCAAGAAGGACCTGGGCTTCCTTTGCCAGTCGTTCCTCGGTTCTCTCCTCTACTGGCATGTCGCTGTTTGCAATGTGCCGGAAAATAGAGACTCCACTGTCCTCGCCTTTGGATTGATCACTGTTGGCAAGTCGTATTTGATTCAATGCTCGCTAAAGTCTTATGTCAGAACATAAGTGTTTCTGTCAATGAGACGTCTGCAGACTGACCTGTCGAAATATGTTGAACATTTGGCCTTTTGGATAGACCCAGAGCAATAAACTCTCCGGAAGGAGACTCAAAACTCTTATGATCATGTTAGCTTTGACTAATAAAACGCTGGAAATCGCACTTACTGAATGATCTGAGGAAATCCTGTAAACAGCGGGATAGATCTTACAATAGCGTGAATAACATTATACCTGAGATGTGACAACATAATTAGCATAGATTTCACCCAAAAGTGGTAGGAGCATACCAGTCAGAAGCAAAGTCGGGGGCATCTAGAAACCGGTCGCCGTGAGAGCCTCTATCGCCAGTACCAAGGCATATTCTTCCAATAATATCCCCGGAGAAGGCAGAAAAAGCATGGTCCAGTCGAATAACTGCATTTTTACCTTCCAGCTCTCTGAAACGAGACTCAAGGTGCAGAGCAACTTCTGCAAGCATTGGCTGTAGCTGGGTGATTCCTTTCCGCGAAAAGAAACCTTCCATTGGCTTTCTCCTCTTTCTGTGCAGATCGTGGTCCGCTGTGAGCAAATGAGAGCCTACAGCGCAAGTATCAGCAGAAATCCTCTGAGATCGAGGTATCAATCTCACCATCAAAATCGATGCCTTTGCAAAACACATCATAGCTGTTAGTTCGCCGTTTGCTCTCCGTAACATATATCTCATTGTAAAACTCTGGATCGTGAATAGATAGCTCATCCGGATTCACTCGAACAATGGGACCTTTGGTCCAAGAAAGAAGAGGGATGAATTAGCCAAGTATAAATGAGATGGGAACCATTGCACTTACCATATTTTTTATGCATCTTCTCCACTTCGAACAGGTATTTGCCATCCAGCCAGTAGTCATAATAAAATTCATACCAGAAGGAGGCCGCAGCAAATTTGGGACCAGGGAATTTGGCCAGAGGCGAAAACCAGAGGCGATATATCACGAGATATACATTATAGATGAAAGAAAACGAAACTGTAGCCACGAGGGCAATCGTCGTAACGGGCTGCGATAACAGCGCCTCCATGATTGACGGATTGTTTACAAAGCAATACTCTTGAGAGAAGTGTATGAGAGGAAGAGGAAGAGGAAGAGGAAGAGAGACTGTGAATGAGTTTAAAGAGATGCCAGTATTCTCAATAGAGAAAATAACGCGTGCATATTGTTACATTCCAGCAGCACGTAGTATAAAAGGCAAATGTATAATTGCCTTGATATTGTGGCGTCGTCTTAGCTACGTGTCACATCGGGGTCCTCAATTAGCCCGCTCAAAGTAATCTTACTCGTATGGCTGATACTCAGATGAATCTTCACGTACCGGCATAAGAGCTCCTTCAGCCTTCCCCCGAAGGATTCATCCTCCGTCCAATCTTTTGTGGGTAACGTGCATGCCTAGGACCTGCAAAATCGGGGTCAGAGGCAGCGGTTTGTTGGTTAGTACGGGACAGACGGGGGTGGAGTGTTGCATTGGATGCAATAATAGCCTGCATACTGTGATGCGTGTGGATTAGTATCAGTGCGCATCCCATGAAGTCGGTGGCTAATCTGGTACAGCTAAATGCAGGCTGTGCCGGCCCAGGATGATGGCAGTAGATGTAAGTGCCGGAATACCGTGACTTTCTAAAATTGGTAGTTTTGCGCCGTTGTCTATTTGTGGGCAAAATATCAAGGAATCTCGGAGTCACGTACAGTGTAACATCAAGGAAGTCATCAATCAACATGGCAAGGCCGTTAATGCGCAATGGAATTATCCCGTGGTCCGGCGGCTAGGAGTTTCCAACAAGGCCCTGGGCTACTTGCTTGCTGAGGATAAAATGTCGCTGGTTATCATCCGACGCTCGAGCCCAGCACGTAGAGTACCATCAGATCACATCACTTCGAACTGCTGGTACACAATTCTGCAGATCACAGTGTACGAAACGGAACCATGGAGTATCGCTACTCAGAGATCATCGACCCAAGTGTCTACGAGACACACGGGTTAGCCAACGGCATCGCTCTTCGTGGGCACAAAGAGCCTATGAAGGAGATCCGTGGAGCACGTCGAGCCCAAGTCGATTGGTCGACTCACGTAAAACCTCTCGCCGACTACAAAGGCGGGCTGGGCCAGAGGTTCAGCTTCATGCAGGTAACCGTTCCAGAATGTCTGCCAGAGAGGCTTGAGATCATCTCGTATGCAAACGAATATGCGTTCATCTATGATGGTGAGTCCCCATCCAGATACGGTTCTGTACACCCTTGATGATCTAATTCCTTGTTCAGACGAGATGGAAACTCTAGATCTTGAGAATGTCTCGGTCAAGTCGCCGGAGATGCTCGAGGCATTCGGAAAGGGCGTTTTAGACAGCAAGACGGACAGCAAATCACGTCCCGAAAAGCGACTGCAGGCACAGATATTGAAAGAGATGATTGCGATTGACCCTCAACGGGCCATCACATCTATGAAAGCCTGGGCCAAGTTTGTCCAGTTGGCGTCTCAGACAAGAGAATCGCCATTCCGGACCTTGGCAGAGTACGTCCCCGCAAGGGTGATTGACGCTGGCGAGCTGTGAGTATTCATCAGTCTTGAAGGCATCTTTGACCGTTACACCAGTGCTAACGTAGTGTTTAGGATCTGGTTCGGTACGTTGACGTTTGGCATGGCCCTCACTATTCCGGACGAAGAATACGACCTCTGCATGGAACTGGCCCGCCCCGGATACGCTGTCTTGGGACTCACCAATGATCTATACTCGTGGGAGAAAGAGAGGCAAGCGGCCGAGAAAGCAGGCCAGGACTATGTCTTCAACGCCATCTGGGTCATTATGAACGAGCAGCAGGTGAGCGAGGACGAGGCCAAGGCCATCTGCGCAGAAGAGATCCAGCGATATGCCACCGTCTTCCGTCGCAACGTCGACGAGACAAAGAGGAACATGGCGCTGTCCAGGGATCTTCGGGCGTACATCGAGGCTGTCATGTACAGTTGCAGTGGCAATCTCGTTTGGAGCATTTACTGCCCGCGATACCACGAATTCTAGGCCGGGCGAGTCATATGCAGCGTGGTTGTATGGCGGGTAAGACGAGGGTGGTAGTGCAGCATTGCGGTTGGATTCACACCTGGAGGTTGAGGTAGAGATAAACGGAAAGGCGCAATGATACACCGATGTTGAGATTGATTGGTAACCGTAACCGAACGATTAGTACCACTGTCAAGTAGCTGCGAGGTAGCATGCAGAGAGGATTTCGTATGGAGTACATGTAACACTCAAGGGTGGCGGCAGTCTGGGCGTCCCAAGTCCCAAATCCCAGGTACCAGATACAGCCTTGGCGCAACGTGGGTACACGGGCAGAGTAGCACCACCGCCTTCCATCACATGAAATGCTCCCTGCATGTACCTCTCTCTGGTTGGGGATCCTGAGGTACCAATTCTCTCTCGTTCCGTTTGCACAGCATCAATCACATCATGTCACCAGGCTCTGAAACACGGCTTCTCTCTTCGTCTCCAGTGGAATGCACAGGTGTCGACCTTATGCACTTAAACGGACTCGTGCTGCGTTCCCCTCATTCGCTGTCCAACACACGAGCATCCTTGCTGTGTCGGCTATAAGAAGTGTTGTTGGTCGCTGATTTAGGGGGGCAGCAAGAAAATCTCCAAGGCTCGCTGCCTACACATACGTTACAACTGGGTGATTACGAGGCAATTCTCTGCCAAATCCATTGCTCATAGCAGATCGAGAACGATTCTCACGGACCTCCATTCTACCTGATATTTACCTCTGTTTCAAGCCCATCGCAGCGTCGCCATGGGAAACCAGTGGTCGCAGTTTTTCCCACCAAAGCCGACATTCACAGAGGCCAATGTAGGCTCTCTGGACGGCAAGGTGGTCATTGTCACCGGTGGCTCCTCTGGTATCGGGTTTGAGCTTGCCAAGATATTGTATCAAAAGAACGCAAAGGTTTACATTGCCGCCCGCAATGAAGAGAAGACGCGCAAAGCCATCGAGGAGATCCAAGCTTCCGGCACCTCCAACGGCAGCCTTGAATTCCTTTCCCTGAAGCTCGACGACCTGAGCAGCATCAAAGCTTCAGCAGACGAGTTCAAGTCAAAAGAATCCAAGTTGCATGTTCTCTGGAACAATGCTGGCGTCTCTCAACCGCCCGCTGGCAGCGTCTCGGCTCAGGGTATCGAGCTGCAGTTCGCTACGAATTGTCTGGGGCCATTCGCCTTCACACAGTTTCTCTTACCACTCCTTGAAGCAACAGCCGCAGACGAGGCAACTCCCAAAGGCTCAGTCCGCGTGGTGTGGACCAGCAGCCAAGTCATGGAGCTTTCAGCCCCAACTGATGGCATCATCATTGATGAATTCATCACCCCTCCCAAGGATCGAAACCGCAGCTATACCAATTCCAAGACTGGAAACTACTTTCTCGCTACAGAGCTTGCGCGGAGGGCAGCATCGTCGTCTATCGTGAGCGTCTCCCTAAACCCAGGCGCTCTCAACACGAATCTTTTGCGGAATGCACTTCATCTCAAATACATGGCCTATCCGCTGCTTCATAAGCCCCGATTCGGAGCCCTGACCGAGCTGTACGCTGGGCTCTCTACGGATATCAGTCTGGAGAATAATGGATCTTACATTATCCCCTGGGGCAGGATTTCGACCGGCGTAAGGGCTGACTTGGTCAATGCATCAAAGACCACTGAGGAAGGAGGGTCGGGAAAAGCACAGGAATTTTGGGAGCTGTGTGTTGAGAAAACAAAGGACTACATGTGAATGGTAGTGAATTCGATACGATTTTGAGGCCAGCGATGAGGTTGCGTGCTCAATCCTGGTGGAGTGAGTGAGTCATTAGCAGATCCAGCAACTAATATCATTTGTCGACCTATTCATACGGACAAGCTTTTCTTCAATCATCTATTTCTACTCAAATACCATTCATTTTCTTTACTAGATGCCAACAGGCGTGCCGTAATATTTACCCATCATCAAGTCGCTGCCTCATACTCTTCATAGTAGTGTCTTCCTCCACCACTTCTCTTCCTCCACCAGGTATCCTTTTGCACTCTCTGGACGCCCAAGCATGTGTCCATCACCCGGAAATTCCACAAGCTTAACAACTTCCCCTTTCTTTTCAAGCGACGCCGCAATCAACCGCGCATGTTCAATGGGCACAACTATATCTTCTTGGCCATGGACCAGTAGCAGAGGAGCCTTGATCTTATCAGCGTGGAATAGCGCACTGCGCTCCTTGTAGATCTCGTCTCTCTCCTCGTCGCTCATGAGCTCTGTCAGCCCGAGGAGCTTCGCAGAGTAATGTGACTCGAGCTTGTGGGTTTTCTCATCAAACTTCTTCACGTCCGAGATGCCAGCCGCACAAACAGCTCCAGCAAAAGTGTCGGGGAAGCGGGTTACGCACTGCAGAGTGTTGTAGCCGCCAGCGCTGGGGCCTGTGATGCCAATCTTTCCGACGGAGCCAATCTGGCCAAAATACTTGGCGGCAGCATCAGCATCCGCAGCATCGACATGGCCCCAATTACCCCATAGAGAACTCCTGTATTCTCGCCCATATGATGTAGATCCAGCGTAATTCAGGGCGAAGAAGCCGTATCCCCGCGATGTAAAGTATTGAATTCGGTATGAGAGCCCGGGGCCCTTGTGACCGGTCGGACCACCGTGGGCATATATGATGAGAGGGAATGGGACGCTCGCGTCCAGCTTATACTTGTCACTCGTCGGTTCCCAAAAGAACCCATGGATGGTATGATTTGGGAATCCTTTGGAGGGCAAGCAGACGGCATGGGGCTTTGCGATGAGCCCTTTTGGAAACTGTTCATCAATAGAGAGGCGGAGGATTCCGTTATGCTCGGGTTGGTGGATATTTATCTTGTGTAGCGCCTGAGGAACATCGGTTCCGCTGCCCACTACAAGAACATGAGTGTCGTCTAATCGAGTGACAGCGTCCCAGATGATATCGCAGAGCCGGTCTCCGTCAGCTGCCTCCCTCCACGAATTGTCTTGTAGATCTATGGTTACGAGGCGTTGCGTGCCGTTTGACGACACGGCCGCAACCAGAAACCTTTCCGTGACGGGCACAAAAGTACGGCTACATCCACGTTAGACTATACCGTCTTCTCAAAACAATCAGGGTCGTTGATTTCAAGATCTCACCTTCCCTCTAATAACAGGACTTCTCCTAGCTCAGACGTTTCCAAGCCCTTGAGCTTAATCTTCTCTGGCTTAATCCCTGTTTTTTCGTAGATAGACGGCTTTAATTTGTATAGCTGACGATAGCCACTGGTTTCCTGGGCAAAGAACAGAGTATTGCCATCAACACACCATCGTGGCTCGGTGACGCTCTCGTCCTTTCCACCGGCAACAAGTCGTCTGCCCCGGATAGTGCCGGCCAAGTAAAAATCAGCAGTATATAGTTTACAGGAGTCGAAAAGGAGATTCGGGTGGTCCCACTCCAGCCATGCAATCCTGTCGCCCTCTGCATTGAATTGCGGCATCCAATAAAAGTCTGCGCCCGAGGCAATTCTCTCGACTTGGGCAGTCAGTATGTTGATTGCAACGAGATAGTTTCTGATTTTGGTTGGGGTATTCTCAGTGTGGTCTTCCTCAATTGCCAGTACCCATTGGTTTTTGGAGTTTGCACTGAAGCTGGAGTACCGCAGCACGGGAGATTTGAGCAGCACCGAGGAATATTTGGCGCCTGGTTCCAAGATCCTCACCGCGTTGTCTTGGTCCGAGAAGATGAGCCGCCCATCTGGGAGGACATCGTACAAACTGGCGCCGTATTCATAGACGGCATTCTGGCAGCTCACATCTGGAGGAAGAACTTGATTCAGGCTGCCATCCTTGTCAACTTGCACAATGGCTCTTCGCGCTCCATTGGTTTCTGTAAAATAAGCCCGTCCAGTGCGTGGCTATTGAAGCGTGCGATTAGTTTTTGATAGATGGTATTCGTATCCAGAGTCTACTCACACAAACACGAGGAGCTGCCAGAGACCTGACGTTGGAAACCACAAAATCAGCCGAGATGGGCGATTCCCAGTCGCCGTAGTTGGACGAGACGGCCTTTATGTTCACCAACATGGCTGGGCGGGGTAAAGACGTGAGGATGGAGGCGCCTCTCAGGTTTGCCGTTCACCGCTGGGACAAACAGGAAGATATTTCGATAATCCCAGCAATGGCGTGAAAAAGACTGGGAGAGACCCGATATTATTGAAAGGTGTAGATGCGCGTTTGGTTGCTAACTTTGTCGATCTTATATCCCAATGAGAGACACAAGCCCCCCTTTCCGGGGACGGAGTCTTACACGATGCAAATATACTGTGCAGGTTAGATGCACTGTACTAGAAACAACAATTCCATCTGCACGAATGGTTCGGGGTACTGTTTCCGAAGCTTAAAATCACAGCTGTTAAGACGATACCGACCAGAGACAAATTATGGAAGTACCTCTTCTCAACAGATTAGAAGCCAAGGTTTCGATGGCACCACGATGCCGCTGGTGGTGACAAGGCCAATGCGTAAAGGAGCCACCAGCATAATCTGCCATATACAGGCACCGTATCTGTACAGTGCGGATCTTGCGTGTTAAACAAAGGATACAAGCGTACTCGTACCGCTAAGCTCACGCTCTTGTAAACTATAGTAGTATTTCTCATCAAGACACCAGGTTGAGACACGGCAATTAGGCTGTTTGTGCTCTCCAGCAGGATCTCTGAGTAAATCTCGCGTGTACGAGTACATGTACCGTCTTAATCCGCCCCTCACTCATCCCGTCCTCAGCATGCCGTATCGGCCACTAACAAAAGCCCCCGGTCACTTGCGTGCGCGTCTCCGGGTACCTTTGTTAGCATAAAATGGCGTGAACTCTCCGAACAAGACAAGCTCATAGCTGATCCCAAGCTTCCTCTCTCTCACCTTTGTCAAACTCCAATCAAGGAGGATAGATAAAGATGGAAAAGGTGGAAAACACAGCGTTACCGGCGGGTGCTTCTGCACCACAAGCCAGAAGACGCAGGTCCTGGCATCTCAGGGCGGCCTGTGTTGCTGGTCTTGTCTTGTTCGCGGGACTCTACCGCCTTCATTCAAAGCCTCATCTCCCTCATCACCCTGATCATGACCACGACCATCGCCATCGCCAACACGGCCATGGCCACAAGAGAGCTTCTCCCTATGGAAAATTCCCCAAGTCAGATGATCCTTTCCACTTCCTTCCATGCACAAGTGAGACGCTTCCTCCAGCTCTTGACGACAGCCGTCCAGTGCGGAGCTGGTCGAAGCTCTTTGATCCAAACCCCAACCACTGGAGCTGGGGCAACAAGACGGACGAAGACGCGAATGCTATTTCAAAGCACGACCCTTACGCTGGACGCGGCATCTACTTGTGCGGATGGCTTGATGTTCCGCTCGATTACACCAACGCTTCCGATCACCGCATCACTCGACTTGCCGTGACAAAGTATCAGGTCTCTGGACTCGCCCCTGTTCATGGCCGCTCCAAGCCCGCCGCTGGCCATAAGAGCGAGCGAACCATTGTTGTCGAACCTGGTGGTCCCGGCGGCAGCGGAACGTCTCTGGTCTGGCGATCCGCTGAAATCTTCACTGAGCGTCTCAGTGGTGGCGCATTCGACGTGTTAGGATGGGATCCTCGAGGTGTCAACACGACTCTTCCCGCCCTCTCTTGCTTCCCATTTGACGCCGATAGAGATCACTGGTCTCTGCTTGCTGGACAGTATCGCGAGGTTGTCGGCTCGCCAAGAGCTCAGCTCGAGGTCGCCGATGCCATGAACCAGGCAATCTTCGGTGCCTGCTACAAGACGCACGGTGATCTGCCTCGGTTCGTCAGCACGGCCTTTGTTGCGCGCGATTTGGAAGAGATTCGCAAGGCTCTTGGAGAGGATGAGCTCACGGCACACATGATCTCATATGGCACCGGCATTGGGCAGACATACGCAAATATGTTTCCGTCGAGCGTTGGCAGGATGATTTTGGACGGCACCGAGTATGTCAAAGACCACAGGCTTCTGGGTGGGTTTGGCTTCACTGCTCTGGACAATGCCACTGATGCATGGCACGATGGCTTCCTTGGGGAGTGCATCAACGCGGGACCCGAGCATTGTGACCTGGCGAAGCCAGTTGATGGCAAAGTTGTCACTCTGGGGAGCCTGGAATCTCGTATGGAGACCCTCGTCACTTCCCTCATTACACGGCCTGTGGTCGGATATACATCCTTCAGCGGCCCATCCATCATCACATACTCTGCCTTGGTGGGTGCCATTTATAGCTCGCTCTATAATGCATTCTCATGGCCCGCTCTGGCATCCCTCCTATACGAGTTGGAAGCTGGAAATGCCACCCTTGCTTCCGCCATGCTCGAACATTCAGCATGGGAATACGATCCTACCCTACCAGCCATTCCCAACAAGAGACCTTCAACTGACGAGCTGACCTTTTTGGTGATTTGCTCGGATGGATATGACGCCGCACTGCCCGAGGACGGTCTCGACTGGTGGGAATCTCTATGGGCCAACATGACTGCCAAATCCTGGATCTCGGGCAACTCTCGCTTTTTCTCTGTTTTCCCATGCCAGCGCTTCACAGAGTATTGGCCCACGCCAGCCGAAGTATACCGCGGCGACTTGAACGTAACGCTCAAGAACCCCGTCCTTCTCATCGCGGAAACATATGACCCTGCCACGCCGCTGCGAAACGGCCGACGACTGCTCAATGAAATGGGTACCAACGCTCGCCTGATTGCGCACCACGGCTATGGCCACTCATCGCGAGACAAGTCCGACTGCACGGATGCCATCGCGAAGAACTTCATCCTGCACGGAGAACTACCTGACGAGCAGGAAACAGCGTGTTACGCGAACGAGAAGCCGTATCTGTATGGCGTGGACAAGGGCAAGGCGGGCGAGAAGAAGGATCCGCTCGCGATTTGGAGCGAGCACATCAAGGAGCTGCCATATCTCAACCCTCATCTAGTCTAGAGAGAAGAAAGTGTAGCGATCACATGCCATTTTTACTGTTATTTTCCCTGGAAGGACAGTTGAACAGATGATTTGTAAAGCATGATGTCTTGTGTATTACTATATAGTCCTAAGGGTATCATCCGTTTATGTAAAACATTTAATCAAACACAACTTACCTAAAAGAAACGCACCTCTGTTAAGAAGAAGGAAAAATCAAAGGTAACCATCTATAGTCAAACTCCAGAGGCATCCCATCCCATCTAAGGCGCCGTAGGGCTGACATGGATGGGCACCAAGTCAAGGGGGGGCCACGTTGTCGTACATACGCAGTTAGCACAATTTTCAGCCTCACTTCCAAAAACACACAACACCGATAAAACAAACGCCCATTAACCAAATAAAGCGGCCGATGGAATCGCAGGATAAAGAAGAACTTAGACAATTAAAGCCCAGCTGCAAGGGGTCGTGACGTCATGTACCTGCGAAAAAAGAGCCTGGTTCCTGGATTTCCATGTGACCCCCTTGCGCAAGTGATGTCTGTGATCACAGGTTCCGAGAGCCGTGATGAGCTGCGCTCATTCGACACCAGAACAAGCAAAGAAATTTGAAACAAAAGAATATCAAGGCCATCATAGAAACTTACCGGACGATGCTAATGCTGATATTAATAGCAGTAGCGCACCCCAGGGGTCATAGTTGATGACATCACCGCATACAGGCGAGAGGCTGTGACTTTTTTGGTTTTGAAATCATTAGTGTCATACGACAGATATGTACAATCAGCATCATGGTATATATACAAGTACAGCGCGCTGCGCCGATCGCCTGCCTCCTCGAGTCAAGCACCCCATCTCCTCCCGCTCTTGGGTCTCCTCCGAATAGATTCTCCCAGCGGTTGCTTCTGTATTCTGCTAAGCGCCTCCTCCGGACTCCTCCGCACGTCGTGGGAAGGGCTCCCCTCTCGTCGCCGACCAAGTAATGACTTTGGTGATGGGGAGCGACGGTAAGATGGACGTTGTTGAGATGGGGATAATTTTCGTGGCGTAGGGATTTTATAGTCGAGATAACTTGATGATTCAGGAACTTGCCTGGGGGTCGGGGTGTCGGATTCAAGGGTATCATAGGAGGTATTGTTGAAAGAGGTTGGGGTATCGAATGAGTCTAAAGTGCAGAAATCGTCTTCGGGAAGCTGAGCGGTAGGAAACTCATCGTCGTCCTCATCACCGTCTGTTACAATGCGCACAGGCAGTTCTTCCTTGTCGTCAGCGACATCCGCGGGGTCGAAAGAAGATCGAGTCTCTGCAGAATCACAGACAGATGTGACTGTGGTATCGCAGTCGTCGGATTGAGATGTGTCGTCATCGTCGCGAATCAAAGACCGTCTGATAAAGCGAGCGCTTAATCGGCCAGAGTCCGAGCCGGAAAAGGACATGGATCGCGAGGGTGGGTTGGTTGATGTGAATGTTGGTGAATCAGCGGATTCCGCTGGAGAACCCTCGGATTCGGGTGAAAGAGGCATATCTGGCGCATTCATTGCGCAAGGCTCCGCCATAAGGGAGCCATGGGGAAAGAAATCGTCGTCGTCGACAAAGTAGGGTGCATCGGCGGCGCTGCTGGCCTTGGTGCTGGTGGTGTGAATAGAATCGGTCTCGGAGAAGGACGATGACGTAGACGCCACGGAACCGGGTCCATGGCGCTCAATGTAATCGTCGGGGAGGTAGCTTGCAAAATATCTAACAATGGAATCGTAGGACTTGGTACGAAAGAGCTGGACGGCGTGCTGCCACTGGTCAGAACCTATCAACTTCGGGTTGGCAATGATCTCTACAGCGAGCGATTCAAGAGACTCCTCGAGTTCGGTGATCCGCTGCCGCTGCCGAGCCGCCATGAAGCGATGGAATTCTTCGGCCGTGTCCGCATGCTGGGAGATTTCGTAGACGTCGTGGTGGAAGGCTTCGGGGTCTTGGAGGGTGTAGGTGATGGTGTTGTACTGGTCGTGTAATGTCGTAAATAAATCGTCCCTCTTGAGGCCAAACTTCCAGGCCGGCCACGACAGGTCGGGATCGTCCATGTTGTAAGTCGGGTCGTCGAGGGGGACGGAGAAGTGGAAGTGCGAGTTGGGTGGATTGTGTGCAAAAAACAAGTGTGTCAAACAAGGAGCCCAGGTGTCATGGAGAGACGGCTCGATTAGAGCGAGATACTCGAGATCATGGCCATGGCGAGGGAGTCACTGACGAGTACCACTAGCAATAACTGACTGATAGTGCTGTGCTCGTGTCTTCGTGATGATTGCGTGGAGAACTGTATATGTTGCAGAGTGATGTCGCCAGGGCCCTTGAGGTTCATCTCATACGAGTGCAGCAGCTGGGGGGAGGCGCGCGTATACCCATTGCCCCAAGCACCCGATGGTGAGACCGTTGCGGCCTGAGGCAGCGAATTTGCCATCCACTTGCCCATCTGTGGTTGGTTGGCGTTTTCGGCTGCAGACGGCGCTAGATCTGATCGAGATTAGATTGTTCCTAGCGCCATGCCGGCTCCACCGAGAGAGTCCAATCAGGGGGCGGTGGCTGAATCCTGAAAAGCTTGGGCTGTGCGCGCTAATGCATGGCCGCTTTTCAGGTTGGATCATAGCGCAACCAACGCTGGAGGGCTGGAGGGTTGGGAGGTTTCGCACCCTCTCATCTCGCTGTTGTTATTGTTGCTACCGTACTCGATATGCTGGCCAATGAGTGTAATCGATTAACCCGCCATGTTCTAGTATCGCTATGCAGAGCCTCTTCAGCAATATTTGTTTACAGAACCATCTCAATTCTTACTTCTTCCATCTCCGCGTTTAGCGCTGCTGCGTCTTGTGTGCGTGTGTGCGCATAAACACTTCACTCACGCACATTTTGGTTGGAATCCGGCCCACTCCTATGCAGACAACACATGGATCACCCCCTTGCTGATATCATGGACCGACATGGACCGACATCCCTGTTCTCTGCCAATAGCCTCAACTACAGTGGCGTTCTCGCACACCACACTGTTCAGCTGGTGCGGCCGTTAACGGCGGCGACAAACTCTGGCACCCCGGTCGGGAGAAGAAAAATCTGCCCAAAGGATGACGCTCGTACCAATCGCCTGCCCATCGCTTCCGAGAGGGCTGTGGCTGATGCACCATTTGCCAGTCCTTTTCGCCTTTCGACGCCACCGTTGCTAGAAGCTCTCAGAATTCGAGCGGCAAGTGACCTCATGGCCAGGTACTGGTGGCCTCTGCTCAGCAACACGAGACGCCCATCGTGACGGCTTCACGCTGACGATTACGGAGGCAGAGGGCGAGAGTCGCATTCCTCCAGGCAGCTGAGACAACCCTCCTCTTTTTGATCAGCAGGATGCCGTGAGCGCCAAACTCAGTTCAATACAGTTTTCACCGGATCCCGAATGATTATTTACGGTCATTCGCACGACCTACACTGACGGTTGAGGCTCTTCTCCTCTTTCTCTCATCTCATCATCAACGCTCTGAGGTGTATCACGTGCGGATGAGTCAGCGCCGAAGCAGCTCTCATTCTCTCTTTCTCTCGTGCGATGGCTTCATAGTACAGCACCAACCAGCGTGGAAGAGATCCGGTGAGTTGCGCACATGCGATCTGTTCTCATCACTTGCTTGCTTGCTACCGACCTTGCCTGATCTATTGATGCCATTTATTTTACTTTCCCACCATCGCGGTGAGAAATGTGATGAATATCAAAGTTTGTTTCGTCAGCAAGCGCCTTTCCAGTTAGCCAAAAGGTCACTGCGCAGCAAGTGCTGGTGCAAATGATACTTTCACTCCTATCGCTGGTCAGATGAGCCTCATGGGAGAGTGGGAGAGTGGGAGAGTGGGAGAGGCCTTGCGGAATATGCTCCAAGAGGCGCAGTCGAATCAACGCCGCTCCGCCTCATTCCATCGTCTGGCCATCGTCTCTAGGCCTGTTCTGCCCCAGGCCCAACTTACCAATCCCGCCTTGTCAGGGCTCTGTGTGGCCCTCCCGAGCACTCGCATACAAGCATCTCCCGCTCTTCTTCTGGGGGCTAGACCAACCAGCTGCTGGCTTGTTAATCTAGTTCCCGCCCCGTCGCTGCTCATCGCGTGCAGTCCAGCGTCTTGTCCGCGGTCCGCAAGGCACCCGGTGCCCACTGGCTTGGTGGTTGGCTGCCTTTTTTCCAGTTTCAAGCGTTCCTATTTGTACCTGTCCATGACTGCTTGTAGCGGCTGAGACTCCCATCACCAGGCCCGCAACCTCGTCTTGCACTCAGGCCATCTGACACTGGCTACTACCATGACCATGACCATGATATAGCGTTTTGGCTGCTCGTTCCTTGCATTTATTGTGCGCCTGGACGAAAGCCGGTCTCTTCTCTCTCCTTTTTCAACCAAATCCTACCGCCGTTGTGTTGTTTTATTTCTGCTGCCGCTGTGACACATCTTTGCACAAGCACCCTTCCCTTGACCCCGCTGCAGCTCTTCTGCCTTATTTTTCCCACGTCCTGATCCCTCTTGACCGGCTTCTGCCTGGACGAGTGCCTGTTGGAGCTCCCCCAGGCTTCTGAGTACTACTACCAGTACATCCAACGTACCCTCAGCCCTTCCCGCACGCTTATTTCCACCTCCGCCCAACCAGCCTGCCTGCTTGCCTGCCTGCTTGCCTGCTCCCCTCCACTCTTACTGAGGCACTCACTGTTGCTCATCACCACTTCGGTGCTGTCTTGTAGACACATTTGCATCGCCAAACGGTACATGGGCCTTTGGCAAGGCACCATCTGCCATCCTCATGTTCGAATCCAGGGCCGAGCCCTCGGAGGGGGTCTCGGAAGAGAAGACAGAGCCCTTTTCCCAGTCAGAAATCGAGGCCCGATTCCACGGCGTCGGAGTCGACGAGCCAAGTATCCCCACGGACCCAGAGGCCGTCCCGCTTGACGTCTTGCAAGTCGAGGATCACCACCACAAGCAAGGCATCCGCATCCTCGTGCGGCCTCTCACCAAGCTTCCCGGCACGCGCTCAGTGAGCCCCGGCAGCGACAATTGCCAGTGGCTAGCTCTGCGCGCCGAAGTGGCTTCCTCGGACAAGCCTGAACACAAAGTCCTGGCGGTGACTCAGACCTCCAAGGACATCAAATTCTCAGTCAGAATACCGGGATCCGCCGAAGACGACTTGTCACGGCCGCCATTGTGGTGCGAACTCTATTACGATCCTGCCAGCGACAAAGTCATCTTCCTGAACAGATCGGATGTGCCCATCTTGCTGGGCCGAATATCTCATTCCGCCGCCGGCAGCCCTCCACCAAACGAACGCCATGTCATCAACCCGGGTCTCGCCAAAGGCCTCAGGCCAGGCACCTTTAGGATCAAAGTGAGAGATGTTGCAGTACTGGACTTTCGCATTCTGGAAAAGCGGCCAATTACAATTTACCAAGAGCCAATTTCGTTAACAGTACCCGAGGACTCGTTTTCACCGTCACTATCATTCGTCACTTCCGACCAGGTCAACGCAAGCATGAAGAGAGCCCTCACTCCGGATGAAGACATCAAAAGAGCCAAACGTCGCATCTCGGACGCCGGCAACGGACCAGATGACGGCGTCATCATGTTTTTAGGTCCGGCAGAGCCCCTCGTCTTCCCCCTTCCTAACGCGAGGGAAGGCAAGGAACTGTCTGCGTCTACTGCCCATGCTCTCTTGGATGCAGAGCAAGGCGAGACGATTGCCGTACCCAGTGTATGTGAACTAGACGAATATCAGTTGACCAAGCGCGAGCCCATTGCGTCGACGGCTCTGTCAGCAGTCTACACTGCAACACACTCGCAAGTGCCGAATAACATAGTCACCGTCAAGGTACTCAAGACCAGGGTTGCAAACCCTGACAACAAACCACTGGTACATGAGCGGAACGTGATCCGCCAAGCAGACATGTGGCTGCGAGAGTGCCAAAGCCAACAAGACCTGCAACACGAATCTATTGTACGCTACTACGGGGGTGATGCCAGATTTCTAAGTCTCTACATGGAGCACATTGACGCAAAGGACCTTACTGCCGCTGCCAGGTGGAGAAACAAGGGCGATGATGAGTTTGTAGGAACACGAGAAGACTCCATTCGAATTCTACGTGATATTTCCAGCGCCCTCAGCTACCTCCACGGTCGCAAACTGGTACACAATGACATCAAGCCCGCGAATATCTTGTATTCACCTGAGCGTGGTGCCGTGCTATGCGACTTTGGGCTGACCACGTTGGCGGCAAGCTCACCTTCTGGGGGTGGCACTCCATACTACATCCCGCCCGAGTTCATCACTCGCAAAAGCCGAGGTCCAGCATCAGACGTTTGGGCTTTGGGCGTCACGATGCTGTACACGATGCGCTTCATTAAATTCCCAGATTCGCGCGCGCGCAGACAACACCCCAAGCCCCTATACTGGCAAATTGCTCAGATCCACGGCCAAGCGGCGCCTGTTACCTATAAGCAATACGGCAATGGCCAGCCTGCTGTAAACCAGATGCGGGACTGGCTGACGGAGATTTACGAAGCAAGAGAGAAGTTAAACTCAAAGGACCGCTTAGAACGATTGGTAAAGGATATGCTGGCGCCGAACCCAGCCCAGCGCATCACGATGGAGAGGATCGTCAGAGAACTTGCTCTAGAGCAGACGACTACAGCTCGCTAAAGAAGATGAAGCATACAAGAATTAGATGTCTTCAAGACGCCTTTCCTCTTTTCCTCTTACAGTTTCATATTTGTTTTTACCCTTTGCATTTTCATCGTTTCGGGTCATCTTCTTTTCAAACATTTTGACAGTCAACATTGGGATCTGGAGTTCATTTCGGAAGTATATATATACGACATTTACAAGAGCAGATGGCAAGCGTATTTGAAGCGGCACAGGATGGGACATGAAACGGAGTAAGCAGCATGCAGATATGCGTTTCGGCAATGACTGACTGAAGCAGGGAAGAAGAAATCGACGACCATCTTCCTTTTCTTTTTCCTGCTTATTTTCCTTTCCTTATTTCCTTTTTTCTTTTTATCTTTGCTCTCTCCTCTCGAGACTTTTTTTACTCATGATACCTGAACATTGGAGAAACCACATGTACATAGTTTTACATTTCCTGTACTATTATTATTTGACCTTTGCATGGCAATATCGACAGAAAGCATACGCATCAGGAGTTGACAGATACCGCTACTGCATTAATATCATTATCTTTCAATTCGTGGTATCTAACGTGTCCTTTTGTTCATCTATATCGTATATCTTCTTATCCATCCCGTATAACTACCTTAGATGCCCAATCCCAGAGAGAATGCAACCGCCAGTCCAACAACTGTTGTCAGAACAGTCTTGTCAGTGCCTAGAAGGCCAGCAGCATTCTTCTTGTCCTCCGTGTCGGCGCTGTCAGCGCCTTCGGCGCCATCCTGGGAAGTGCTATTGTCCGACTGATCCTTGATTGTGTGCACAACCATGCCATCCGAGGTTGAGCACTTTCTCGGCGTAGTGTTATTGGTGAGTCGGACATCGGCGCAGTTATACAAGGCGCTGCCAGAATCGCCACTCGTGACAACCTGGATAGACGCCAGAGTTCCTTCAGCGATGTCCTCGAGGGCCACGGGGAGCTTGTCGATGCAGAGAGTGCCCTTGCCGGTGACGTTGAGGAGTTCGGGGGTGAGGGAGATGTTGAAGTTTGTGGTGTTTGCTCCCAGGCCGAGGTTGATGAAGAGGTATGTCCAGGGGTGGTGAAGCTCGAGCTCAACGGCACCTCCGTTGATGGGCCAGTTGGTGATGTTGCCGCTGGCGTTGTAGGGAACACCGCCGCCTATTTATGTGATGGTCAGTGAAAAGAATTTCTTGGTGTAGGTAATAAGGAGGTGATGGATGGGAGATGGAACGAGGTGAGCTGTGGTGTTTTGGGAGAGACGTACAAGGATATTCCCATTGGCTGTACTTGTCCATGTTTTTCTCAGCCAGGGTATCGGCTCGCCACTCGGGATACACAACACTGAAGTGTGCAGTGACGGCTTGTGCGGCGGCCAAGCCAAACAGGAGAGTCTTGAAGGCCATGATTGATGGAGGAAGAGGAGGATGATTAAGAGAGGCGGGAGTCTAGACGGAGAGAAAAAGAAGAGGGTAAAGGACCAAGTGCAGATGAGTAAAAGACAGTGCTAGCTAAAGATTGGGATGCACAGCATCTTTATATATCCGCAAACGGGGGAATGAAAACAAAGTCCAGGAACCCAAGCCATGTGGCACCCAAGACATGGAAGACATCAAGGGAGAAGAGGAGCTAAGCAGCTAGCAAGCGATTAAGCTTGTTTTGAGCATAACCGACTGGAGCAAATGGGAAGCCAAGCGTCCCATTAGTTGGCCCATTTTTTCGATAATTCGGTTCTTTTGAGCAAATAATTGTGTTGACCGCTGTCTGCTGGGGGGGTTTATTCGCACCGGGTTGGCTCTAGGAAGAGGAGGAGGAGATAGAGGAGAGAGAGAGAGATTAGGTGCGTCTCTTCTAAGAGGAGTGATTCATGCTTAGTTAATACACTTGATGAATAACATGGATGTCCAACCTTTGTTATTTTTAGCCATACATTGTTGTTTATAAATGTTTCATGCATCTCAATCTGAAAGCAACCTCCGTCTTTAAGAATTGCCTTGTCCAGAATTCACACCACCTAGACTCTATACTAACACGTACTTTATGGCCGCTTTCGGGACATCCTGATCCAACTTGTGCGACGATTCAAAACTTGCTCAAATGCACGCAGGACGCAGAGACCCGGCGCCGAGCCTTTTTCTCTCTTCGCTCTCATTCGCCCTAATCGATATTTTACTTCCCTTTTTTGGCCCTCCGCATTCCATCTACAGAATCCCGCTGCTGCATGTGCATCTTTTCTTTGGTACCTTGATAGATCTGGTACCACGTGAGGAAGATTCTCAGTTGCTTCTCAATTCTCAGAGTAATAGCGTCCAATCTCTCTTGATATACTATGTAATTTATCTCAATGGAGCCTTGCTGCATAAATCTAGCGACCTTAGTACCTTATGCTTACAAGTTACATGTCTGCATGTCACTCTCACACTCCAAATAGCATCAATGTCCAGTGTCTCATAATAGAAACACCTGGCCTACCCTATATAAAATATCCTTGGCCCAGGGGAACTGTATGATTTGACTCGTGGTATTGGATATTGTTCATTAATTGTATATTCTCATTTCATCTAGTCGTGATATACGTCGAAATAGGTATCTAGACTCGAGATAGTAGCGATATCTAGCGCTACTAGATCGACTAGATCTACGAGAGAAATGTGCCTTCAATCTGACTCCATGATCTATCTCTGTCCCCTACATAACAGCCCTTCTCAAACAAATCACTTAACATCAACCTTTAATTCCTCGAATAGCTGGAAGTGATCACCCCTCTCACTGAAGAAAAACTCCAGTTGGAAAATTCCTGCCTCTTATATCAGGCCGCGATGCTCTCTACCACGGGTGATGGCATTGATAAAGCACGTGTGCCTCGACCGCCTTGGGCAATATTCTGAGAGCCTTAAATACCTTCTCTCACTCACTCACACTCACTCTCTCTCTTCTTCCATCTTGCCTTTTCATCCTGCATGAATGATACTAAACTTTAGTATCTTCTACATCTCCAACCATGCCTCGGCCAACGGAAACAGCCAGGCCAGAGGCACAAGAAGAAGAACCCTCATACCCACCATGCATGTTTGCATCTCCAGAGGAAAAGACACTCTTCAAACGACTGAAGGAGGCATACATGGCCAATTACAAGACCTGGGACGATGAGGCTGTTGAAACTTGGCCACACCTCGTCGAGCATGCTTCACTGGCACCATCGACAATTGGCAAAATCACAAACCATTGGATCACCAGAAACATGACCAGCACCCAAGTAACGTGGGCACATTACGTTGCACTCCGCATCATCTACAAGGGGCTTCTCTTCAAGAGCAAGAAGACCATGAGGCTCATTCGATCGAAATACCCGAGAGCCAACTTTAGCTCATATGCCTACAATGAGGACTATACCAGGCCATTCAAGGCTGAAGAAAAGAAGATCAACCCACAAAATACTTCACAGGAGAAGGACCCAAGCACAGCTTCTGCCTCTCAAGATGAACAGAGTGATCCCACATTGGGCAAACGGAAGCGAACACTGCCTGAGAATACGAGTGGGAAAGGCAAGAAAAAGGACAAGCCATGCGCTGCTCCCAATCCACCAGACACCCCAAATAACGAAGTGCCGGATATATTGGAAGTACCAGCGGATACCTCCAATGGAAGAATCGACCACCAAGATATGAATCGGGACAGGCTTATTGAGGCTATGGAGAGAAATACAAGGGCTGTGGAAAGAAACTCGGAGCTATTTGCGAGATTGACGGAGCAGTTACGGACTCCCGTCCCAAGAGATGAAGATGAGTGGGCGTTTATTCGGAATTCAAAGAAGTAGCAATTTTAGCTTATTATTTTGGGGGGCACAAGATGAGTGCATTTTATTGCTACTAGCTACACGATACATCGCTTGCTATAATGGAAAAGATATAATTCGCTTCTATTCACAGATTACCATGCCCGTTACCTTCACTAACTTATCCTCACCAATTCAATACTTTCATAGCTTCGACCCTTCTGGAGAAGCCTCTTTCTCTTCTCTCAGCACATCCTCTCTCAACCGAACCTCCACCTGAGAAGGCCCAGCCTTGCCAAAGCTCACCAACACCACCCTCTCCCAATCCCCTCCCCTATCCGAACCCTTGAGCTCAAGGCCCGGCTTCTCCAGGCCCAGGACAACCCTCTTGTCGCTCTTCCTGACAAACAAGTGGTACGGGCTCATCACCTTGTCGGCCCACGAGATGCCGGACGTGACGTGCGCTTTCCCCTTGTCCGTGTCCGCCGTGGGAGTCGCTCTCAGAAACTTGAGTAGCGCTCTGCGCTGCTTCGTATAGTACACGGGCCCCTCTTCTACTGATGCCGTAGGACCCTTGAGGAACTTTGTGAGAAGCGAGAGAATGTAGTATTGGGGCGGGAATAAGATCATCTTGTTAGCGGCGACGCGAGAAAGGAACGTCTGCGGAGGAGCGAATAGAGCCTCGGTGTGTTCGACTCCACCATCGGGCGTTGGGACCAGCATCTCGGATGGCACGCCGGTGCGTGAGATGGGGATCAAATACAAGTACATCTGAGTGGTGAAGCGTTTTGGGACTCCTACGGGAGTAATCCATCTGGTAAAAGGTACGAGCCCATCTAATGCACATTGTTAATGAACAGCCGATGAGCATAGGGAAATTCTCTGATATCGTACTTAGGTCAGGTTCTGCGTCAATCGACTTCAAATAGTCCGCAAACTTAATCTGACTCCCATGAATCTTCTTCCTCGCCTCATCCCTCTCCTGCTGCGGTAAATCAACCAACCGGCCATCCTTATTAGCGAGTAAAATACCCGTCTCCTCAAAGCACTCTCGAATAGCACCTAGCCTATACGCCGGGCCATCAACATGCCGATCGTGCGCTCCAGGCGCCGGAATGTCGCCATCATGAAACGCATCCAGATTTCCTCCAGGAAACACATGCGCCGAAGCAAACGACGTCGACGTCTTGACCCGATGTAGCAGCAGGACCTCGTTGGTGGGAGACAGCAGCACAATGGAAGAACTCGGCCGCGGCTCCGGAATCGGCTTCTTCTCTGCTTTTGGGTCCTTTTCCTTCTGGGGCGATGCGGGCGACGAGTAGAGACGCGTCCAGGTGGGCGGTTTTGAGGCCATGATGGTGGTGAGCTGGATTGCGCGGAGATGCTCAACGGCCGGTCTGTGTGCTGATGAAGATGAAGCCAAGCTGCTGACACGACGAGGCAACGATCTGGTGACGGCACACGAGACCAGATTCATTGAATCGGAGAGAGCGAGAGGAGAGAAGCCGGCGAATTGGGGGTGAGATTTGTAAGGGGGTGTTTTTGATCTCGCTGATGATTTGCACCGAGTCGCGACGAGCCGAGGTCCGGTTCGAACGGTTCAATTTTGCGGGGAAAGGCCACCATCTTTGGCTCTACTTTAATCTGCAATACTCCGTGCTCCGAGAAATGGGGCCCCGATCTCATCTCACGCGGAGATAAAACGGGCCACGGGCAGCGCTATTGATATGCTATAAAAGTCATGAGTAACATGTGAATAACGTTGCGTTGTGAGAAACATCACGGCATATACTATACAAAAACTTCTATACAACACTATAAAACGGCCATAGAAAAAGAGCAAGAGAAATTATAACCCGCCAAAACTCCTATACGTCCGTATCCATGCTCTTGCTATATTAATATCGTTTCCTTTCTTTGCCACGCAAATTCACTTTCCACAGGCAGCATATACTCTTTGACTCGCACCACTGCTTCACTTCCATGGTGCTGACTTCGCCATCAAACCCCACGCGCGTTAATTGCCCGCAATTCAGCCACGTAGTCAAATCTTCTAGCACGATTGGATCATAGAGCAACATCTTCTCGTGCCATGAAGGATTTGCAGGGTCGGTTGTCCTCGGCGCCGATTGTACAGCTTTAGTGATGTACTCGTAGCTAAGAGACTGATCCTGGGTCGAGGCGAGCGCCAGTGCCGGATCTGTATCGTCCATTAGTGACAGGGAGAGGTCGACTGCTGGCGGCGGTGAGAAGTTAGACTCGGGAGATGAGCTCGGATCCGGCGACATGCCGCGATCGTTATCGGATTCGGAATCCGGAATTTCCACAACAACTTTGGTAGTCGCTGCTTTGGGCTTTCGTGCCTCGGATGCTTCCGCTGCAGACTTTGTCGACATCTTTTTGCCTTTGGAGGTGCTCGCCGTGGTGCGTTTGGTAGTAGAAGAGGCCTTCCTAGGTCTCCCTCGCGGTTTGGATGGTGAAACAGGCGCCTGTGCGGATGGTGGCGGTTCGTGCACCTCAGGTGAGCTGGCACTATTCTTCCTTGGCCGTCCTCGAGGGGTTTTGACCTCAGTAGTTGCAGCATTTCCTCCTGTAACGGCAGAGGTAGTGAGTGTTCTCTTGGAACCAGGGTGCTCTAGCTGATTTTTGCCTTGCCAGCACTGCTCCAACAGCGATATTTTGGCTTGCCGCGACTTGACCGCCTTGAAGCCATAGGAGGCAATTTCTTTGGAGAGTTGAGTATCTGTGAACAATTCGAAGGAGGGTTTTGAAGCAAGGTGCTCGGATTGCTGCGGATTGCCGTCTCCGCAAGGGTTTGGCTCTATGGGTTGGCTTTTGGCAGCAGCTTTGACGCGCCGTTGTATCGGTGATCCAGTAGAGATATCACTACCTATTAGCATCGAATCATCGTCCACTAATTCGATAGGCTCAGCCTTTCTGTGCTGCGGAACAACGGCAGAGTCGACGAGGGGTTCGTTTTGTAAAGTAGTATCGACACCATTGACACTCATAGCAGCAACAGTCATCTTCCTGTCGACGCCGGTGTAACCGAACGGATCGTCGTCAGATGCTGCAGGCAGCAGCTGAGATGACCTTTCTATGATTCTGCTCATCTCAAGGTCGAATAAATCTCCGTCAACATCGCGAGCAGCAGCGGCCCATAGCCTCTTTCCTTCCGGAGGCTCGATGCCATCGCTATTAAGGGGAGTATCGAGATCTATGTACTCGGTTTGATTCGAGCGTCTCATTGCAGCGTGAAGTTCTCGTAGAAAAGTAGGCGAATTTTCAATTGCTAGTTGGCTTGATGTTCCAAACACGAAATCTTGCCTTGCAACTTCTTGGAGCGCCTCTGTTGGAGGTAACAGAATTGGTGGCGGGGGTGGAGTTGCTTTCTTCTTTTTCTTAGCTGCACCCTTGGATATCCTCTTCCTCGGCTTCGCTTCGCTTTCTCCTTTGGTGGTTGGCACATCTGACTCCTTGGTTGTGCTTGTAGCGCTGTCATCCAAAGCTGGCGGCGCTGGTTCTGAAGGATCTGGCGCTCTATACGCTGACGTTGCAATTTCCGTTAGTGTGCGTGGCTTCTTCTTGGGTGCTTTCTGCTTCACAGGAGCCTTGGCTTTCACCCCAGGAGACGGCTCTGCAGGTGCTGCAGATGTCGTAACAAGCTCGACAAGCTTTCGCTTTCTCAGTATGCTGGTATCTTCATCCGAGGGCGTGCTGATGTCTTGCTGCAGATTATCCATGGTGCACTTGTAGGCTTCGAGAATCTGCTCAAAACTCTTGGACGCTTCCCGGGCCTCTCCTGATGAATGTAGGCCGTCAATAGTGGGGGAATCTAGCGGAAGAATAGTTGCGGCCTTGTTTGATGGAGGGGTCCAGTCAAGGCGTCGAATTGTAGCCGGCTCTAGCATGAGTGGCTCGTTGATATCGTTTTCGGCCCGTGTAGATTTGGGTCTGATTGCAGGAGAAGATGAGTTGAATGTTGGTTGTTGAGCAGATGGCGGCTCAACAGGGTCGATTTCCATAGACATTGCCTCATCAATACCACTATTTGGAGTTTCTGTTTTGGATTTGAACATTTTCCAGCGCTCATCTTTCACGGGAGAGCTTGATTTTGCTCTAAATTTAGGAGGTGTTGCGTGGTGTCTCCGAGCCTTTGGCGTATGCGTGGTAGGGGGTTCAATTATAAGCAGTGAACTATCATCGGGTTCCATGGTGCGAGATCTGGTTGAAACTGAGGGAGTCGGGCCAAAAGGTAGAGGTTGGGTTTGTTCTTTGTTGCCCGCCTTGTTGATTTCCGTCTCCTCGTCGGATGAAATGACCAACGCTTGTTTGCCATGCTTTAGAGACCAACTTTTGGCATTGGGCGACAATATGTCTCCCACTGCTGGTAGATCCGGCGACGACGAGCGAAAGAAGTGAGATTTCTGGTTGCTGCTTCGTGATGGCGACAGGAGAAAGGCATTAGGAGACGCCATCACGCCGACAGCAAATCTCCGAGAGCGCAAAGCGCATCTCAGATGGTTGACGCGCAGCACGATGATGGACACGTGAGGCCACAATCATAAAGATCCGAGAAGCCTTCCGGCGCAAAGATGCGGTTCCGTCTCTTGTATCCCCGCCTTGTCCTGTCCACACAAACAGAGCGGTGTTGTCAACAATCCTTCACATCATTTAGCATCCATTAGTCGCTGACGCCTCCCGAAGAGCGCTGGCGAAAAGCGGGGCGATCCGCAAGTCGCGAGAACGCCACGCTGTCACATGACGGGTCAGCTGACGCACAGAAAGCCCTCCCCGCCCCACGAAATTCATGGGCCATTGTCAAATTTCCTGGGCGAATTTTCGCTGTATCCCACCAAACGGCTCTCGACAACACTTTTCCCGCCAAACCACACCTCTAACATCACCACTACCCCCCTCCCACACAGCCGAAATGGAGAACGACCGTGGCGACATCGTGGACCTGTAAGGAGATTTTACGTTACGCAGCATATTGGAGGAATGTCGAAATGCTGATTGTTGATCCAGCTACGTCCCGCGCAAGTGCAGTGCTACCAACCGCATCATCAAGGCCAAGGACCACGGCTCTGTCCAGATCTCCATTGCCAAGGTCGACGAGAACGGCCGCGCTGTCCCCGGCGAGAACCACGTCTACGCCCTCTGCGGCTTCATCCGCGCCATGGGCGAGTCCGACGACTCCCTGAACCGATTGGCCCAGCGCGACGGTCTCGTCAAGAGCGTCTGGAGCGCTCAGCGATAAATTTTGCAGAACAAAAATTTGGAAGAGGTACAAAAAAACAAACAACAACAATGCCGAACAAAAGGAGAAGCCATGGGATATGGAAGAAGCAGGTTTAACTAACCTGATTTGCAGGGAATAGCTCGGGTATGAAGGCAGGCGTGGAAACTAGAGTTGGCTGCATGTAGCAATTCCAATTCAAGGCGTTTTGGCTCCGTTTCGAGACAATCTTTTACGAACATATGAGATTCGGACGTGATGTTGATTGAGCATTTCTTTATCATCCTATTGAATACCTACCGGCTAGCAAAGTCTCCTCGGACGAGCACCCACTTGTTCTCTATGATCGGGGATTCTGGGGCTACCTCGATAGTCCCCGAGCCGAAGATGAAACTATTTGGCCTTCAAAAAGCTGTGGCGGTTAAGTTGCTCGTCATAGTACAGATACGGGTCAAACATATTTAGTATTTCAGTATGAGCTTTTCCGTATTAATTTGGACTTATAGAATTACTCCCTATATAATCACTCCCGGGCCTAATTTTCCTTGTCTACATTCCACTCTCGAGCCCTTCCTTGTAGGCACTCAAGGCACGGTCCCTTGCGCCTTTATGATCGACAATCTGCTTGGGGTAGCCCTGCTTCTTCGCTTTGGTTCCAGCACCTCGATTATACGGATCGTGGATTTCCTTGTCGGTCAATTCGCTCAACTCGGGAACCCATTTCCGGATGTAGGTGCCGTTGGGGTCGAACTTTTCGCTCTGGAGCAGCGGGTTGAAGATACGAAAGTAGGGCTGCGGATCGACTCCGACACTGGCGCTGAACCCCCAGCCGCCGTTGTTACTCGCGAAATCGCCGTCAACCAAATGCTCCATAAAGTATCGCTCACCCATACGCCAGTCGATGAGCAGGTCCTTGGACAGGAACGAAGCAACAATCATCCGACAGCGGTTGTGCATGTATCCAACGTGGTTGAGCTGGCGCATCGCAGCGTCGACAATGGGAAACCCGGTGCGTCCCTCGCACCATGCCGCGAAATGGTCTTTATCATAGGACCACCTGATGTTTGAATACTCGGGTTTGAACGGCTTGTTCATGCTGAATACGCTTTTAGAATTTACTCATTCATAGGAATCTCCCCATTCACACTTACCACACATACGGCCAATTGACAAGAACGTGCTTGTAAAAGTCTCGCCAAGCGACCTCGCTGATCCAGACTTGGATGCCCTGATGCCCGCCGTCTAATTTCTTGGTTTTATTCCTGTCCCTGGCCGTTCGAACACACGTCCTCGAACTGATTGTCCCGCTTGCAAGGTGGACAGACAGGCAAGATGTGCCCTCATCCCCAGGAATGTTTCGCTCGTCGTGATAGTTGCCAATGGCCTCCTCGCAGAAACTTTCCAGTCTGGACATGGCTTCGTGCTCACCACAAGGCCACAGACCGCGAAATCTCCTTCTCTCTTCGTCACTGAGCTGTTTATTGTCCGGTGCATCGGGAATGCGACAGTCAAACAGCTTCTGAAGCCTTTGTCGGACTCCATCTGGGTTTTTCTTAGGCCGATCGTAAAGCTCCAGGAGATCGAGATTCTCGTGTATATGCGCCATCCAGGCTCGGTACCAAGGGGTGTATACGGCGTATTGCTTGCCAGAGCCGCTGTGCAGCTCTCCTGGGGGCACGATGCACGTATCGTGGACGACCTCGAATGATTTTCCATTTTCTGCAAAGTGGCGGATCATCTGAGCTTCTCGTCGCAGCTCATCGACTTCGTATTCCATATTGGCAAAGAGATGGTTACTGCCCCATTCTTCCATGAGCTCTAAAATGCGATGTGGAACATGCTTCCTCTTGTCCACTGTTTCCACATACAGGGGAATATCCAGGGCTGCCAGGTCATCTTTCAGGACGCTCAACGTCCTAAGCATAAAGTCGACCCTGACGGGCGAAGTGAGATGAGCCTCAAAGTCTTGAGGGCTCACAATATACATGCAAATAAGAGGAACATTTGCCTCTTTCGCTTTGGCACTGGCCAGTGCAAGTGATCGATTGTCGGTATGTCGGAGATCCATCTTGAACCAATGAACCACCGCGTCCTTGGGCTTCACTTGTTTACGAGCCCCAGCCGTTTCTTCCAAAGCCGCAACGAGCGCTTCGATTGGCCGAGTGATTTCATCAGAATTATAAGCACGAGCTCGGGAGTTGCTCATCTCATGTGGATAAAACTGTCGTAGCACGATGCCATATTCTTCAGCCTCTCCAGCGAATGGATGAGGCTGTCGAAGAACATCTCCGTTGGTGGTCTCGTGCTTAATCTTTTTGGCACTAGATCCGTTGGTTTTGTCTACAGGAGAAGCTGTCTTGCGTTTTGCACCCTTTGGAGCCATGGTGGAGAGTTTCAGTGTTGATGATGTAATTTGAGTTGGTGAGAAACGTGTTTGCAAATAGCTTCTGGTGGTGACTCGAGATCGGCTTACAGCGTGAAAGCTCTTGAAGAACATGTGCAGTTAATCAGGTCTGTAGATGAACAAAGTCGAGGGCGGGAAAAGAAATGGGTAGGGAAGAATTGTAGAGCTACGCGTACATTCGGCCATTTTGCCTTTTATATATTCCAGTTGCTTTACACTTTGCACGGCTATGAAGCCCGGTCTCGATTCGGTCTGCGTCATTGGCGTCCGGAGATCGATCATTTGGCTGTTGGGATGCCATTGCGATTCTAGTGGCTTGTTATCCCTGCGCCAAACGGCGAGACAAGGCGGAGACTGCTGGAGGTGACGGGCGAATTGGATTGAAGCAATCTTAAATTTTAAAAATACAGTCGAATCCTTGTGAATTGCTAGTTGAATCCTTATTGAATCTGCTGTGAGCTGAAGGTGGGCAAATCGCAGAGTCGGAGACATCATCTCATCATACATGTTTCATGGTACTCGATACTTGATCTTTTTAACAAGGTGCTGTGTTTAGTCTGTACCTACTACTTTATCCACCACTAAGCTGCAGCTACCGATCGCAGTTTGCGATTCAGAGGAAGGAACCAGCCCAACCGCCCTAACGTTAATTCTTGGGCGCTGTTAGCTGCACCATTAAACAGTAAAGGGAAAATTCAAAATTCAAAATTTCCATCCATCATCAATACCTTCACTCGCAAAGCTGCAGCAATAAATTCACCGACCCAAAGCAACTCCAGTCCGTGTGAATGATGCCGCATCTCGACGGCAACGCAACCTCGGCAGCTGCCACCACCTGTCCAGGCCAATTGCCGGCTGAGCCCAAAGCGCTACTGATCTGATCCATCCAATTATTACCGGTCCAAGATCCAGGCAGAGCAAGGATTAATGCTTTGGTGCCTTATCGCCAGACCAGACCGCGACGCCACTGGCCGGGTCTCGACGCGTTCTGCCTCGCTTCCAGAACAATCCCCATTTCAACCATAGGGCGAGCTCTGGAGAGACTTCCCGTGCCGCCCTTGTACACGTTTTGGATGCGAAGCCGAGGGCGACACAACGGGGTCGGTCCTATATTGCTCGGCGGCACAAGGCCGGCATCCCAGAGATTGAGGGGTCCCGTCCGTCTCACGAGCTTTTCCTGCTGCCAGCCCATAGGCCACAGGGCTGCTGCGGCAGAGACAGATCCGTTGCGCACGTCCTGCTCGGCCTTGAGGACCCCAGCTTGTTTTGTATTCACCGAGAACGCCCCTTAGGGACACACGGGTGCTGCCTCACAAGCACGCGGTGCGGTGCTTTCGACCTTACAACGCCGCTCTTTCACCAAAGTCTCTTTGAGATTCTTCTCCCGGTGGCACCATGTCTGGCGACCTGACCTGGCGGCCGTTGCCGCAGGCCACATCATCTGACATACCGATGCTGCTGGTGTCGGTTAACATTGGCACCGCCGCGTACACCGTTCGCATCACGGACACGGCCAACATCTGGGTTGAAAGCCTGGATCGAAAGGCCATCTGTATGAGGGGGTGGAGTGAGAACACAAGCATAGACCCCAGTGACACACCCGAGAATATGGCCAAGTTCCTTGGTAGCCTGAGATCGGCCCTAGATCCCACGCAACCGGGCCATGAGCAGACTTCTCTCACCCTGTCACCAGGCTCCTCCACAGAGGCTGGAGAGAACGGCCTGACCCTCGTGGCTACTTGTCCGCTGCCGGGATTCCAACCCCTCAGGTGGCCTATTCATCTTAGAAAGTCTCCGCCGTCGGCTATTGCTACTGATCTCGTCTTGCCTCTACTCGAGGCCCAGTTCGCGAGACACCAAGAGGTGGAATCGCTGGTGCAGGCACTGAACCAGAAAGACGCCGTCATTGCAAAGTTGGCCGACAAATTGGAGGCTACCGGAACTGGACTTGAGCATGTCTTTACCTCTCTTTCGGGAAAGAAAAAAGTATCAAGAGCTACCGCGGAAGACAAGGTCAAGGGGTTGGCACCGTTTCGCCAGAGTACTTGGAAGTCAACTCTCAATGCGGTTGATGATTTCCCAACCAATGTTGGTGATCTTGCGCGGAATGTCTTCACTGGGGAAGGACTGAATAGACGTTCCCTGATACAAGTGGACGCATCACCAGCGCTGGATAAATGGTGGCATGATTTCAAGGGCACGTCAAAGCTGGTGCACCGGACCAAACAACAAACAACCGCCACAGCAAAATCACAATCGCCAGCTGCTAAGTCTACAAGTGCAGAAGATGACGATTTCCAAGTTCAGCCAACTCCCCCACACCTTCAGTCCAGGAATAAAAGCTCGCCTATAGCCATCATGGATGATGCTTCAACAGAGGACGAGGAGGAGTTGCCGACGGGGCCTCCTCCAGCAGCACCGTCTGACATGGAACCGCAACCCAACACAGGAAAGCCTGCGTCACGTATGGCGAATATCGGCTCGGGTGAATCGAAGCCTGGAATTTCATTACGGGACGCCAAATCCACTGGATCGCGGGCTGCAACGGCACCAGTCCCGAAAGATGACGATGAAACAGCGTCTGAAGCTAGTGATGATGAAATGACCTCGATTCATCCTACAACTTCCTCTGCGCCAACACCCGTACCCGCGCCAGCTACACCCAAACCACCTTCTAAGGTAGGGGGTTTAGGCCGCATCGGGGGCACTGCAAAGATACGTGCAACAGAGACGCCAAAAGGTGCCGAGGCGAAGGAGGACACGGAGGCCCGGCCGACCGCAAAGCCTCCCACTCCGAAGAAGCTGGGAGTTATTGGGAAGAAGGCTGATACGGGAGGCTCAAAAGCGCCAACAGCGGATAATAATTCCAAACGCGGTCGCACGGCAGAGCGTGAAGAGATTGAAGATGAACCCAGAGAAACCTCACAGGAACGCGCTGATCGGAGGCGGGAAGAATTGAAGAAGGAAATTGAGAAAAAGGCAGCGGCGGGGCCGGCGAAGAAGAAGAGGCGGTTCTAATCTGCACATCCATTCTCCAAACATGCATGTTTGGCATCATCTGTCTGAGATGGCTTCACCAGGGATCAGTGTGTCGTTGGATAGCTGATAAACGAGCTTCTCACTAGCTACACTCGCTCATTGCAACAGAGACATGAGCTTCACAGCCGTTTTGAGCCGTTTCTGCGCCTCTTGAGACACGATGCAAGAAGAGTATTCTCTTGTTACCTTTAGTCGTCCAGTCTGTTCAAGCTAGACTTTGTCGGGAGGTTACCATCGGCCAAACACGCCGTCCTCCCTTGAGCCATTCATGTTACGCCGTTAAGCTCCCATGTGGCACGTCAGAAAGGTTCTTCTCTCGCATTCACGGCGTGTTCAAATGTCTATCCTGGGTGGTGGACGCGCCAGCGGTACATTTTGCAAGTATTCAATGCCTGGAACGGCCCATGGGTGCAGCACTTGACGCGAAGCGCCGGCTCATGTCACAATGAATCAATGATGGCACACAAATCGTTGCGCTAGCAATCGAATATCCACGGATTTTGTGCTCTAACTTGATACGATTATCTTTAAAGGGATGTTACTGAATCAATATAGTATAAGGCGAAATGGGTGTCACGATATTGGATATAACTATAGCTGGTGTTTGGTATTGGACAAGCACGACAAATACCCAGAGCGGCAACCAACACAGCCAGATCAGGATGGTGCCGCTCTCTATACAAGTCTACTTCTAGACGACCATCTAGATGGTTTGAATAGCCAGCCGTTGGCATGGTATCAAAATTGAAGACAAGCGCAATACTTGATGCATTCGACTTACGCACTACGTGACCACAACTGAGCAGAGCTGCCCCTAATCACTCCTACCAACCCAGACGTAATAGTCTATGTATTTTATTACCTTGGGGACTTGGCTGCTCGGACTATCGACCGGAGCGTCGCTTGATTCAAGGGTGACCATCTGGCTTGGACCTCGGCGAGCCGTTATAGCCAACCAGGTCGTGCCAAACACTGAAACCAGAACAAAGAGGTGATTGGTGTATCAGACTTTGGATGGTACGCGCCATCATGTCTCATCATGTTGATAATGCACGGATCGTAAAGGTTAGAAGCATCATCTTGGAATCTATAACATACGGCACTTGCTGGGGTTGACTGAATACCAGGAATCAAGCACATGGGCGTTGTTAGGCGGTGGAATCAAATTTCAACGGTCAAGGAGGTGCACTGGTTGGATTGGAGAGATGTAGGCTTCTCGAATTGTCTCGCGAAGAAATCGGGACTGGCCTTGCACGGACATGGGAGCAATTGTACAACGGAGACGATGGTATCGTCGGTGTGCGGATGTTAACCGTGCAGCACCCTATATTCCAAGAAAAGAGATGAGCATATTCTTATACTAATGTGTAATCTAATGTAGCTACCTAGTGAGACTCGTTGATACGACAGATACCTCAATGTTAGTTGATATATCCCGCAACCGAGGTATGGGGAAATTGTACCCATCAGTAAATAACGTGGCACGGTTGTTTCGAACAATAATACGAAGTCTCCAGATATCTCAAGCTCTGACTCCTTGCCAGTCCAAGTTCTGAGATGCATACGAGCGCATTGTTGAACATGTACCCTTCGTCCAATGTAATCTGGCGGCTCTATCCGAAGCAAAGAATAGAAGCTACAATTGAAGTCGGGACGTTAACTATCAATATGGGCCATTGGTATGGTGTCTAGGATTAGAAGAAGCTTTTCGCGTCTTATTGCCCAGTTCTTTTATTACATACAAGTCAGGGTAATAAAGAAAGGGGTATTAAAATAGCCACAAGGCCCGACGGACTCTTGTATTCCCTGAGAAGGGCTACGAAGAGGGAATATCTTGCGCTGAAGCAGGAGATGTCTACATATACGAACATGATGCCCAATTTGACCTCACAAAACTAAACGGGACGGCCGACTTGCTTAAACATTCTGCCGCTTGGCCA